GCTTGAATTTAGCGGCCGCGAATTCGCCCTTTGCGGGCAATCTCTTCCCTTCCTCTGCAATGCGCATCATATCCCGCGCCTTCTCCTTAAGGAATCCAAGAGAATCACTACCAAACGGCACACGCAATGGGATCTCTTTGCCCTCTGCAATACCCTCTCCCTTCGCAATCTGGATGATCTTGGCAATCAAATCCACGGCATTGCCCGGTGGGTTGCGGTAGTTGCCTTCTCCGCGCACGCGACACGCGTCGTTAAGGCCCCGGTAGAAATCGACTCGGTAAGGAACATGGTTGATATTCCTCATGACTTCAGTGCTGAAGATGCCTGCTTCTATAATGAGGGGTTTAATGCCTGGTGCAAGCCAGCCTAGCTCTTTCGAGAGGCTTTCAACGGCTCCTGTGGTGGGAAAGAGTTTTACTGTCAGCTTCGTCGTGTAGGAGCAGATGGACAGACTGGTAAAACATACCTTCTAAAGCAAATTTACTGGCACAGTACGCGGATGCAGCTGGCTCTCCCCAAAAACCAGACTGCGATCCCATGTAAATGATCATACCTTGACCCTTCTCACCCTTGCTGCGAAAATGCGGCAATGCAGCGCGGGTCAGGTTGATAGGCCCATGGAAGTTAGTGTCGAGGGATCGTTTCATATCCTCCGGTCTAACGTCTCAGTCAGTCAAACATATCCTTCCCAAATGTAATTATCAAACAAAAAGACTTGAAGTCCTCAGGCCAAAACTCACGTGAGCTCCTCGATAGCCCCGCATTGAATGTACCCCGCGTTGTTCACGAGTACATCGACTCCCCCATAGATATCGATGGCCTGCTGAAACTTCGCGTTCAGCTCTTCCTGAGGTGCCGTAACATCGAGTTCAAGGATAGTGGCACCGGTATCCTTCAGGTGCGCAAGTTTGCTCTCAGCATTCCGGCCTGTGGCGACGACGTTGTCACCCCGTTCGCGAAGTTGGCGTACAAACTGTTCCCCGAAGCCACTGGAGCAGCCTGTAATAAACCAGGTTTGTTTTTCGTTTGTCATTCTTTGAACTGAACGATGCTGACTGAACCGACTATAGGTCCGGAGTCTTTGCTATTTGCCTTCGCACAAGGAAATAAGAAGCGATGATCGCTCGGATGGCTTTTAAGACAATCTGGGAGGCGCCAGCGCCTGCCAGGGGGGCTTGCCGTCTTTAAGTCTAGTGAATCTGAGTAAGGCTGGGGAAATGAGGGGCCATTGAGTTTAGTCTATCAGACACGCAGGCACATTCCGACAGGACCCGCTTACAGTGTCACACTATAGCAGTAGCAGTGTTACCTTGCATGGTAGGCAGCAAGCAGCACCCAGTCATCTTTACTATTGGAGCCACTGCAAGGATTAGTGCTGACAGCCCAACTGTTCAGGAAAGATTAGGGATGATCATTCGAAATTGAGTTTCGTAACGATTTGATGTAATCTAACGACCATATACTAAATTACAAATGACAGGTATTCTTAGTTCTCCTGCCTCTTCTGCACATAATGACTCTTGCCAGCCGCTTGCTGACCCAACTCCCGAATGCTACAGTCCGCCAAAATATTGAAGACCGAGAGCTCAGCCTTCATCTCATTCGCGAACCAGAACCGCAGCTCGACGGCCACCAGTGAGTCCACACCGAAGGAATGAGCAGGCCTATTGATATCAACATCCTCCTCCGGTACTGAGAGAGCTTGCGAGAGTCTCTGAGCCAGAGCCGTGGCAATAATGGCTCCTGCTTCTTCTACATTATCAGCATCCCCGAGCAGAGCCCCGTAGTCTACAGCCTGAGCAGAGGTAGGGGCGGACGCAGTGGTGCTCTGGTCCGTCCGGTGCAGATGTCGGTACATGGTCCGCTTCATGTAAGGCAGCAGTTCTTTGCCTTGCTTGATCATGGCCATGGGCCGGTTGAGGGCTGTGAGGACCTGAGTCTCCCATCCTGATGACACGTTCAGGCGAGGATTGCAGGCCCAGTCCACAACACTGTGAAGCTCCTTCTCGGAAAGGGCATCGAAACCGGCGTTGACCCATCTCTCTGACACATCCTTTTGTTCCGCTACGTAGCCGACGGACGTGAGTAGTCCGACATCAATAGATATGCACTTCTGGCCGTGTGCCCATCTATGGCGAGCAAATGCATCCTGGAATGTCGCAGCGGCATTGTACTGGGACTGGCCTCTTGATCCAATCATACCTCCCAGAGACGACAAGATGACGAAAAAGTCCATGTCAGCTGGAAGATGGTGATGAAGGTTCCATGTTCCAGCAATCTTGGGGTCGAGCACTGCCTGCCATTCAGCCAGAGACATGTTGTCAAACAATCGGTCCTGCAAAGTGTCAGCTGGTACACCCATGCGACGATAAATAGACTCAGTTAACATACCTTGAGTACCATGGAGGCCTGGATGACTCCCTTGACTCGGGGCATTGTCCGCTCGCAATCACTGAGTGCGCTCGCCAGAGAATCCGCGTTGCTGACGTCGCACTTGGGAGTGATAACGTTGACACCTCTTTCTGTAAGCTCACTGACTAGCTCAATAGCATCATCAGAAACTGCGCCCGAGCGTGACAGTAAGATCAAATGCTTGACCCCTCGAGTGGAAAGCCACCTCGAGAGACTCCGGCCGATACCGCCCAGGCCACCAGCAATGATATAACTGGCCTGAGAGTTGAAGACATATTCCGGATCATTACTGGGAACTACCGAGACTTCAGCCTCTTCCTCCCAATTGATGACTGCCTTGCCCATATGACGGCCTGTCTGGAGGTAGCGAAAGGCCGACTCAAATTCTCCGCGCGAAAACTGTGTTACCGGGTGAGGAGGACCCAGTTTCTTTGCAAAAAGCAGCTCATGTAGCTCATCCATCAATTGTTTAATAACTGACGGATGGTTCTTGTATACCGTCTGTAGGTCGAGCGATGAGAATGTGACGTTCTTGGAGAATTGAGACATGGCAAGCTTCTGGAAAGAGTAGATGTCTCGCTTTCCAATCTCAACGAACCGTCCCAAAGGCGCGACACACCTCCAGGTCTCTGCGAGCGCCTCACCTGAGCTTGAGTTGAGGACGACATCGACACCGCGACCGTTGGTTGCGCGCAGGATCTGCTTCCCAAATGCCAATTTGCGGCTAGAGAAGAAACGGTCGCCAGGGATTCCGTAACGCTCTTGCAGAAGATTCTTCTTGACCGACGAACTCACCGTAACAAACACATCCGCCCCAATATTCTGTGCCAGCTGGATGGCAGCCTGTCCGACAGCGCCCGCGGCTGCGTGTATGAGTACAGACTCGCCTTTACGAAGGCGGCCCAGGTGCGTGATACCGTACAGCGCTGTCAGCCACACCGCTGGGAAGGCATCGGTGAATGCGATATGATCCGGAATAGGAATGGTGGTGTGGACTTTGTTCCGGACGAACGTCTTGAATGTCCCAGATGCCATACCGCAAACGCGATCCCCGGGGGCCAGATCTTTCACTGCTGAACCAACTCGGCGGACCACACCCCCATACTCATGTCCAATGTAAGAGTCTGTGATCTGTCCAAGCACGCACATCACGTCGGCAAAGTTGACTCCCGTGGCCTTGACTGCCACCTCCACCTCGTCTTCCGAGAGGGGCTTACTTGGAGTTTCATCCCTGGCGTACCGGAAACTGCCAAGCTGCCCAGGAGAAAATTGAATTTCTAGAGCCTCCGTTGGCTCCCTTCCAAGCTGCCTTCGCTCGATGTCCCGGTTGCCAGTCTGAGAATATACATAATCATTGATATCATTGGCTTCTACCACTCGAGGGATGAGTGTCACGTCGCTGGCCTCAAGATAATCACCCTCCCAATTTTCAACTCCAGACACCCCATATGAGCGCTGAAGAACCCTCGAAATTGCTTTGCCTGCGCAGGCTATGTCCTGAATGTCCAAATTGGCCCAGTAGAGACCAGGCTTCTCAAGCATGGCCGCTCGGCTAAATCCGGAACTCATTGCGTTTTCTGGCAGTGGAGCGTTTCCATCTGCACCGGACGTTATCCAGTAGATGTGACTTGAGAAGTCCACAAGTCTCTTGAAGCGAGCAAAATCTTTCCCACTCATTGCCGCTAGGAATGGACGCCCCAGGTCAAGCAGTGAGAGACAAACATTCGACTGTGAAATCTGCTCGGAGATAGCATCAGGCGTGAGGATGTCGCATTTCTTCCCGAACGTAGAGGAGATGTAGGAAGCAATTTCTCCCGCAACCTTGAGCTGAAACTCAGTTTCGGCAGCAATAAAGAGCGACTCCGGAAGTTGAAGCTGGTTTGATTCCTCATGAGATGCTCGAGAGAGGAGGAAGCTGAGGGTATGGTTCTCGACATCTGGGAAGTCAGTGATTGCCATTTCCACCCCGGTGTATCCGGTCTGTTTTAGGTAATAATCCCATTCATCCCGAGAATACAGTGGGCACCACTTCCGGTCCACCTCCGTTGATCTCCACCATCCTGGAAGTGTTCCCCAAATGCCATTTAGCACTGTGTCATGTTTGTTGGTTGGTTCCATGAGGATGATGTAGCCGCCTGGCTTCAGTAAGGAGCGGGCATGACTCAGAGTATCACTGATACTTTGTGTAGCATGCAGCACAGTGGCAGCAATCACGACATCGTATCCACCCGGTGTGAATCCCTGTGCAGCTGGGTCTCGCTCGATATCCAGTGTCTGGAAAGTCATGCGATCAACATGATCGGAAAACTTAGCCTTGGCCTTTTCAAAGAACCCGGGAGAAATATCGGTGAAGGTGTAGGATTGGTATCTGGGAGTCACGCCTTTGTCGTTACCCTGCTTGCCCAAGGCCGACAGAATTTGTTGGGTACCACTTCCAGTACCAGCACCGATCTCAAGGATATCAAGCTTGGAATTCTTGTGCGCAAGGAGATCCATGAACACCGCCATCCGCTTGGCGGTAATTACGAAGATCTCGTCCTTGTACAGGTCTTTCGCCAAGCCTTGATTGAACAGGAGGTCTAACGGATCCACTTCTTCGCGGACAATCGCGGCGAGGTGCTTGCAGAACGAGTTAACCGCACCCTCAACCGGGCCTGTTGCTGCGAAATCCGCCAAGTACTGCATGCGGCAACTGTCATCCGCGAATGTATCTTTCCATGGTGATTGAAGGAGAGGATTGCTCTCACCCAGAAGATCGAAATGGTACCGCACCCAGGCCAAGTATCTCTGGAAGTATGGGGAGGTAGTCTCGTAGCCTTGGGCGTCCAGCTCCTTCAACATTTCCGACATGTAGTGCAGTGTCACCACATTTTTGGAAGGCTTCCATTCCACGGGCATTGTCTCCTTGTCCAAGCAGTAAGTCTCTGTCTGTGAGCTACTAATAAGGTCAACATCAGGCTTCCAATCAAGCCTGTAAAAGATGTTGCGTTTCTCGGATGGTTTGTAGCTAAGGCTGGACACAGTTGTCACCCGATAGCCGTCTATCACAATGGCTGGTTCTCCCGTCTCCGAATTGATGGCAAGAATGAACGAGTCGGTTTCTCGAGCTGCTTGCAGCGTCGTCTGCGCCAGAATATTCAACTTTGTGGATGGTTTGCGCTCGATGAGATCATGTGAGATCCAGAAGTCTCGCAATTGAGTCGGTGCCTGTAATGGACCAAGCTGTGTTCCACCTTTGGTGGTCGCCACTGCCGTAACTTGGAACACCCCGTCCAAGGCTGTGGGGTGAATGATATGCGGCTGAACCTGAGAGTTCTTCTCGGGAACTTTACCTCTCCACTCATCAGGTTTAACGACGGCCACAGCTTGGTCCCCTTCCGGATCGTAGGCTAGGTCGTGGAGAGTATTGAATAGGGGACCAAAACCATACCCGATCTTGTGACCAGCATCATAGAAAACCTGCTGAGTACTCGTCGCTGAACAGCGGTCAAGGGCTTGTTGGTACATCGACTGATAATAGTCCTTTGTCAGGCTTCGCTCGTCTTCTCCGTACACTTCGTCGGGCGTCTCTTCATATTCCGTCACGACAGATCCAGCGCAGACTTCCCGCCATTCATTGTCTGAGTACACATACACATTGAACTCTCTGCATTCAATTGTCTGAACACCAGTGGTTCGACTATTCTCTGCATTACGCAGGAAGATCTGGCTTTCTACCCCTTCAGGAGTCTCAGGGACGACTAAAGCAGAGAAGATCCTTATGTTTCGCAGGCGGTATCCTCTAACTGCATGCCCTGGCTTGGCTAGATGCCTCGCAGCCTCTATAGCCATAACTGCCATTCCCGCAGCAGGATAGACCGGGGATCCATTCAACTACAGTTCAGTTAGCAGAATGCTCTTTACAGATAGTGATCAGTTGGTACTCACCCGATGGTCCGTGAGCCATGGAAGGTCGGATACCCGGATGGTGAAGCGAAACTTCGGCTCAAGCGGATTCCAGTCATTCGTGGGAATGCCGACTAGCTCGTGTCGAATATTGTCGCGAGTTCTGTAATTCTTGAACAGTCGACTCTCGAGCCAGTATGTCTGTGAATGGTTGAACGGGTATTCTGGTAGATCTACTACCATTTTCGCCGATCGGTTCGACCCATAGCTGTTGACAGCTTCAATTTTGACTGGGTATCCCTCGGTCCAAAGCTTTCCGGAGAGCTGCTGCAAGGATTTCAGTCCTGAGACACCTCGCCGCATCGCTGAGTCATATTTGACGTTTTCAGATTGAGGCACATTGTCCATGACCGCTCTTTGCATAGCTGCATGTGGGCCGATCTCAACATAGTGATCCACTTGCGTGTTAGACCCCGAATTGCGGCTGGCTTGGGACAATTGTCCAAGAGCTTCGGAAAACCTGACAGTCGACACAAGGTTCTTGACCCAGTATTGGGGCAGAGAGAGCTGTTTGACTGGGACAGGTTGTCCTGTGACTGATGAGCAAAAAACAGGTGTTTCGCCTTTCCGAGGAGACTGCCTTGGTTGGCAAATACCCTGCAAAAGGCTCTTGTATTCTTCAGCAATCACTTGCATGTGAGAAGAATGGTAGGCAACTGGAATTTTCAACTTGCGGGCAAACACCTTCTTCTCATCTAGGCGGACCTTGAGGGCGTCGATAGACTTATCCAACCCTGTCGCGGTTATATTGTTGGCGCTGTTGATGCAACCAATTGACAGGCATTGTTGACCATGGACGGCCGAGATCTCATCTATATGAGGCTGGAGTTCAGAGGCAGTTAGGCCCACAGCCATCATAGCTCCACGTTCGCCAGTTTTAGACTCTGCTACCCGAGCAGCCAGTGCTCCACGGAAGTAGGCAATTGTCCATGCTGATTCACGAGAAATTGCTCCTGCGCAAAATGCAGCAGCAATCTCTCCCGACGAATGGCCCACCACGCCCCAGGGAACCACTCCCCATCCTTCGAGGAGCTCCACCAGTGCTACCTGCAGAGCTGTACATAGCGGCTGTGCTAACGCCGGGCTATCAATCTGAGAAGAATCTGCAGGTTTATGAAGCTCTTCGATCAGCGACCAGGAGTTCCCGAGTCCTTTCAGATAGGAGTCCGCCTTTAGAATGCTTTGCCGGAAAGTCTCGAACTTCAAAAGCTCAATCCCCATTCGAGCCCACTGCGCACCTTGGCCTGTAAAGACAAAGTTTATCCGCGGACTTGTGGACGACCGCACGGGCTTTGGCAGAGTTTGTACCTGCGTCTTGAGACTTTCCAGGTTTCCCGCCAACGCGAAAGTCTTCCATGGCAGAACACTTCGTTTGTTGGATAAGGTGTAGGCCAGGTCCCGCAGAAACTCTTCTGAGACATACTTGAGGTTCGATTAGAGTTAGGTAATTTTCATATGCTGTCCGAGTCGCTCAATTCCGTTTGAATCAGAGGCAGACCAGGTGAAAACGTATTGGGTCTCCTCCGGCTCCTCCTAAGGGCGAATTCGCGGCCGCTAAATTCAATTTCCATTATGGCTATTATAGTCATTGGTTGCGTTGCCATTTGGGTCTCCCTTTGTATGAGCATTTACATGACCGTTCGTGTAACCGTTAGCGTGGCCATTGGTATGGCCGTTACTTTGGTCATTGGCAATGTCATTGGCCACACCATTCTCCAGGATGGCGAGGGTGGGCGGTCTTTTGACAGTGATGTGGTGTGCTTCGAGGCCATGCTCCCGCAGGTAGTTGTATGCGTCATCCAGGACAGCGTGGGCATTCGATCCGCCATAGCCAAATGCGTTGACCGACGCTCGCCGCAGGCCATCAGTGGGCCATGGAAGCGGCTTCGTCGGAAACTTTAGATTCCATTCATCAGCCGGAATGCGAGGGTTGACCTCTTTCAGCCCCGCTATCGGGGGAATGATGCCTTTCTCCAGACTCAGGATTGTCTTTATCAATCCCGCGAGACCAGCTGTCGCTTCTAAATGGCCGATGTTGGCCTTAACTGCACCAATGTGCATCGGATCGTCCGGGCTGCGATGTTTCTGGAAGACTGATTTGATAGCACCTGCTTCAATGGGGTCACCCAATTTTGTTCCCGGGCCATGGGCCTCAAACAATCGGGTTGAGGCGAGATCCAAACCACCCGAACGGTACGCCTCCCGGATCAACTTCTCCTGTGCTGCCTGACTTGGCTGAGAGATACCGGGGGTGCGGCCATCTTGGTTTGTCGCAGTAGCCCGGATCACCGCCCGAATTACATCGCCATCAGCTATAGCATCACTCAGCCGCTTGAGTACCAGAACGCCGAACCCTTCGCCCTTGGCATAGCCGTTACCATCAGCTCCGAAGCTGTGACAGCGACTGTCAGGAGAGATGAATTGCAAAGCGGAGAGAGATATCGCGCTTGTCATTGGTTCAAGATAGAGCTGTGAACCGCATACCAAACTCTAAACACATTCCATATCAGCGACTATTAGTTCAGCGTTTCAGGGTTTCGCTCACCATTCGCGACTCCTTCGATCGCAGGCTCTGACACGCAAGATGCAGGCCAATCAAGCTGCTAGAGCAAGCTGTCTCAATGGTCATACTCGGGCCCCGCAGATCGTAGAACCAACTCAGCCGGTTGGCTAAGATGGCTCCCGAGTTGCCGGTAGCCTTGTACGTGGCCTGGACCTCTTCGTCAAATTCGAAGAATCGGTTGTACTCCACTCCCAGTGCCCCTACATACACGGAGGTGGCGGAGCCCGCTGCTCTTTCGACGGGAATGCCAGCTGCCGTGATTCTTAGTACCCACGTCTCATACTGATTTCCTAAGAGTCTTACCATTCTCGAGGGCTCTGTACGTTGTTTCCAGAAGACCCCGTTGCTGCGGATCCAAGCTTTCCACCTCACCGGGACTCATGGAGAAGAACGGTGCGTCAAAGGCTGCCACATTCTCTTTCAAGAAATGACCGCCCCGCGCGTTTACCTGTCATGCTGTTAGGGCCCGGTATTATCGCCAGCTATGATCATACATACTGTGTCAGTCCGAGACGCATCTGGGTGGTAGAAGCCATTTATATTGAATCGGTCAGAGGGAACTTCAGTTGTGACGGATCGTCCTTCTTGAAGGATTTTCCAGAAGGATTGCGGGGAGGTGGCATCCTGAGGGAATCTCAAAGAAAAACCCACGACGGCCACAGGATCAGTCCCTTCGAGATTCTGGGAGCTCTGCAGTGCTCCACCGCGGGTAACAAGGCCGTCAGTCGTTAGTAGTTGCATTGTATAGCTTATTCGGCACTACTGAGGCGCAGTGTTGATGATCGTGTTGAGCGAAACGAAACCTCGACGGAGAGGGCAGGTCGGAGTCCCCTCTTATCTACTTTGCTCCCCGCTGGGTTTTCTCCCCGCTCGCCGTCGCAGTCATCAAATTTACGAGATCAATCGCTCATGGGGCTCATTCGATTGCCAGTCTGACCGATGGGGAGCCTTAAGCGATTGCAAACGCAGTCTGGCCATAGAAAGTAAAGTGTGATGGATCTGCATGGCCTAGAAACCTTTTCACGATCCTGTCATAATCCATCATTTACACGTCGCCAAGCGCGAGTACAGTTCTTTCCAGAGCTAGTCGAAAAGTGTTAAAAACGGAATGCTATCAAGATAATATCGACCGGGATCCGCAGCCATCGCCCCACACCCTAAAAGTGTGCCGAGTTAGTAGACTCGAACGAGCTATCTACTATATCAAGGTAAAGTCCCGGCCGAGGACAGACAGAGCGGAACAGGTACCCGGATTGAGCCTCATATCTGCCGACTGGATCATCGCCAGGACTGGCATTCTTGGCCGAGGAGTTGATCGTGCAGGGGCGGAAAGGTCAGTGCTATTCTTCGAGCAGGTATTATGACGGCGGTGCAGTGTGTGAAAGCCAAATGTTTTGACACATGCCAATGGGGTGTGACGGTTGGATTGCCCAGAGATTGACCGGAAGAAGGTACGGTGGTCGCTCATCGACAAGCCACTAATGCAGCATCCCCTCTTCTCTCCTCTCTGGCCTGCTCCACTCGCTGCCCAGAAATGCCCTAAAATCTCACCCACACCATGGCGACGGCCACAGCCAAACAATGTGGCTGCTGCACACCGAGAAACGTTGGTCAAAGGGCCACGGGCAAATCGCGAACTGCTGCATCATGCGATATGCTCCGTCAGAATGCATCCGCTGGCTGACGCGCCCTCCACACCCTGGTTGGCCAACGATTTACCAGGTTAATGCCGGATGCTGACAGCCAGTCTAAACCGGGACAGCATCGATGAACCTTGTGAAGAGACCCAGCTGGTGCCTAAGCAGGAGGCTATGGCAATTATCCGGCCTGGCGACCGTGTCCATCTATCCCAAACCGAGTCTTTGCCCATCCCGCAGCTGCCCTCCCTTCTTCCCGCCTGGGACCCATGGGGCCATTGCGGCGAACATGTTGCGGGGAGGCCGATGAGAAGTGAAGAAACAGACAAAGACTGAACAGTGCTTCTACTATATTCCATATTTGCTGCTGTGCTGGGGCGAGGGGCCCGAATTACGTTCATTTCTTATATTCCTCTCATCTCATCGCCGTCTCGTCTCGTTTGGTCTCGTCCCCACCCCCTTCCCTTCTCCTTGCTCTGCCACTCTCCTCCGATCGTACAGTAACCCCCCTGCCTGAATAGACTCTCCGATCGCATGGGGGCCATAATCCTTCCATGTGTGATGACAATTCAGCTCGTCTGGTTCCAGGGTATGCGACCCTGCTGACAGCCAGCGATCATAATCCTCCTTTTGCCTTTCCTCTAAGCTTCGCGGATCTAGCGCCCTGACGCCAGCCATCGCCATTCAAATCAATCATCACCTTCTTCTGCACCCCTCTTTTCTTTTTACCGCGCTTTCGACTGTTGCCGATCGACTGACACTCGGGATTGGCACACCAAGTCAGCCTCGCGAGGGACCAACCCCGGCGGCCGTGTTTTCCATTTCTTTTCGGCCTGCTGCTCGTGCTTCTCAATCCATCCCACCACATCACCGTCAGGATGAAGCACATCGGCAAAACCGGCCGGGACAACCTGGGCGCCGCCATCGCAATGCTGGCGCTGGCGGTGGTCTCGGTCGCTCTCCGGTTGGTGGTGAGAATCATGACCCGACAGTGGTCTCCCTTGTCCGACGGCCTGCTTCTGCTCACGCTGGCATGCATGACGGTGTTTGCGGCTCTGTTAATTCAATGTATGTCGACGTCTTAAATAATTCAACACGAGGAGGGAGCAGTTACTGATCCTGCGGTTACCCAGATATTGTCGCAGGACCTGGCCCGGGCACCTTCGACCTGAACGAATTCGCAGCCGATGCAGACATTGGGGGAATGGTATGGGCCAAGGCATTTCTCAAGGTCTGTTGCGCGATGCCATCCGTATGCGTGCGCAAGACTGACTGACTTTATTGAGTCAGACTCTGTACGTCGCCGACCTTTTCTTCATGGCGACCATCACTTTTGTCAAACTATCGGTACTCGCGTTTCTGCACGGCCTCTTTAAGGTTTCCAAAATATACCGCGTCTTGAACTACGTGACAGCCGCCCTCTGCGTTGCTTGGTTCCTCATTGTTCTGTTCGTCAACATTTTCCAGTGTCACCCAATCCACATGTTGTGGGATGCGATGGGCGCTGCGGAATACTGCATCGCCAGTGGTCGGCTCTGGTTGGGGATGGAGCTCACGAACTTGTTCCTTGATGTTATAATCTTGTTTCTACCTGTGTATGTGGTGACGCGACTGCAGCTCAGTCGCACACGCAAGGTCCAGATTACTGGTATATTCCTTCTGGGTGGATTGTAGGTTTTGTCTCGGGACTTTGGTCTCCTCTCAAACACTCTTGGAATCCATTGCTGATCGCATGAAACAGGGTCTGTATTGCCAGTATCTGCAAGCTCTCCTATCTCTGGATCCCGGCCACACCCCAAGTTGTGCGGGCTCCCGAGACAATGGTCTGGTCATCGGTACAGCTGGGGGTGGCCACGCTCTGCGCATGTTTGCCAACCTACGCCCCACTGTTCCGAGTGGCACGGGGAAAGATGTCTACGGTGAAGACGCCCACTGCACAGTATCCGTACGGTAGCGACAACACGCCGCGCAATGCTCCGGCAGGTAAGAGCGCACCCTATCGACGGGTGGAAGATCCGCTGCTGAGCACCCAGCAGACGGAAATCACGCGCGGGGATGGCGAGTCGTACAAGATGGACCAGCTCGGCCCCTGCCACATCTACGTGAAGCAGAGTGTAGACGTTGACGTGGTCTAGCACGGGCCTCATCCGAATTTTTCTTTTTACTTCAACTATTCATTGCAATATTACTCCAACACTCTCCGGACAATGATGGTCCCTAACTTTCCGCCCCCCACCCCAGCCCCTCTCCGGTTGCATCGGAACCATGTTGGATGCCGCTAAACTGGGTGCTATATTAGCGTTCCGGGGTTATAGAGAAATGTGGGTACTGAATCCAGCCCAGTTGCAAAAGGGGATTTAGCGCTGGTGAGTTGGAGTTGGACCGGCTTGCTGCTTTGCCCCCGGAGCTCCGCCCGGAGAATCTCTCGTGAGCTGAGTTCTGGATATCCTTCATTTCCCATGTTGCACAATCTTACGGGTGGACGGGAGTCCACGGGTGAGATCGAAGGGCGGTTTGCCCCACTACTACTACCACTACTATCTACTACTTGTATATTAATTTATATTAATTAATGAGACACGTAACATCATTTCGATGATTCCAGCTCCTGCATTACCCAAACACTGTGGCGTCAACAAGCGTATTCCACACCCAACCAACCAACGCCCATTCAAACCTAGAAGTATCAACTGTACAGTGCCGATAATCAACCGACGATAGTTTCTATCAATTGTTAGAACCACGCAACATACCTCTAAACAAACAGAACAGAACAGAACAAAGAAAAAGAAAAAGAAAAAGAAAAGGAAAAAGGAAAAAGGGGGAATAGATAAGTAATATAGAAATACCCATCAAAGCAACGCACCCTTATTCGTATCCGTAGTATCCTCCAACAAATTCCGCACCATATTCTCCCTCATCGCCCTCAACCACGCCTCCACAAACACCGGTTCATAATACGCCTCATTATAACTGGCACTCAAATGCAACTCATCCCTCCAACTCCAACAATGCACATACAACTGCTGCGCCAACATCTGCACCATCAGCACCAAACCCTTGACCTTGACCTCCCCATAACTCTCCCTGATTAACCGATCCACAGGCCCCAAACTATTAATATTTGGTTCTGTCGGCTGCGCCGCCCCCGCAGCAGCAGCAGCCTGGAACATGGCCGTGGCCTTTTCCACGAACGGCACCCGTACAAACATCATGTCACTGTCGGCCAAGTTCCACGACTGGCGGTACAGCGGCTGAATGGTATCCACGAGGTCCGACCAGCTTGTTGTGGGCGTGGCTTCGACATTCAGCGGGAGGCCGACCATGCGCAGGGACGGGCCGTGGATGGGGCCGTCGTAGGGTGGGGGCAGGTATTTGCGGAGATCGAAGGCTTGCCAGGAGATGTAGCGCGATGATGGATCGGTAGAATTAGCCGCACGCGCAGTCTCGATAATCGCAGAGGCATGCATAGCTGTCGTGAGAGTGATGTTTCTTGCGCGACAGGCACGACGTAGCGCGGTCGCCTGTTCCGCGGGGATGACATGCTCCGTGCGGAGAGACTTGGCGGGTAAGGCTGTGGGTTGAGCACGGGCAGGCCGATCGAGGGTTGGCCCTCGAGGAAGGTAGCGAGGAGTTCGTCGGCGCGACGAGACCATTCGGGGTCTCTGGCTTCGGGGAGGCAGGCATACCGATGACGGTGTCGAGCGAGGGGATCAGTCGGGTGGCTTCGCTGCCGTCGAAGGAGGCTGTGGTGGTGGTGATGGGGTTTTGAAGCTCGGAGAGGAATTGGTCCAGCACCATGGCGAGTCCGGTGCCGTCCCAGCGCCAGTGGGCTGAAACGATGCAGAATTCCTGGCTGCTGGGGATCCAGTGTGCCGTTGCGTGCCGGTCGGCGATGCGCAGGTGGTGGGTGAAGAGGTCGTCGGCGGATTGGGCTAAGTCTTCGATTTTGAAGGTGTTGTTGCACCAGGATTCTAGGGCTGAGGCGCTCGTGATCGGGTAGTAGCGCTTTTCGTGGCCATGGAGCTCGCCTGCGATGTCGGGGTAGCGCATGCGTAGAGATTTCCAGGCGTTGCGGAGTCGTGGGATGGTTATCTCGGGGCTGCTGTTGGGGAAGTCGAGCTGGACGGCGCCGACGGTGAGCCAGTGTTCGCGACCGAGTGGTTTGCCTGACTCGCCGATGAATTGAAAGAGGCGGTCGTGGCAGTCAAGGGGACGGCTCCAGTGGTCGATTTGTTTGGTCCAGGACATGATGGTGATGGTAGTGGTGTGGATGAATGAGTGTCTGAGGGAACAGTATACTACAGATGGGAGTTAGAGGAAGCTCGGTTGAAGATCAATTGGAATAGATTCAGGAGCCTTGCAAGTCATCCGGGCGGGGATCGCCAGGCGAGCCCTACTAAATTCATCCATAGAGATCCCTGTAAGGACTTCACCGCGTCTACTTTCTATCCCATCACTTACTACCTCCCTATAGTATCCTTCACTAATACTTCTTTGTCGTGATACAGTTCTGACCCACGGCTATCTCCTTTCTTTCCCCTCCTCCCTCGAATCATGCGTTCCTTTCCAGCCACAAAACGCCTAATGGGTGATCAGGCTACAGCAGTCAGCAATTCAATAGAGTTTGAACATGCATTAGCGCCCTGCATCTCCATATACTAGCCTCATTCTCACGGCCCATACTTTCTGGCCCCCACGTTACAATCGGTCCCATGCATTTCGTTCTTTTGTCGGGCTCTCTTTTTCCGTCTGACGGGCTGAGTCCCGCATCCTTGACTGCTCGGGTGGCCCGGCTGGCTGGCTGGCGGATGGACACTTGTACTTTCTCACATCAGGTATTCGAAGGGATATATGGGACTTGGAAAACTGAAATAAGTAATCAAGTTGCTGACGGTCCATTATGTGCATCCACGTCTATACGAGGGGTAAGGCCGTGCGATGCTGTGCAAATGTTGAAAAATGATGGCATTAATTTAGTCGGGGCTATGCTATGCATGCTGTAGAAATACCTTCTCAGTATTCAGACAGATAATCTATCTGTTCATGTTTTACTTTTAAGTTTATTTTATAGATCCCTTTCCGAGATTGCTCAACACAGGTTCTATATACAATCCGTATGCCATGGCGATTTCCCCGACCAAAAAGATACATGCATGTGCTATGCGAGCAGATCACAAACTATTGATATCAATGACTTGTTACTGATTCTTAGGCTTACGTCCTACTTGGATATCTATTCTATTATTGAGCGGTCCGTCGATTGCGAGATGCCAATATCTGACAACACCGCAATACGCGATAGTGTAAAAGGCCGCGTTTCCATATAGTCGAGCACGCAGCATAAAGTACGCATTTACTAACAGAAACATGTAATATAATCGAAGGCATAGCAGGCTGTGTGCATATGCATGTAACTAAATGAAAGTAAAGTCGTAACATTCCTCTCGGCATGTAGGACAGACAATGAGCTGACTTCCGATCACCCGGAATAAAACTAACACAAGTGCCAGGGCTGCGGAGATTCACAACAAATGATCACATGTCACGCCACGTACAATAAAATGTAGGACAGAACAGGGATGAAACAGTACCAGCTGATGCGCTGCGTTACACCATGCAACGGTCACCTCGGAGAATATCACACTCAGTCTAGTATAAATTCAGTAGTTAGACAACAAGCTTGGCGGCTACTCTATGTCCGTGTAGAAGTTCAATATCGAACTCAAGGTACGGGCCATTAGCATTCGATAAATCCAGCGAAGAGCCATATGCATACAAAATGGTGTCTTAATATGAATTGAATTGAGTTGAGTTGAATATCATCAATGACTGAAAAACAAAAATTAATGACAGGATACTTCACTAGCAATTACACAGCAGCAGAACCACTTGATAGACGTTAGATTCTATCCGATGCAACACATCAACGTTTTCCTTGGTAGAGCGAAGAGTGATCAGACATTTCGTCATCACTATTTTCTTCGGTCTCTGATTCAAAGATGCCCAGCATAGAATCCCTACCTCCCACCTTTCGGGAAAGAGCTCTAGCTTCTCTTATTATCTGGCAGATGCGACCGATGACCTCCTTTTGGTCCAAGGACCAGGACAAATCCAGTTTGGTTGAATACTGTATTCTAGAAATTCAGCCTCAGTCAAACGGGGAAATGAGGCAGGAAAAGAATGGTAAGAAAATGGTGTCCGAGATCGTACCTTGCCGCTATTGTTGAGGTGGAAGAAATTCCAGGTATAGGTATCGGTATGGATTCCGTAAATGTCCCCGTTATCGCCTGCCTCTTTCCGCTGGCGATGAATAGCGGCTGGTCAATCGAAATCAATGTCCGTTAACTCTAGAAATAAAGAGGGAATGTGAATGAACTTACACATAGCTGCAAGGACTCCCCAGTCCTCGTCAGGAAGGATTGTCTGTTTCCTCAACACAATGAGATTTGTGTCCAAAGTTGGGCGCCGGCCGTACAGTAGGATAAAATGCATAGTGATCTCCACGGGGTGACTCGCAAAGTCGGCAACAGGTGAAACAATGAGTTTCTGGTCGGCCATCCAGCATGGCGCTGAATAGTCAATCGAAGGAAGATCGGAGTTGCACGTAGATTCGTCATCATCTCTACTGATGCGGGTTTCCTTCATGACCTTGGCCAGCAACACCATAAGTGTTGCATATAGTCGAGGCCGAATCAATCTCTCGTCACAGTCTCCATTACCGAGCCCTGAAGAGAAGTCCTCCAATAGAGTCTCTTTTAAAGGTAGTAGTTAGAAGCGATGCTGTATCTAGTTTGGGGGATCATCATATACCCAGATGTTCTGGTATTTGAACGTCGGTAAGGTCCTAGTCAATCTGCCATGGCTTCTCCGCTTCCTCACCCTGAGCCCGAGTGAGACCGAGACCAAGTCTGAAATAAGGTACAAGGGCAGTCATGTCGATTTCTCCCTGTCCCTGTATACCCTTGGGGTCATGCATATCCATTTTGTACTGTGTGGCGAGAGTAGATGTGGGAAGATATCGAAGTGAAAGGTTTTTGAAAGGGTGAAGTAGATTCTGGAGACTGAGACGAAGGTGAGGTAGAGATGCGGTGAAAGTCAAAAGTATGAGGTTAACGGGGAGTCATGACAATATCATGTGGCTCAAGATCGCGTGAGCAATTATTTTGCATACCCATAGCTGTTACATGAGCTACATGAGGTCAAGAGTTTGGCAGGTAGCTGGCACAACAACGCGCCTCCCTAGATTACAAAATATATTTGACGCTATGTGATATGGGTCGTCATCGAGAGGTCACAGTAGACTGAAACAATTATCCCTTGGTTACGGCAATATTGATGATTGAACCCGGCTGATTCTACACCGTAATTGGGTTTGGGATGGTGGGAAATTTGGTGTTGTTCTACACTATCTAATCAATCCGAGCTACAGGAGGATTGGATACTGACCAGATCACTCGAAGTATTGAAGCCGTGAGTTATTCGTTGCATGGGTTACCTGATTTGTAGTGGTTTCAAGCTAGAGAAAATAGACATCAAGTCGATTCGCGAATGATCCAGGTGATGCCTCGAAGTTTAACATCCAATTTACCTCCGATAGTTAGCCAGATGTCTCCTTCTCCAACGTCGGCCCTCCAAACATGGCTGCATCAGTAACCATCGGACTCTCTGGTTCCAAATTCATTCATGTGCAGAGTGTGATCTGGCTCCAGGCGAGCATTTCATCTAATGCACTCAGATGAAATAGTGTTTGAGTTATCAAGAGGGCTTTCTGGTATTTGAGACAGTGGAGAGGACGACAGGTAATGAAGAGAGTTGAATTAGTGGCTGTGTGTGACCCTTCATACTATATGCCCAGCTGATATATCTCTCCACATGTAACCAATGCACGTATATCATGCAGATCATGCCTAATATCTCTTTTCATGTATCAGAGGGAAGCCCGAACCCGATTCAAAATTACCGTTTGCGTCTGCAAAAACTCATTCAAGCCCCATTTTCCTCCAAACCGACCATATCCACTGTCGCCCACTCCTCCATGCGGTAACGTCGGTTCGTCATGTACCGTGCCCCCGTTGACATGAACCGCTCCCACAGCAATATCTGCAGACATTTCCAGAGCCTTGAAATGATCACGCGTAAACACCGCCGATGAAAGGCCGTACGCGGACCGCTTAACCATTTGCAAACCCTTCTCTGCCGAATCAACAGCGATGATTCCAAACACCGGTCCAAACGACTCGATCGTATAGAACTCCATCTCCTCCGTGACTCCTTCAATCACAGTAGCTGGGAATGCCAAGGGATCCTCAGCGAGAGGGTTACGAGCCTGGTGAATGACACCCCCCTTAGACCGCGCATCATCTACCAACTGCGTAAGACGGGCTCGGCTCGCTGCCGAAATAACCTTGTGTGGCCGATCTTCGCTGTGCAAGCGCTCTAAAAGCTTCTTAGTCAACTCCTCCGCCACCGAGCGAACAACGTAGACGAGATCAGTCGACATGCAAATCTGGCCATTCTGTTGGCAAAATTTGTCAGCACACATTCTCCTCCACTACAGCACCATGGATAGATGCAGATACTCACATTCAAATATCCCGCCGCAACAATCTCATCCGCCGCCTGATCCAAATCCGCATCCTCCAACACCACCACGGGGTTCTTGCCACCCAATTCCAACAGCACCGGCTTCAACGCCATCGCCGCCTTGGACGCGATCACACGTCCCACCTGGGTTGATCCGGTGAAGTTACATTTCTTCACAGCCGGATGCTGAATCATACACTCGTAGATCTCTGCCGCGTCCTGCGGCCGATGCAGAACGAAGTTAATGACTCCTGGCGGGAACCCTGCCTCCCGGAACAGTGCCGCGAGGAAGTAATGCGTTTGGGGACTCAACTCAGAGCCCTACTCTTGTCAGCAACAAATTCCTCTTCCTCATAGGTGATAATAGTAACTCAAGTTCTCACCTTCAAAATAGCTGTGTTGCCCGCCGCAATTACCGGAATCACCGATCTCAGTCCCAAAATTACCGGCGCGTTCCACGGCGCGATGCCCAGCACCACACCGAGCGGCTTCTTCATCACAAGGGCGTACGTATTTCCCTGCGACGAAGGGATAGTGCCGCTAATGGCGTCTGTTATTACTGAAGCGGTCTCTTCGACAATGCCGGCTGCGATTTCAACGTTGAGGTGAGACCAGAGTGGTGTGCAGTGGATTTCATCTTTGATGAGGGTCTGAATGGTGTTGGATTTTTCGCGAAGGAGCTGTACATTCACTTCTTATTAGACACAATTACTTTTCCATAAATTTAGTGCATGGAATTACTTACCTTGGCTAGATTCAGTAGTAAACGTCGACGTTCCTCGGGGGGTGTTTGCGACCATGTTGGGAAGGCACTTGCGCAGGATTCGACGGCTTGGATGGCGAGATCGGGCGTTGCGCCTTGGAAGGATTTCAAATGAGGTGCGGATGTAGACGTGATGGGATGTTTGCGGTCACTATTGGAGATAAGGACATCCTTGCCGTGGATTATCAGGGGAATTGCGGTTGTGGTGACCATCTTGGTATGTCCGGGGAGTGTGTGATTTGTTTTTCTGCAGGATCAATCATGTTTCGTTTTTCTGGGGGCACCCCCTCTTCTATTTGAAGGAAACACAGACGCCACTACCGACATTAGTAACCGTTGAAGCAACCCCCTGTCACTTCTTCAGGGTTTGGTTCCGCTTCGGAATTCGAGCGCGCAGTTAGCGCCCAGCGAGAGGAGTCTGCAGGTCGAGACGTTGCCGCGTCTTCTATCCGGACCCGCTGTGGCATATTAGAGTTAAGGTCCTTGCGGGGTGCTATATCCGGCTTATTGCTGGTTGCTGGCTGTGTATATCCGAAACTGGCAGAGATTTGGTGAGCAGTTCGGATATACGGGCGATGGCGAGCGTTAGCGTGGTGGGGCGGCGAGTGAACCACGGCTGTCATTTCAGACTAAACTGCCTCAAAAGTTGGGGTATTCTGATCTATTTAATGAGACGTTTGGCCTGATTGTATGACACATGGCAGATATTAAAGTAATAAGGTAAGCCGGTACTGCATTACTATCTTTCGCAATCTATCGCAGTAGCATCCTCATGTACATAGTGTCTGAAGAGTGGTGACAGCAGGAAATGCAGTTTGCGGAAGGTCGGCACTTGACTCCACAAACCGTGGGACCTGGGCCCGGCTTTAGATCGATGTCCGGGGTTATCTCCGCTGTGTATCGGAGATCTTAATCGTATTCCGTGAATGTCAGGGGCAAGGAAGGGACGTGGTATCCATAGCTTCTCGAATGACCCACCTATTAGGCACATAGCTGCTTAACCCATATATAGGCATATAATAACCTGAGTCAACGGAGTCCGATGTCTAAGTCCGAACCTGGACCTGACGAATTGCAAGTGGGCCTCGAAGACAACATTGATTCCGCGATGGTGGTCTCAGCGGTTAGGGCTAGAATGTCATGTTCTACAAGCTTGGGAGTGCGAGTCAAGAGACAATATTCTTACTTATATTTTTATGTTAGCCCCCCAATAGTCGAGTGGTCGTCCACCTTCAGGGTATACGTCTCCACCCAGCTCCGTAGCAGCATGGGTACGAATCCCTCAGAGGGATTTGTTTTTTGGATTTCTTTTTTCCTTCCGCTCAATATTGACGGTCTCCAGGTTATTGTGCTTCGTGCTCCTTCTGTCACCTCAAATCTGTTCAGACGTAGCTGTTATCTTGGTGCAGCTGACTTATTCTTAGCCAACTTTGTGAAAATTTCTGTATCCTCAGCCTGGGTTTTTGGGACTATATGCATTGTTCGGAAGAGATATATATATGTAGCCCGAACAGCAATCAGCACGCTTGTTTACGGTCCAACTTGCTCCAAAAACAAAGAAAGTCTGTTTAAATTCTTGCTGTACGATGTTGACTGATGCCCTAAGTTTACTGTATGCAGTTACTGAAAGGTTCAACTGGGCAAAGAACGATACACACTGGAGTACTGGTTGACCGGTGTCTCAGGACAATTTAGTCCAGGTTTCCGGTGGCAGGCTAAGAGCGACTACACTCTGTGATTACACGTTAACAAAATACGCACCAATTATAGAAGGGTCATACTTGCGAATAATTGCGGCACTATATATCTCTCATGGTTGAATAATGGGAAATTAACTTCTTATGTAGTTCAGCTGACGCGGGTAATCAAGCAAGGAATTCCAATACCCCAGTCGTCTCTCCCTAATCCCAGCATCAGCCGACTGAAGACAAGCAACGAATATTCTCATTCCTAATGCGGCGACTTATACCGATGAAGCTAAGAGGAGAGAAGCGCATATATGGGGATATTCTGATTAATACCCGGGATCGGAGACCGGCGTTTGCTTGGTAACCTTCGTTTAGAATTTTGGAACTATGCTAATTTTATATAATCTGTTATTGTACAGCTATTCATAAAGGTCGCCTTGTCGTTGATATGGATCACGTTAACATAAGGAGAAATTATAAAGACAATAGCAGGAATGCTCAACAAAAGGATATGACTTCACGAACATGATCAGGTAGATCCGAGCAGGTCCAGTGACTAGAAGCTAAGTAACTCAGATGTGTATAAATAAACTCAGAGTGGTTAAAAAATTACAAATTAACGTTACGCCATAATATGTGAGTGATGGTGGAGTTTGCAGAGTTCTGACCATTGCTTTGTATGGTACTTATATATTTGAAAACAGTGAACGAGTTCTGACCACTAAATGGATCCAGGGCGACTTTAACCAGCTGTCAGAATTCATTAAAATATGCAAAGAATCCTGCCCCAATCAGTGTGCGAATCACACTGGACAACCCGTACAATAAGCGAGCCTTTGTTTTTATCACTTTTGACTTTGTATACAATCTGCTGTTTTATCCAACATATCGTATGCATACTTGGGCTTGGGACTGAGGGGTGAGACATAACCATGAAGAGCGCCGGTGGCCCTAGGACAAGCAGCATAAATCTACAAGGAAATATGTAATTACGGAAACCCTGTCATGTTTATAACTACACAGAAGTCCAGCTGTGTGTGTAGCATCTGTCAGGGCCACTCCCTATGCGTGCTTCTACGAATGGAGTTCCTCCTTCTCAGCTACACTATCAGGAAAAAAGACTAAATTTCTGACCCAACAGGCTCAGGTGCACATCCCCTATAAGCTTGGCCCTCCTAGTGGCCCTCACAGAATCTAGCCAATCGAATTTTGTTTTCGAATGATCATAGTGCTTGTGAAGCTTTATGCAGTCCACCTGAATACCCAGTTTAGAAGCCCAAGGCTTTACCTGAGACACGCTGAGTGGGCAAGATATCATTTAGGAAAACACTAGGTTTGTTTGCTAGTCAGTAAGAGATCTAATCATTCCGGTGTTTGGTACGATCGAGGTTCCTTGTGGGCTCGAAAATTTCGAATCGCACAATCTCCACAAAACGTTTCAAAGATATAGACTACATCTGCCTGGTACCACAGCCCCAACAAACCAGAGACTCGATGAATAAGCAGAATCAATACCACAATGTGGAACATGATCGCCTCATGTTACCGTCATTATAGCAGCTCCAATGCCCCCTGCGATAGGGCTTCTCTATTAGTGCCATTGGGCGTCAAGTAATGGATAGACCTCGAAGTCGTGATAACCTATGTGGACGAACACCCAAGAAGTGCGGTTTGGGCTGCTGAGTAACATCACATCATTACTGTACAGGGCAAAGGAAGAAACTGTGACAGGTTTGCCACCTGTGGACCAAACCTTTACTGACAATCTTTTCATGCGGTCCCGTCGCACAGTGCGGGATCTGAAAATCAGGAGCACAACGACCAAGGTTAAGCAGCCCCGAGGTAATGTGGATGTTGGGCACAGGGTGAATGTTGCTTGAGTGATGTGCGCATCATATGCTCAGTATTTTCTTGGCCACATCAACCGAGTTGAGAAGGACAGGATCGGTATTGGGCATAAATGATCATCATCATTGAGAGATCGTATGGGTTTCTAAATGGGGTAAGCTGCAACGTCGGTGGAGCCACCACAGAGTTGAAACTTTGTTACGATCGTGATGATGATGATGAGACGAAGGACGATGACAGGAAACAAGCGGTGTCTCCTGATGATTTCAGTTCCTGTGCCTTGGCCTCATGCATGGTTTCTGTTCTCTTCAGGTCCGTGGTTCTTCTACCACCAATGACGTAGTGAGAGAGATATTGAATGGTTGTCTTGAAAAGAAATCGTGCAAAAATCACGAGAACGGCCTTGCACTAAACCATTTTCAGCCATGGCTCCGAGGGCGGTGCAACGGGTGGAGACTCAACAAGGTTAGACTTATTCGCAGTATGCATATTTTTTTGCGCTAGTCCTGGAGTGGCAAGGTCGAACTCAAAAATTGGGAACGGAAACGGAAGACCAGCGAGGACCCCAACAAAATTCAACGGGCAAAAAGAGATGACCAGACTGGGGCTCGATCCCAGGACCTTATCGGTGTTAACGATACGTGATAACCAACTACACCATCCGGCCAACTGTTGATATTTGCTTTTTCTCTTCGGGGATTATGTCTCATTGGCAAATGTGGAGGAATCATCTCACCACTGCGGCTTCGGCTTCTCTCCTCTCCTCACACCACCGGCTTCATTACAGGTTTCGGCATCAATTCATCAACGTTACTATGTTATCCTCTCGTGCATCAGGCCACTCATGCTTGCCACGGTCAATAACCTCAGATGCCGGTTTACCCCTATTATGACATATCGCCAAGTCACTGTCCACTCCATATCCGAGCCGATTGCAATAGTTCGGCATCCTTCGCGACGGCAACTGCCTCCGTCTTATGCACGGCATCCACGGCATGCCGTCACGATGCTGGCCAGTCTCTGGCTCGGATGAACTCGGCGCCTCACACCTCAGCGGCTCAGCCATCTGCATCCTCACTTCTCCATCCCGACCCGAAAATCCTGGCAGCTTTTCGGAGCTGTGGAGCTCTCATCCCATACGTGTCAGTTGCCAAACAATCAACGCAGCAAAACTTACCCGACATCCCGCCTAGCATTGCCTGTCAGAGTCGTGAAGCGCGAATAACACGTTTTTAGGCTAAAACGTCTTCCGGATAAAGGGTGAGATTGACGCTATAGTCTAGCACTATCTACCAGCTCTACGCGAGGCGCGAGACACGCATCCAGAGTGGTCCAGGTGCATCTCAAGGCAGGTCAGCCGGCTTGTTCGGCACAGTCCAAGCTGGCTCGTCCACTGCTCATGACTAACTGCTTTGGACTGGTGGACCCCGAGGATTTCTGTAGTCTACGAGGTTTCAGTTGAACCGAGATTCATTAATTTCACCAGAGGTTCTGGAATCCTTCAAGGATATCTAGCTCACCCCGGCAAACACCCATATAAGAGGATTGACAGTCCGGAGTATGGAGGCGGCTAAGTTTGTGATAATCCTGGAGAAGACACACGATCATTGCCGGTCTGACCCTTGACACTGGGGATAGTCGGCATGGTGCGCAAACGTGAGACACGGCGTGCATACGACTTGCTGCAGCTGCTTCCCGGTTTAGCTGCGGTGAGGTCTTTTCCCCGAGGTCAACCCGAGACTACCCCCGAAAAGCGTGGGATGGACCCAGTGAGTGGCAAGGCTCCGAGTCGGCCCGATGGCTGACTTGCCTTTCTCGGGATGCCGACTGGTCGACGGTTGGCTTAGGGTTGGCCGATGATCCAAGTTATGGATCTGATCTCGGGCGAGTTCCGAGGATCATCCCTTCCCTCCCGCAACAGGGGGTATGGATATGAGAGCTGGCTGTACATTGTAGGGAGGGATATCAGTGTCAGAGAAACGTGTGGGAGCATTTCTTCAAAGAAGATCAAATGCCTGTAAAGAGATTTACTCTCTGAAAGATGAAAAATCTGATCCCGGCAAGGAACAGGCAGGTGATGGGCAAGTTTCCCCGAGGTTTCTCAGACCCCAAACCAACCGATCCAGAATGGATCGACCGCAGAGTTTGCGGCCCACTTGAACCACAATGTGATGCCTGGATGGCGGAGGCAGGACAAGTGGACAACAACCGTCCACCAGGCTAGCCCTGGCCGGCATCATTCGTGCAGGGCAGTAAAACTTCTCCAGCCTCGGGGCCACCGTCCAGTTTCCACCCCGACTTTATGACGCACCCCAGAAGGATATCGAAGCATCGCTTATGCGCAGGTGGACCGACAGGAGGGAAAAACCGGAGTCTTCACCCACGGAGTTGAACGGGCTTGCGGGCTTGCCCCCTTCCCCCGTGTTTTTGTTTTATATTTCCCCCATCTCCCGCAATTCTTGACCCTTTCTTCTTTCTCTCTCACTCCTCCTTCTCCCTTTCCTCCCTCCCTCTCCTCCTCCTCTTCTTCAACATGGACAAAATGGACAAGTCCCAGCCCGCCCTCTCCTCCCATACGGAGAATGCCTCTCCGGGCCCCTCCAGCGTGACTGCCTCAACGGCGTCAGGTCGCGTGGCCGGTGGGAAATACCTCGAGGGTGTCAACGAGAGCTCGGCCCATGATGGCCCCCTCCAAACCGTTGACTTCGACCTCCCCGTCACCGTCACCCAACGCATGGTCCAAGACGGTAACCAGTACATCGTCCTCGACTTCGTCCCGGGAGACAAGGAGAACCCCTTCAACTGGGACCCAAAGTACAAGGCTTTCATCAGCTGCCTTCTCTGTCTCATGACCCTCTTCATCGGTCTCGCCACAACAGCCTACAGCTCCGGTATCAGCGACATGGCCTCCGACCTGGGCACCTCTACCGAAATTGCCGAACTCGGTCTCTTCCTCTTCAACTTCACCTGTGCCTTGGCTCCGCTCTTCCTGGCCCCCTTCTGTGAGTTGGCTGGCCGCCGTGTCGTCTACACCGGCGCCTACTTCTGCTTCGCCATTATGTTCATCGGTCTCGCCCTGGGCAAGAACATCGGCACCATCCTCGTCTGCCGTGCCCTGCTCGGTCTGTTCGGTTGTGTCGGTACCATCCTTGTCGGTGGTACCTTCGGTGACATGTACCGCCCCGAGGACCGCGCCATCCCCGTTGCAACCTTCTCTTTCATCGCCATCTTCGGTACCGTCGGTGCCCCCATCTACGCCGGCTTCATCGATCAGGCTCTGGGCTGGCGTTGGGTTGAGGGTATCCAGGGTCTCGCCAACATTCCCCTCGGCCTCGTCATCCTCTTCTTCCTCCCGGAAACCCGTGGTAGCGTCGCTCTCGGCAAGCGCGCCAAGGCCCTCCGCACCCACACCGGTGATGACCGCTACGTGACCGAGAACGACCTGGAAGCCCCCTCCCTCAAGACCATGCTTCACAACTCCTCCGTCAAGGCCATCAAGATGCTGGCCACCGAACCCGTCGTCTTCGCCTTCGGTCTCTGGATCGCCTTCGCCTGGTTCCTGACCTTCCTCTTCCTTAGCGTCATCCCCATCACCTTCCAAGAAAAGAAGGGCTGGAACGAGGGTGTCTCCGGTCTTCCCTACATCGCACTCTGCCTGGGAACCACCATGGGCTTCGGTCTCAACTTCTTCCAGATCCGCAAGTACGAATCCCTTGTTCAGATTGGCGAGGCTCGCCCCGAGGCTCGTCTCTACGGTGCCCTTTACGGTGCCGTCTGGCTCCCCATCGGTCTCTTCATCTACTCCTTCACCCAGTACGCCGATCTCCCCTGGATCGCTCCCGTCATTGCCCTGGTCCTCATCGCCATCGGTATCTTCTTCATCTTCGAGTCCTGCTACAGCTTCACCTCCGATTGCTACGGTGAGAGCTCGTCCTCGGCTATCGCCGGTCAGGGTTTCATGCGTAACACCCTGGGTGCCGTGTCCCCCTTGTCGCCTCCAGTCTTCACACGTCGCTCTCAGTATGCCGGTCTGATCCTGGCTCTGATTGCCACTGCCTTGACGCTCATCCCCTACGTGCTGTTCTGGTACGGACCCCAGCTCCGGGCTAGGAGTAAGCTCGCTAGTCTGGTTGTGCATGGCGATGGCGAGAAGAAGGGCCCAACGACTCTGCTGGTCAGGGTGTGTAAATGTTCTTACGTCCCTCTCCCCTTGATCTATGGTCGGTCTGTCTGTCCCCGGTTCGGATGGATAGATACTACTATTGATGTGTATATATGAGATTGTCGGGTGTTATGATTGACCAAGTATATATGTTACCCACTCTGAAACAAGAGAATGAAAAAAAAAGAATTTTCATGAACATCTTCATGACTGTTGCCTTCACTGTAAACAAAGTAGATCGATTAGATTAAAGGGTATCATCGTATCATAGAGTATCCCTCGCCTGCACAACCAACACATCCCCACCACCCATCTGCACCAACTTCTCCCCCAGCACCCCCAATACCCCTCCGCCATCCTTATCTTCATCCCCATCATCCACTATCGTATCCACCCCCACACTCCCCCTCCCCACAACAACCAACCCACCAGCCCGTTGCCCAGACCCTAATCTCCCCAGTTCCTCCTTGACATGCTCAACCACCCTCTCCACCACCCCACTACTGCTCTGCTCGATCCCACCCGCAAGAACCAATTTCTTGAATACCATCCGCGCCGCCACATCCTCATCCAACGAATCCTTCAACGCAGTAAGATACACCGCATCCGAGTCATCAACCTCACGCTTCTTACCACCACCACCACCACCACCGCTGCTACTCGTACTACTACTATCCTTCTTCCTATTCCTCACCCCTCCCACAAGACCCCCAGCAACAGCAGCCTTCGGCGTAGCAATCGGCGTCCGATCGCCAACAACATGCACAACCGTCGCCGTAACCTGATCATTCCTAATCAACTGCAGTACCAACCTAATCGCGAAGCGATCATCCCCCCGAAATACGGCAACAGAATATGATGCGCTTTCCTCGTCGTCGGCACCACCGCAACACCCCTATCCCCACTACTGCCAATACCCATATTCAAATTCCCACTATGTATACTCAACCCCCCAAGCGAGGGCTTACCGCGCAGCCCCCGCCCATTATTTCTCCTCGTTGGCGTTCTCTCAACCAACAACCCCACATTACACCGCACATTGCGCAACACACTCTCCGCGAAAGCCGTATACGGCGCGGACGCCACGAAGCGGGTGGCATTGGGATCATCCAGAACGGAATTCAAATCCAAGGGGTGGTGTTCAGACATGGAACCGGTTTCACTCCAGGGAAGGAGGAGCAGATCAGTCGAGTCGTCGCGAGCCATGCTGACTACTGTATCGGCGTAGGAGTGTTCGGGTACGACGGAGACGCCGGCTACGATGGAAAGATCGTGCCATTGGCCGAAGGCGCGGAAGGTGTTCACGACGGGATCCCAGACGGGGTAGTGGAGTTGGTCGAGTTCGGAGACGGTCATGACGCTGGAGTCGCGGTCTGTGAGTTCGAGGAGGCGGACACCGTGGACTTGAAGGGTGGGTTTGGGGTCTTGGTCTTCTTGGTCTTCGTCTTCTTCTGTCTTGGTGGTTGCTGTGGCTGTTTCTTCGGCAGCCGGGTCAGGGGAGGCGAGGGTGTCCGGGTGTTGCTTTGGGAGAGGGGGACGGTTTGGGGAAAGGAGGGCAGCAAGAGTGCAGATGCTGGAGAGGCCGTCGAGGCGCAGGTAGACGAGAAGTTTGCGGACGGGAAGAGCGCGGTGCTGTTCTTTGGCCAATGCGATGCTGTCGGTGCGGGCGTCGGAGGGGATGGGGTTGCCGGTCTTCCAGTCAATTTCGCCGCGGCGCCAGCGCTCGACTTTGACTTGGTACCATTTGGGGTAGAGGGCAACGGTGAGGGGAGTGGTGGCGAAGGTGGTTACTAGGGCCATGACGACGAACATAGTGAAGGTGCGAGTGCTGAGGATGCGGGCTTGGAGGCCGATGTTCTGGGTTGATTAGTTGGGGAGTGTGATAGTGGGAAGGGAAGGGGCATACCAAGACGATCAGCTCGACGAGACCCTTGCAGCTCATTAGCACACCGATGGAAAAACTCTCGCGCCAGAGAAGGCCGCAAAGTCGCGAGGCGAGAGCACCGCCAGCTACTTTGGCCGTGAAGGCGATGGCAATGATGCCGACCACGTAGCCCCAGACGGTGCCGTTGTCAAGCAGACCCAGGTTGGTTTGGAGGCCGGAGAGGGTGAAGTAGAGCGGAAGAAAGAGCGCAGCGACAAGATCTTCGATCTTCTCGGTTAGTTTGATGGCGAAGCCGCCCTCGTGCGGACATAGTAAGCCGATGATGAAGCCGCCGAAAATGGCGTGGATGCCGATGATCTGGGTGAAGAAGGCCGAGGCCAGTGCGATGAGTAGCGTGATGGCGACTACAGACTGACTGGGTCCTTTCTGCAGGCTGCCCGTGTGGCGGAGGAAGCGCAGGAAAAGTGGTCGGAAGATGAAGGTGAGGAACAGGATGTACCCAACACAGACGAGCAAGACCCAGAGTGCAGTGAGGCCAGTGCCGGCGTTGACGAGGGCGACGCACAGAGCGAGTAGAATCCAACCGACGACATCGTTTCCAACGCCGGCTGAGAGCACGATTACACCGACATTAGTTCCCAGTAATTTGAGCTCCGTTAAGATACGGCACAGAACGGGGAACGCCTTCCCAGCGGTTAGCAAAATAAGACGGTTTGTGACTCAAAAACGACTTACAGTGATAGCCATAGCAATACCGATAAAGAGCAAAAAGGTGCCAAAGTTAATATCCACCGTGTCCGGTTCATCCTGGAAGGTGTTATACAGTCCATATGCAATGGCGCAGCCCAAACCAAAGGGCAAAATCATGCCAGCAGCCGACACGCTAACGGCGACGCGCCAGTTACTGACCAGGAAACGCAGGTTGGTTTCCAGCCCCACGAGGAACAGAAAAAGCACCAGCCCCAGATTCGCGACCAAATTCAGATTGGGAATAGAGGCGGTTGGAAATATGGCATCGGTGAAGCCGGGAATACGGCCCATTACCGAGGGGCCTAGTATGACGCCAGCAATGACTTCTGCGATCACGCGCGGCTGGCGGATCTTGGAAAGTGGCCAGTGTAGCAGGCGGCAGAAGATGATGATTATGCCGGCCTGATCGACGTTAGCAGAGTAGCATTTGGAAGATTTAGCAGGGAACACCCACCTGGATGATGAAAATAACGATGGGATTAGACGAGTCATAATGGGCGGGATTGCTGCCTTCGAGGATGCCTCCTTGAGCCTTGACTTTGGTGGTGGAATTGGAGGACATGGTGTCAGCCCGTAGGCTACAGGAGAATTTAGGAGAGCGTATACGTAGAGAGCAGTAAGGGGGAGAGTGACAGCACAGCGGAGAATTCGGAAAGATGGGGGTGGAAAAGGAAGATAGACAAAGAAGACAGATGGAGGGGGGGATGCGGTGGAGGCCCAGTTTTTCTGATCGGGGCTTTGCGGGTCCACGTGGCTGGCATGAATCCGGGGTTGAATACGAGAACTCACCACTTCTTTGACTCAATGCCAACCAGCCACCGACCGTCTAGACCGCCAGTCATCCTTCAGTGGCGCGGCACGGTCCAGCACTCCCCTGGCCGTCATAAAAGACAAATAGCAACTGTGCGAGCAGGGAATTAAATCCGTTGGTTGGCCCGAGCACAACCTGGTCCGTGCTTGGCGGCAATTGCCCGGGTCGCTTAGGGTTGACGATGACAGCCGAACGTTGTTTACTGTTTCGTCTAGGATCCACAGGTAGAGTCTATTGATAGATACTAGAGAATATAAAACCGTACGTACTTACTGATTAGAAGGGTCTTCATTGTATGATATGGAACATTTATGAGGAGCATCTAATTCAATAAGGTTGGCTTCACATCGTCCAAGGCTGACTGGCTCCTAAGATTATCCGGAGCACAAATAGTAACGTCTTGACAAACCACTACAGTCGACCTAAAGTGGCTACCGCGCTCAACAAAGATCCCGAACCATCCCAAATCGGCACTTGCACCGCCTTTGCATCCATATTGAATGACACCCGGTGATCCGGACTCAGCTGGAGGGTGAATTGCGATCCATCGAAGCTGCCTCCGAAGGAATTCAAGCTGATGTCCTCTGTCGTGACTGTCTCACGGGAAGTAGCTCGCGCAATCCAGGTGCCCGTGTCACTTCCCGTTTCCGTTCGGAGCTGCTGCTGCTGCTGAACTTGTGACTGTTTCTTGGTCGCGCTTCCCCGCTGTCGAAGTTTCTCCATGGGCCAGTCTGGAATGCGGCCTGGGATGGTAGTCGCAGAATCATTCGCCGTGGAGCCCCCAGAAGCCAAACTAGCAGCGGAGAAGGAGTTATCAGACATAGAACTGAGAGAGCTGGTGGGATCAGGGACGATGGCGTCCAATGTGAGGGTCAAAGCTATTTCCGTGGCAATGGCGCTCACTGGATTAGCCCCCCACGACGCCGGTACATTCATGCCAACGTTCCCGCCGACAAAACCGCCAATGGCCCCCGTAAAGGCATCCATGGCAAGACTGCGGTATGTTGGGGTGGTCCCCGTGGCCGTGTCATAGATAACGCCGACGATCACATTGACGAAGAGTCCAATGGCCACGCTGGCGGCTAATCCCACCGCGACTCCGGTTCCTGCGGTCACGAGTCCGACGGCCAGGCCCACTGACCACTGGGCGAAGGCGCGCCAGCTCCAATGGCCACTCGGATCGACGCGGTTGATAGGATTCGCCAAGCAGTAGGCGTACGGGTTGATTTCCCCGGAGGTGAAGGGGCTCCATGGGTCCGGCTGGAGAAAGCTCTTCAGACTCGGATTGTACACCCGGTTTCCCGACCCCAGATGGTACCACCCGGTGACTGGATCCCGCCATTCTCCGTTGAAGCCAATGGCCGCACCCCCACTACCGTGGCTGAAACCATAAGGCGTGTACGGCTGGTCGTGAATCCGCTCCGGATCCTGCGTCTCCAGCCAGGTGGAGACCGAGTGCTGGGCGTCAGAACCCCAGAGTTGGATGTTCACCTTGCTTCCCTGCTTCTGGACTTCGCCCGAGTACACCCCGCCGTCCGAGACGAAGCTAGTCTGACGTTCTCCTTTGGTAATAGCTACCAGGGCGTCTCCGCGGTAAGAGAACTGAGTATCGGGTTCATTAGGGATCCTCTGACGAACGAGCCGGTCCGTCGCATCATATGCGTACTCGCAGAGGAGGTGGTTCTGGTCATCATAAACGGCGGCCAGGCGATGTGACGCGTTGTATACCAGTGTCCGGCCATGCTCGTCTTTTGTTAAGCAGCCGTTCGCATCGTACTTGAGGTCAATCACCGTCGCCTCGTCAGGGTGGGTGTTGGTGATCCGGACAAGTTGCGTCGGGTCTTGGGCGCTGTATGTATAGCTCTGGGTGTTCTCACTGCCATCCACAAACGAGGTTTGAATTTGGGTGAAGCCATCATAGCCATTAAGCGTAAATCGTTGCCGGCGCAGGGAACGTCCTTTCTCATCGACTGGAGGCTGTGTGCCCTGGCATTCGTAGTCCACCAACCGACTCAGGCTGTCGTACTGGAAGGTTTCCTGCCGCGTCACAGTGCCATCACCATCGCTTCGTTGGCGTGTAGTCACTAGCCCTGTGGCATCGTAAGCCTGGGTGCACTGGGATAACTTCTTTGTCCCGTTCCAGATCGTCCGCTGGATCTCCCGGCCAAATTCATCGTATTCAATGTTCGTTGTCAGAGTCACGCTTGTGCTACTATCCTGGGCCACAGTCGTGACAACGCGGTCTGCCTTATCATAGCTCAGTGTAGTCTTGAGTGTTCCTACACGGATCTCCCGCCGCCGACCATACGCATCGTACTGAGTCACATGTTGTTGCCCGTTGATATCAGTGTACTCTTGTAGCTTACCTGCTTGCGAGTATACGTACTGCACAGTGCGTGCCCCGTCCGCGACTTCAACAGTCTCCTGGGACACCAAGCTGGAGGGGTAGTAGCTGAGGTTGGCGGCGACAAGCGGACTGTCCAGCTGCAAGACATCCCCGGTTTGCTTGTTATACTGGTAGGCGTCGGTACCGTCGCTGGTTACCCGGCCTGTCAGTGCATAATCCAACGCCGGCTCGTACGTGCGTTGGGTTCGCTCTCCCTTAGGATCAGTGACTTGGGCTGGGACAGGCTGGACGCCTTGATAAGCGCTGCTGGTAGTGCGCCCACCGACAGTGGTCCGGAGCAGCCGCTCCAAGCCATCAAATGATTGCTCACTAAAGTCTGTGGTACCCTGAAGATTGATGGCCACGGGCAGGGCTGCAGTACTTTGGGCAGCATACTGGGTGGTAATAGAGTGACTATCGGGCCAGGTGGTCTGAATTATCCGATCGAAACTGTCGTAGGTATACTGCGTAGAACGGCCCAAGCCATCTGTCATCTGCCTGCGGCGTCCAAGACCATCATAGGCATATTCCACCGTGCTCTCGACGGTTCCGTTGCGCCGGACCAGGGCTTCGGACGTCGGGGTCATGAACGTGTTGTATTGGACCCGGGTCTGGCCTTCACCCTCGAAGCCCACCGTCTGGGTCAAGGCAATGGGGTCGGTCACGGAAAGCTGCACAGAGCCGCTGTTCTTGGTAACCTTATAGACCTGACCCCAATCATCGTACTCCAGGGAGCGCGTTATCCTCAGCTCCGTGGTGGCGGTCCCATTGGCTCGCAGCCAGTCAATCTCCGTCTCCTCGATACACTGATCGAGGGCGTTGTAGCGGCGCTCCCGCACGACCCGGAATGTTCCGGTGTAGGCATTATATTGATCCCACTGGCCATCATCGTCTTGGGACTCCACCCGAACCACACGATCCAACCCATCAGTGAAGTACCGTGTTTGTACCCCCTTGGTGTCCGTCACCGTGACGCGCCATCCCGCGGTGTCCTCAAGAACCGCATATGCATGTTCTGTTGTAGCCTCGAAGGCCGTGCCGGGGGCGGTAGTGGTCTGGAGCAATCGAGCCATCGAGTCGTACTGCTGCATGGTCTCGGTCCCTGCCCGGTCCTTGGTGGCGAGGGTCAGTCCGGATACCAGGGAGGATGTGGTCTCCTCCTGAGTGGTCTGACCATCATAGCTCGTCATGATGGTGGTCTTTCTCAATTTTAAAGAACTGTCATGGTTGTAGGTCCACTTGTACGTAGTGGAGCTCTGATCAAGCAAGCGCGTGACTTGTTGCTGCACTCGCCCATGGTCTGTGGACTGGGGTTGGTTCACGTAGGTGTAATCCGAGCTGGAGAGCGTCCGACCCTCCTCGGTCAGCTGCCGCTGCTGGACGGCCACACAGTAATCTGTCAGGGCATCGGTGGTCGTTGGGAGCTGGAGATATGTATAGCTATGTGCTCGAGTTGGTGTTGAAAAGTTGCTGGTTGCGGGGACCACGGTCTCCCGTTTGAGATAGCGCTGAAACCCATGGGGATCGGGCGGGCAAAGCACCTGGCCCGACACCACCTCACCAGCGGGGTCGTAGTAATCGCGGGTGGTCGTGATGCCACTTGGGGGAACTTCACTGGTTTGGTTGCCCCAGTCATCATAGGTGGATTGGGTTGTCTCCGTACGCGCGGTCCCGGTAGAGGTGTCCCGGTAGGTGGTGGTCTGGGTTTTGGGCAGTTGGTATTGAGCGGGTTGACCATCAAAGGCGGTATTGCTCAAGGCATAGTAGGTGGTAGCCTGTGTGACCTGCTTGGTTCCCTTCTGCTGTTGCTTGCTGACCAACAGATGGAATTTATTATAGGTATGCTTGGTAGTGGTGCCGCCCTCCACCTGACTAGTTGAGGTGTATTCGTAGTCAGCTGGTGTCAGGTAGAGGTTGTCCCCGTCGTTGGTCCAGTTGCGGCCTCCGCCATAGCCAAGGAAGTTACGGTCCGAGTAGCTGTACGTAGTCCGAATCGCAGGCTGGTCATGGAGTGGCCGTACCGTATGGGAGATGACGTAGGGGATAGAATTGACTGGAGCACCACTCGGTAGCAGGAAGCCCGCTGCCTTGTAGGAGATGTCTTCTCTTGCACCTGTCGGGCTGATAACGCTGACCAGTCCCCCGGTACCATACGTGAACTTCCACGCTGGCGAACCATCCAGTGGCAGCCGAAGCTCCGTCAGCTGATTGTTGTTCTTCCGCAGTGTGAAGGTTGCGGCCTCGGCGGTTCCCGGAGCCAGGGTGATGGTGGTATACGTGCCGTAGGAGACCTCGAGCAGGACTTGCAAGTCGGACTAGATCTTGCTAAGTCGAGGCTGAGTCCCCGAATTCTCCCAGGAGAGCTTTAGCAAGCGGCCATTGGAACCATAGATCTCGGTTGGTACGCTGACAGTAGACCAACTGTATTTCGAGAGCACTTCCACCTGGCCTGACTTGAGGGTGACGCGGTAGCTCGTGGTACTCTTTTTCTGAAACACGAAGCTCTTGAGCTTCTGGTCCGCCGGGAACACCGAGCTGGTGGTCTCCTGAACTTTGTAGTTCTCCCCGGTGGACAAAACTAGAGTCTTGGATCCTTGATCGTAGGAGGAGAGGTTGCCAAACGACCAACCCTGGCCCAGGCCTACATCGTCGCCGTTCAAGGGGTTATAATGGAGAGATAGCTTGAGAGGCGGGCAGTTGCGAACCCCAGCCGGCACCTCGTAGAGAGAAATGGTGCAGTTGTATTGGCCGGTGCGAGGGTCAACCCCTTTCTCGACGTAAGAGTTGAAGTTAAAGCCCTGAGAGTAGATCATGATGAAGTGGAGAAATGGCAGAAGACAAATGGTTGTTGAGGTGACAGCAGGGTCCGGATTCACTGGATTTTTATATCCCTCTTCCTCCTCTCCTTCCCCTCCTCTCTCTTCTAACAACCCCATGTCCCTTTCTCATCCGTAGGAAAAGCAGACCCCTCCCCTCAGATCACATGAGTTGTGTAGGTTATTCGCTCATATTGAGTCCAGACCGAGCTAGATAACAAAGTGGCAATGAGAACCATTAGTGTCCGAGCAAATAGCAAGGAAGGTGATGAGAGTAGAGAGTACAAGTCCGGCTGCTTGGGAAACGCCACCAAGCTCATTGAGGGCTGGAAGGCGTCAATGAGGAGAAGACGGGGAATCCGTGGCAATCACACCAGCACCTCTTAGCGTCCATTGGTATGGGCCGATACCATCACCTTCACCTTCACCATCGTTTTCTAGCAACGATCGGGATTTGCTTTGAACAAGGAGACACGCTAAGAGGTACTCAATGCTACCAAGGCACGGAGCGGCCGGTTAGTTAATGCCCCGACTGAAGTACCTCAATCACACTGCATGAACCTGCATCATGGAGCTGTCCTGATAGGTCGTCGACCGGATTGAGCTAGAAAGGAACCATGTTCAGAATACATCGATGCTCATGCATACAGAGCGTCTGAAATTTGTCCCGCCAACTTGACAGGCATCAGAGACTGGGGATACTGTTAGCGAGTTACTGTGATAACTCTTTGAGGTGAGTGTTACTGTATAGTTCCCCGGGAATCAATACAGTCTCAGGAATGTTACAATCTCCCTAGCTATGGTGGATTCATAAGCGTTGCAAGAGTCTATTCCGGCATTTCCTTTTTTCGAGTAATTCCGTGAGAGAGCGGCAGCTGAGCTAGACTGCAGGACATGTCATGTACTAGTGATTCTCGTTACTACATTGTCACTATGTCGACAAGTCGGGCAAATAGACTCGTCCTCGGCGAGATTGCCAAAGAGATCGGACGATTCTTGCAGGCGATTCTACCGGAAGTATAGAATCCGCACTCGCTCCACAGACAAGCCTAGCCAAGTTTTCCAGAAGTTATTCCGATATCCCCAAATCCCGATCCTCATACTCTGATTATTCCAATCAGAATTGATAATAGTCAACAATAACTATTGATGGGGGCGGGGAATCTTTCGCTACGGTGTGACGCCGAAAAAGGTATTACACGCCGATGTCAGGCCGGATGTCAATCTTTGACTTACACTAGGCCGGTGCAGCGTAGCTACCTGGTTTTCAAAAGAAGTCCTCCACCGGTAGTAGCTTGAACCGAGTGGTTGGACAGGTTATAACGCCTAGTTTCAGGGTGGAGAGTTTCTCCAGATCCAAATCCCGATCGCAGTCGCACTAGGAAGTATAGCGGACCGGCTAATGCATGTCAATATGGCGGGAAGCTAGCTGCAAACCCCGAAGCGTGGCAAAATTGGCAAAATGGGCGCCTTCGTGTGAGAGACATCTTCAAGATGAGGGGTAACAGGCCAATCAGACCATGTAGATGTAATCTGCTATTGTCACACAATCAGGGAAGGATTCCCTTAGTCCTTCAGCTGTCCATGCATGTAGTAGACTACTACTAGTGATAGAAGCCGAAGATAGAGTGACGTTGGTCTTGGCTCTCAACTTTCCAGAATTCGCCCTCTCTGATAGTTTTCCTTCGTAGGATGAAAACTAGTACCAAAGGTTGCCTACGAGTAGCGTGTCAACAATCCAGAGGAATATATAAGATCAGTGGTAGTATCACCCTAACCTGCTTTACAAAATTAAACCATCATCTTCCAACCTCCTGACACATCGATAACTGTCTTCATTTCCTTTCTTTCTTCTGCCATAAACTCCCTCGTGCAATCAAAATGAGTGACAAGTGGGAAGTTGCGAATTTCAGTCTAAGCACAAATGTCCAGAATGAGACTGAAAGAGAGATCTTTGCCAATGGTAATATGCAGGCGCAGATTAACGTCAGAATCAAAGCCACCGTTTACGACACATTGAATACACCCTACCAGCTCACCGAGTCAGACCTGGAGAGTCTCAAGTTGATCGATTATAGCACAAAGGAGGAGTTGGCGGGAAAATGGACTTATTCCAGGGAAGAGGACGAGATTTTTGTTCATACTATGCCAGGGCAGCTGCCTTCTGCAGCACCCGTTGTGCCCAATGCGGATGGTTCTCAAACTGTTGTGCTCTGGGTCTCATCAACCACGCTTGGAGATAAAAGGATCGCCGCCCAGATTACGGAGCTTGGCGAGAAACCAGCAATTGTCACTACGACCGGTGGCACTTATGATTCTAGCATTACAATTGTCGCCAAGCAGCCAATCACTTACACGATGAATGATGTTACCGTTACCCGAGAAGATACGGCCGAAGGTTTTTGGTCCAAGAGGGTCTGGTTTGGGAATACCGAGAAGAGGTATGAATATGCTTGGGACCAAGACAACTACTATATCAAATCCAAACTCTATCCATTTGTGAAAGTGGATCCTAAAAATGTGGATACCGATGGTACACAGCAGCCCTATGGACGGAATACTTACTTCCGGGATGCGTTTGCCTATTTGGGCTTGGGTAACAATAGGGACGTCAGCATATTTTTCATGCCGCAAATGGGAGGTTCAAGCACGAAGTGGCGCGGTGTGTATGCTTCGAATGATTATAATATTATAGATACATGCGCGAAGGTCACGGTCAACCAGAGGCCGAACGAATTGTGTCTCACTCGTCTCTTGTTCGGAAACGGCTGGGTCTCTTGGTATTCAAACTGGCAACAAGATACTTGGTTCACTATTTACGATCAATATGGAAATCCCGGCTACTTTTCAGTCAAAACGAACGGAAGCAACACCATTTCCATCTCGACCAGATATGTTAACGAAGAGTTATCGGCTGATTCTAGAACCATCGAGTCCACTTCAAAGCTTTGACGACACTGCGCATCATAAATGGGAGTTGGAAGGACATTTACTTTGCCATTTACATTGAGGAGGGGTGAAAGGCCGTGATTTTGTCAGTTCACTGATGGATAATGGTAGGAGCCTCAGGACTCAACTTCCCTGGGGTAGCATTCTTCTGAGTTCAACCCTCGGGAACAGCATGATGTATATCGAATCTCGAGAATTCTGCATTCTTTATTGTTATATTTCTCCCATGTTCGCTGAGACATTGCTGCCGTAGTAGCTCTAGTCTTACGGGTCTAGTAATACAGATACATACACTATATGTCGAAGAATAACATCGATGGCTTACTTGTAGCTGAGGACCATGGCCTTGTGCGTGTCTAGCAAAAGATTATGTATCCTCGTGGAGCTCGCCAGTAAATTGGTTCTTGATGAGTAGGGTATAAAGAAGTTTAATGTGGGTACAGGGCTGTTTGGTTAACCATGTATTTAATGAATGGACTTACTTTCCATCTTCGCCTGTCTAGACTATACTGATAGTTTGGCTGTTGTCCCAGCCCTTCGTTCTCTTCTCCTTTTTGGTCCTCCAACTTCTTCTCTTGGTGTTAAATTTGGAATGGACAGAAGTGACTAGATGTTACTATCTCCTCCAGGAATAAGTGATGGTGCTGTATCATACTCTTGTTTAATCTCATCTGCCATCTCTCCTCTTCCCGTGAGATGTAAGGTCGTACTAGTAGTAGTATGAAGCAGTTCCCGGGATATGTAGTTACGAGTATAGAGGGTGGTACTAGTTCAACATACAAAAGTACTACTATCCAGTAACTCGTTGCGGAATACCCGCGCGAGTTGACTAAGATGGGTACGGGCGGGGGCGTCTTTAGAGCCGGCTTTGTGAGTAAACCTCTTCAGATCTGCGCTCCGCATGACGATATTGGTGAGATTGTGCTGGCACTCCGGGTCGTGATTGTCACAAGTCGACCACGGCCCAGAGGCGGAGGGTGTCCCTAGATTTTCTTCCATACCACCATCTGGTTTGAATTCAATTGTAGAGATTTATCCCATTTACCACGTTGCATCAGGTGGTAAAGAAGCTTCCACTGATCTACGCAATATCTGTAGTAGTCATCGATGCGGTTTTTCAACTTTCAGTGCTCAAGAGTGAGGAACATGTCATTGTACTTGGTCCCTATGCCGCAGCACATTAGATTTCCTTTAACTATCTGTCATTTAGGTCCACAAATCAACCCATTCGACAGGCTATATAGACTCAGTCATTTTGTTTACACACCACAGCTGACGTCCCTTTCAATAATTGAATCACGAGATAAGTAGTCGCATGTTTATCTACTTATTATGTCTTGATCTGTTTTAGAGCCAGCTGGATTAACAGGCATCCGTTGCAGTCAATATTGCAACAAGGTGATACTGAAAAGATCATAAAGATAATCACAATACTTAGCATCATACGGGCCAAGTATTTCTATGACCAGAAAATCATCATCGGCTTCACTCTTCTGCCCCTTCTTGTACTTTGCGAAGGTGAAGAAGATCTGGTGCCGACCTTGGGATGTGGGAAGGAAACTGCAAAAAGTCAAGGATCAGTAACTCTTCCCAGCAGCATCTACACCTGCGCCTACCATGAATTGATTATTGGCACCAGATATATGGAGGCTTCTCCGATCGAGTTTCTCTCCAGGGAAGTGGGATTGATGCTAGACAATCGCATATAAACCACCTAAATGCAGGGATAATTAGTCCTTCCGGCCAGGGTACCTCTAAAGCACGAGATGTTCTGAGGTATCTCTGCGCCTTTGGGCCCAAGAATTCTGTTAATCCATTTGTCAATTCTGTTAATAGCCAGAAGATATCGAGCTGTGTCCAGAGTTCGTCGCGCGCGCTTTCAGGCTTTCCCAGTGAGTACGGGTAGATATGAGAAACTTGTGTGGTTTTCCCATCTGGGTTACGACATAGCGGTCATGGTCCCGGGCTTTGGCTGCGTCCATGGAAATCTTTGACCTGGTGTGGATGAATAACCGACAAGGTAATGTTTCCAGCATTTGGGTCACTTTCATTAGGCGTAGATTCTCATCAGTATCATTCGACCAGAGCCGTACTCAGAAACGGATATAATTGAGTTTGAGCCTTTGATATGACGAAGCGATGGTTCAAAGAAGAGATCTGCTTTTATGCTTTTAACACGTATCACGAAAGATGACCTGATGTAGAAGTTGAGGATCAGCACTAGGACTTCTTCCTCGGTGGATCTGGTGGTGCTGCCGTCACTAGAAACCCCGACCATTGTATTTGCAACCTTTTACTGCTGTGGGTATAGACCTAGACGGGCTTGTTCATTCCCCGACCTTGGTCTTCTCTTCTGCAGAGACAAGGACAGATAAATATATGTACCATTGCCGACCCTAAGGAAAATAGCCATCAAGATCTCGCAGAGATATATGGAATAGGATAAGAGTAGTGGAAAGAGATGGAGAGGAAGAAGTTGCAATTATCGACTTGATCGAGCTTATATAGACATTTTATGTGAGTGAATAAGGGCATTCCTTTTCCATATACGCTGGGGGATCAAATCCAATAGCCTGACATGCTGATGTCTTCCCTAAACATCTTCACTCACAATCCTAATGCCACAACCATGCATAATGTTGCTTCTGACACGAGCTATGCGATAAGCATGGGGCTCCTTTTAAACGATAGGTCAGCACCAAGCATCAGCGTAGGACAGTAAAATAGCAGAGCCACGTATCAGGCCGGAGAATCCAGCCTAGGAATGTGGAATGCAACTCCAAAGATAACAATCAGCTCCATTGGCACACTTAATATGCTGTGTCGCGTCCTGCGTTCACTAACACATCGCTACACCAATTGTCCTTGTTGCTCATCATTAGCTGCATCAACTATCCACAATGACTCCACCTCACCAGCAAATGCCTCGGCTGGCTCGACGCCGCAACCAGCCTAACCACTAGCTGCATATATCCAGCCGCAATCCGTCCCGCCATGTCAGAATTTAAGCCAGATGCCAAAATCTCAACCCTGCAACTTCTCATCGCATCAATATCCACCCCACCATGAGTATCTTAACTGCGGTCGCGTTCACCTGCCTAATCCTCCTACCTGTCTACCTCCTCATCAATCACCAAATCGCCTCTCTCCCCCTTCCCCCCGGACCCAAAGGCAAGCCCATCATCGGCAACCTATCCGACCTGCCACCCCCAGATACCCCAGAATGGCAGCACTGGCTAGAACACAAAAAGCGCTACGGTAGCCACCTCCACCATCACAACCATCAAGAAGCCCTAACAATCAATCCCCCTCCGCAGGCCCAATAACCTCCGTCACCATCCTCAACCAACCCATCATTATTCTTCACGATGCCCAAATAGCCATCGAACTCCTCGAAAAACGCTCCCTCAAGTACTCTTCCCGATCACAGACAGTTTTCGTCGGAGAAATGTAAGTTTTCCCCCCACCTATCACCCTTCTATCCACAACCATCCCTAACAAGATGAGATGATACAGGATCGGATGGAAAGACACTCTGGGCATGCAGCCTTACAATGCGCGATTTCGCGCATACCGTAAAGCCATGCATCAAGTCCTGGGAACAAAAGCCCTCGTATCGAAGTTCAATACGCTGCAGGAGCTCGAAGCGAGACGGTTATTGCGTCGTATGTTAGAGGATCCGGGGGAGTGGGTACAGCATTTGAAGACGTATATTCCCTCCAAGCCTTCTTTTATTAAAATATTACTTTGGAGTTTGACATTACTGTGAAGAACTAAACGAAATAATATGATAGGGAAGCCGGCGCCATCATCCTCAAAATCGGCTACGGGTACGACATCAACCCGCACGGGAGGGATAAATTAGTCGATTTGGCGGATGACTCGATGGAGACTTTTTCGGCGGTGATGAATCAGGTGTGGTTGGTGGATCTGGTGCCTGTTTGTATGATTCTCCTCTTTCCTCTGTCCTTGGTGCCTTTGTTCTCTTCACATCGAAAAAAATGGGATTATACTGATATACATGGAAAGTGAAATACCTCCCCTCCTGGTTGCCCTTCTCTGCTCAACGAAAAAGCCAGTTCTGGCGTACGCAACTCCTCACTACCATCGAGACGCCGTACAGGATGGTGCGGGAGCAGATGGCATCTGGAATAGCACCTCCGTCCTACTTGAGTAATCTCCTCCAGGAGGAGGATACCAAGGAGGAAAAGACCCTCACGGCAGAAGAAGAATTCACAGCGAAGTGGACAGCGGGCTCACTATATATAGCTGGCGCTGATACGGTAAGATATCCATCTCATCCCCGTCCCCATCCCCATTCGTATATTTCTACGTTCCCCAGCAATTATCTAAAAGATGGTATAGACAGTATCAGCCCTCCGCACATTCATCCTCAGCATGGCCCTGAACCCCGCCATTCAGGAAAAAGCCCAAGCCGAACTCGACACAGTCTTAGGCCCGCACACTCTCCCCAAACTCTCTGACCGGGATAAACTACCCTATGTGAACGCCGTCGTGAAAGAATCTCTCCGGTGGTACCCGGTTGGTCCGATGGGAATACCGCATCTTTGTGTAGAGGAGGATGTGTATGATGGGTATAGGATTCCCAAGGGGGCGATAGTGATGGGGAATATCTGGTATACTTATCTCACTTCCTTCTTTTCAGAAGGGGAATAGAAAAGCGTGATGTGTGCTGATGTGTCTGCAGGGCAATAACCCACGATCCGAATATCTACCCACATCCGGAAAAGTTCGATCCTGAGCGGTTCCTGGGTGAGAACCCCCAGCCGGATCCGTCTGGTTGGGTGTTTGGGTTCGGGAGGAGAGTGTGTCCCGGACGGGTGTTGGCGGATGCGAGTGTTTTTGTGACGGTCGGGATGGTGTTGAGTGCCATGAGGATTTCGTTGGAGAAGGGGGATGGGGAGAGAGAAGAGGTGAGGTTCACGCCTGGAGTGGTCAGTCATCCTGTTTTGGCGGGGCTGAAGGTGGAAGCGAGGAGTGCGAGGCATGAGGGGGTTATTAGGGAGGTTAGTATATAGCATCCTTCGGTATCAGGGTATAATGATAATGGTTGTTGGGGTGGGGATTTGTTCGTAGTCTAAACAATAGTGTAGATTGATCGAAGGGTATGTTTGTATCCACGGCTATAAATTAATACTACTATGATAAGGTGGTCATGCGGGGAAAGAATGAGGATTGAGTGAGTGGAGAGAAGTGGAGGCAAAGCACAACTCGGATTGGTGCCATGTATTTAGTCTAGCTAGTTACTAGTACATTCCAGTATCTGATACGACAAAGATTATCTGATCATACCCAAAATAAACATCAGTTAACAAACTAAATCTATCGCAGAACCTAACCTAACCTCATAACAAAATGACAAAAAAATATGTCCCATTACAATATGTCCAGTCATCAGTATCATAATGATCATCAAACATCCCACAATAGCAACTACTACTAATCAGTAGTAGCAACATCCGTCTCATTCGATCCAGCCACCACATACATCTTCTCCGTCTTCAGCCGATCCAGCGCACTCTGCGGCAGGTGCAGCGTATCCGCGACAATCTGCTTCGGCGTGGATCCGATCCACTGGCCCAATGAGATATCTGCATACCACAATTAGTACTGACATTTACAACTCTTTAAAACAGAAGAAAAGTGAAATGATGGCTTACCGGTGAATTCATCCGTCTGCAGCACTTCCAAAAACACCAAATCCTCATCTCCTGTGTTCTCGATATAATGGCTGTTGCTCTGCGGGAAGTATCCTACATCACCCGGGCGGTAATCGAACGTCGTAGCCGTGCTGGGCGCCGTGAACAGGGTCGCGCGTGCCTTGCCGCTGATGAAGAAGGTCCATTCATCGCTGCTCGGGTGCCAGTGAATTTCACGCATGCCACCTGGGTGCACTGTCACCAGCGCGGCGGCCGTGTTGGAGGAGATCGGGAAGGTGAGGGAGTCGACGATCTTGACGGATCCGCCTTGCACTTCGTGTGCGGGCTGCTCGGAAAAGTGATACGAGTAGCTTTGAGACTGCGGCAGGACGCCTGCAGAGCCAGTTACATTCTGCTCGGAGATGTTTTGCGGTGCCGGAGTGCCAGGGAAGATATAGAGTTCATCTTCGGGGATGTCGTCGAAAGCGGCGACGGGGAGGTCGAAGTTTTTAGAGAGAACTTCGCGCTATAGCCATCGTTAGTCAATCATCACACATACTTTGGGTGGAGCAAGTGAGGGGTACCGGTTGATGGGCAAACACTTCAGTGGCGAGGAAGGTATTATCCTCGGAAAAGGAACCGTCGTCGAAGATGAGGAGAAACTCGACGCCCGAGTCGAGGGCTTGGATGGAATGCGGAACACCGCTGTAAGGAGTAAGTCAGCCAACCATCCCATCGATGCATCCCTATGAAAGGGACAATGATTTGGAATTGGAGCGAAAAACTTACGGAGGGAAGAACCAGACATCGCCGGCACTCACGTCATCGACGAAAGTTTGTCCGTTTTCATTAACGGCCTGGTTGATAAGAATTAGCTTTCACAAACTGGTTTATCAGACTTTCTCTCTATCTGCATCTTACCTCGATCCGACACGATCCGTTCAACACCAGAGACCATTCCGATGCCACATGCCAATGCAGCTCCCGATAGGCACCTGCTTCTAGGCGCATATCCACTCCAGCCATGTCGGTCGCGCCCGGCATCACCACCTCGTTCTCTTGCCGAGCCCATCCAGACTCATTCAATCCCAGCCTTCACTCCAGTTAGTATATAGTACATCATGCATTGCAGCAAGGGCAGGTCGGCTTACCGATTATGGCTTAGTCCTATACCCGATTGTTAGCCATTGTTCTGTCTCATTAAACTTTTTCCGCCGAAAAAGCAAATAAAGGGGCTAAACGATTATAGAAAAAGAAAAGAAAAAAAAAAAAAAAGGCAAGGCAAATTGGACTCACCCATAGGCCATTGGGCATTGATCGTCTGGCCATTGTCCGTTCCCGGAGGGGCCAGCTTATCGCTGTTCATCCGATCGTAGTAGTCGTTGCCTATTTTCCGGTGTGAGATGAGATCATTCGCAGATCAACCAAACGCCTGGTCTGGTTCCATGGATCGACGCTACATACGAGGTCCAGGGTCAGTTCCTCCCGTGCTTCCACGGACCGGTTGCGGGTTCTCAACATCGTCAAAGTCCAGGTATACGCCGAGGTCAGCGGAATCCGTCTGTCCTGGCACCGGGACATAGGGGATATCATCGGTGGACTGGTCCGTCACGGTGTTGGAGGCCGAGTAGCCCAGCAGATTCTCGGAGCCTCGTAGGGGAGGATTCGACTTTGTCCCTGTAGGAGCGCCATGAACAGCTACCGTGAAGAGGGACGTGATGACCCAGGGTAGAGAAGAGTAGAGAGTAGATGGTTTCATAATGAGATGAACTTAGGAATGACAAGGAAGGAAGAAGTCTTTGCTGAATGATGATTGCGGCTTCGCTTTGTCTTGCTTGTTGGCTGGCTGAATTGCTTGCTTGGAAGGTCTCCTTGCTTGATGAATTGAGCTCTGGTTGTGAAACAAGAATCTGGCACCGGACCTGGTCTTTATAACTTTTTTGGTCTCGGCCAACAGCCCAAAGAGGCCACGGCTACACGGCCGGCCACGGAAGCGGGCTCCTCGCCCTGATCGATCGATGCCCATCGGCGTGCAGACAGACGGACAGCAGACATCAGACAGCAGTCAAAGCAAGCAAGCAAGCAGATGAACAGCCGACGCTCCACTCCGCGGATTGTGGATAATCAGATGTAGTGTTTCGTCCACGCCCCCTCACGCATAGCCGAGCCATGACGGCAAGCTTTAGCTTTTTCCCCTCATGCACCGAGAGGATCTGGATAAAGTCAATCCAGTGTCAGGCTGACTGGAATTGGAGAAGACGAGTCAAGAAAGAGACTGGAGCTACTACACGGGTCACGAGAATCGCTGCCCCGTAGGGATGGTGAGTAGCCAAAAGAGAAGCCAGCTGGCACGCACCACCCAAAAAGTGGCACGGGGAACGGTAATTACATGCGGGGCTGGATGAATTGGAACCGCAAAAAAGCAATCGAAGAAGAAGGGCGAAGGCAGCAACCTGGACGAGGGTATATCCGGTGGTGCTGGTGTTTGTTTCTGTCCAATATTGATGAACGGGCCGGATGGGCTGGAAATGAAGCCCAGGCTAGCGTTGAGAGTGGCTCCGCGTTAGGGGAAGGTACCTTGCTAGGGATGGGAGACTCGATGGGGGTTTAGTCTGTGGTTGGCTGCCTTTTTGCATTGTGCAGTTGCATATTCTGCGAGTGCTGGGTTTTGTTTTGTTTTGTGATTTACTTATTCTTATTTTCCGGGTAGATAATGACTTCGGTGACAGCATTCAACTGCCGAAGATGTGGGTATACGGTTCTTTTTTTAATCATGCTGGATAGGCAGAATAGATACTCGGGGCCCGTATGGAGGTATGGAGGAAGTTTCCATAGAATCAAAGTTTTTTCTTTTGTTTGATCGCTTAGTTCACCGACGCACAGCCATAACGATGATGATGCTGGGAATGGATGGCAGTGGCGGTGCCCCGCGTGCGGAGAATTTCTTGGTCCAATGCTTGATTGTCAAAGTACATCCGTGCTGCATGGAAGGACACGTCGATGGCGTCTGGGATTCCTTGTTTTGGGTGGGCGGCCTGCACCATCTTGGTGGATTTGATTTTGGGCTATGCTGGGATTTCCGATTGCTGGGATTTTTCTTGGGGTGTTGTATTTTTTGGGGACCCCCCGGATCGTCATTTTTCAATCAATGGATTAATTAATCTCACGTTAGTTTCAACTTTCAACCCATAACTTTTTCCCTCATCTGTGCCCCGCACTAAACAAGTCAGTGGCTGCATGAAATTCCAGGGATATGTGTGGGTTGTGGTGGTGGTGGTGATGGTTTGGAATGTTGCTGAGAGATTTCTGGGTATCTGATTGATATGCGATGCGACAAGTGTCGGTGTACATGCTTCCTCTCCAGGCAGCACACCTTGCGTTGAAAGTGAGGAACACGGGGCTGCTGTTATTCGCTCGGACGCGGCAGACAGGCTGTCAGTGCAAAAGTATGTTCATACGAGAGTTTTGTGCAAAGAATAGTAACACAAAAAAGCAAAGATGAAGTCAAATTCAACCGTTTTTTCCGCCCAACTTCACCTCTTCTTCCATCTATATATAGTACTCCACAGCCCTAATTGGAATCCTCAGGTGTAGATATCGCCGTACTACTGATTGTCTCATTGTTCAGTTCTACTTCCAACTGCTATTACTACTCGTAGTCCTACTATCATCATGCCACCCGCCCTTACTTCAACGCCAAAGCCTTACAAAAAGCAATTCTAGGCCTTCGCCTTGATTCACGAGAATTCTTCAGATCACTCTCCGTTTTCTCCCACGGTTATTCCCCGATTTTGTGTAACAATCGTTCCGCCTTGACTCTGCCGTCCGCAACAACCCCCATTCACCATATCCCGTCTCTACTCGAATTTCGGAGTCTAGAAATCTTCCCTATGTAGTATGAATCCCCATAAGCCACCCCAATTTCCAAGCCCACCTCTTCTCCAACTCCTCGGACCCATTCGCACCCCCAAGCGATACGAAAGCCAGTCCTCGGATAACCCGGTTGCCTTTAAAGGTGGGATTTGCATCGCTGAAGCGGAATTGTACCTACCCTCCAAATACATTATAGAGGCGATTGGAACCGGCTCTCACAGCCGGAATAGTCAAGGCCTACAATGTATATTTCAACTCCCTTAAACAAAATTCGTAGTGTAGGTTCTGAAGACATATGATAAGCCAGCTACTACCCTACCAGCTAGACGATGGTGAGACACCAGGCCGGCCATACCATCCCCAAAAGTCCACCCAACCCGATTAACCCTTCCTAACTATGAGTTATTTTATCTTCATCTGGTACAATTTCCGCTCCTAAACCCACCATAATCTATCTGATATCCGAAAAATTGGGGCTCAAGACACCGCTGAAGAGGGGAGGAGAGGAATATGACGTACCCCCCTTGTCCTCCGATCCACAATTCACGATCAAAACACATGAAGAAGCCCGGTTTCGGCGGCAGTAGCAGTACCTGCGTTGTCTGCGACTCGCACAAGCGAGGGGGAAGGAAAAGGTACCTTGAGGACGAGAGAAGATACATACGTACATTCCAAAGTGACCAAGTATACATGATGGAACTCGGTAAACTAAACTAAATGAGATGCATGTGCACCCCACAGGCCTTAGGCCACCCAGCTGGCTGCTTAGGAGTGCTTGACTACTGCACGTCCGGATACTCGGAGCCAATGATCTGAATCAGTGCGGAGGGCTAAGCAAACTGTCATTTTTGGGACTTGTGGGAGGGGCATGAGGACCAGGTGGATGGTGGGTAATATACGCGGCTTGATTAATATGGCGGGGGGGGGAAGGGTGGAAACTGGGAAGGCTAAGCAGCCACTAACTCCTTACTAGTCATCGAACTAGTTCAGCCGTTGGAGATGAGGGTGACTGGGGGGGCCCCTGCTCGGGGCATGCAAGAGTCGGATTGGTGAGGTCGGTGTTAGTCGGATATACTAATGATTCATGGGATGGACGATTCATCCAACTACTGGGGATGGCGATGAGTCTGTGTACTGCATGGAATAAGCGACAAGTCAGCAGGCAGGTGATGCTATCATCTGCGTTGGGGTCAGAGCCATTAAGCATGAAGGAATAAATCGAATGAATCATAAATGATGGTAATTATAAGGCGCCCCCCAATACTCTACATGTCTATGGTATATGCTATGTATGTACATGCGCCCAGCCGAATTATCCGTGTATGCTAGTTTATCCCAGTCCCAGTTGTATGTCATCGAGTCATCAAGTATTGTGTTTCGCATTTCATCGTGCAGTCCACACGCCCCGTGGCATCCGGCACCGCGTCCGTGCCTCTTGCGGCATCGTCTCCCAAAGCACTTGTCGCACTTCCTGGCCCACCTGGTCGATCGCATCCATCGCCCAAAGTACATCCAGGTGCTCGTACTCCTCGATCACCTTGGCGTGCACCAGCTGGACGTGCGGCTCTCGCCCATTTTCGAGACGGTGCAGTAACCGGCGTCCGTCCACGAGACCATCCGAGCCTGCGATCCACAGCGCAACAGGAGGCATCTGGGGGCCATACCACGCGGTGTTGCTACGAACCTCGCCATGGCCCCGCGCCACCCGCTGATCCTCCGCCGCCTCGGCCTGCGTGACCTTGCTCGTCGCGAGGATACATTTCTGGTGAGCAAAGCACTCACCCCCCAGCCACCACCGCATCGTCTCCGCGCTCACGTACACGGGCGCAAACTGAAACATCCGATCGCGGAGACCTCGGTCCCAGCGTGCATCGCTCCACCCAAACAGGAAGGAAAAGACATAGTATCCCAGTGTGCCGTAGATGCGCGGGTGTAGCCGGCGGTGTACCGTCATCATGAAGGGAATGAACGCATGAATGCCAAAGAATGCCCGGAAGACGAGAGGGGGGATAATCCGCATGAAGCGAAAGTAGACCCGTTCCACCAAGGGGCCTGCGTACACGGCCGGCGCCAGGGCGCAGAATACTGAGATCCGCTCCCCCAGCTCCGGTCGCTGGTCCTTGGCCAGGGCGATAAATGTCTCTGCGGTGCCTTGCGAATGGCCAACGAGTCCGAGCTTCTCAAAGCCTGTCTCGAAGAGTACCCGGGAAACCAGTGCCGGTAGGTCCAGCACCCCCATCTGCTGGATGTTCCACGCCCACATCCGTGGATCCGACTGAAACAGCGTCGTGTGTTCCGGAACCATGCCGCACCGATTGTTTCCGAGCCAAACATCGTAGCCTGACTTGCACAGAAAGAACGCAAGGCTGTCGTCATCGTTGGCGCAAAATGCCCCGGCGCTTTGCAGCAGCCCGTGCATCAGGAGCACAGGGTATTTGCCCGGAGCTCGACGAGAGGCCTCGGGGTTGGTCTGGCCACTGAAGACGTGTGGACCCCGTGGGCGCCGGGCCTTAGGAGGCAAGGGGGTGTGCTCCTGCGGGTTGTAGACATGCCACAAGGTGAGGATGAACCCATCCTCGGTTTGCACCTTGAAGGTCTCCACATCTAGCCCTACCCGTCTAGCGTAGTATGCTACATCGCATACAAGCGGATCCTTGCCCCCTTCCAAGGGCGGGCACTCATCCAGTGCCTCCTCATCCACCTCCTTCTCTCGTCGGTAACTCCACCTCCGCGATGCCTTGGTTCGCTCTACCTGCCGTGACCGCTCCTCCTCGTGATATATTCTCGTAGTGTGGGGAGCCTGTCCGCCTATCGTCCGACGAATCTGCAAGACAGATGCACTAGCGGTCTGGATAAGAGCGCCCAGGATGACTGTGCCGAGAAAGACGAGGGACAAGACGAAGGATACACAGCGAATGATCAGATGTTGAACCGAGGTAATCAGGGAAGGCGGTCCGTAGGACGGTAGCGGTGGGAACAATGGGTGTGTAATGTTATTCGCAATCGAAGTGCCGAGTTGATTCTTCCCCGGAAATGGTCCTTCCTCTCCCAGCAACCGTTCAGTGACCGCTGAGGCATTTTCCGATTCCTCATCACAAACGGGGCCCAAATCCTGCAACTCATACCCTGTCTGTAAGGGCGCTTTCAGCCCTGCGTCGGGCGCTGGATGCTGTTCAATGGAACCGACTTCAACGGTGGTATCAAAGTAAGGGGCCTTGTCAGAAACGCGCGATTCAGCGCCCCGGGCAACACTGGTAGACAGCCCCTCGTCGGGGTCGACGTCGGAGATGAACATGAGGGATCAGGGTACAGTCGCTGATCCAAAAGCAGCAAAGGAAAAGGGCCTCATTTTCAGTGAACGAGGGAGGGGGGAAGGAGGGAGTCGGGAGGGAGAAATAGGGGGATGATGATCGAGGCGAAGCAGAGACGATCTGGAATCGCAGCCTCCCCCAATGATGAAAGATTGGCCCCAGATTTCAGGCCAGCATCACGTGTAGTGGGCCCGTGCACGTCACCCGGTGGGGGGTGGCGCCCAATCAGCGACGGGCGATCGTTGCCTGAGGCGTCACACGGTGTCATCCTCCCAGGCACTCAGGCACCTTTACTCAAGAGTCACCAGTGACGTGCAAATGACACGCAGGAAAGAGAGATCGATGATTCAATCGGAGTCGTATATATCATATCGTGCGCTAAATACATCACATCATAGGCTAACTATATAAACAAAAAGAAAGAAACACCATATTCAGCCATATCCAAACAATTAAAGTCATATCCCAAGCCATTAAAAAAGATTCCAGGTTAAGCGGTCTCAATGTGCTGCGACTCGCGCTTCTGAGGAAGTTCACCCTCCACTTCGTACACACTCGGCCCGGCCTTTTCGGTATCCGCACCGGCGAAATGCGCCGAAGGGATGAATCCTGGAGAGCGCCAGGCTGACGACACCTTCGAATAGAGCTCGTCCACCTGCTCCAGACTGAGCCCCTTGGTCTCGTAGATGCAGGTGTACACAAACACTCCCGCAATGAAGCAGAAGCCGCCCCAGATGAAGAACACCTTGGATTGCAGGTTCGCGTTACCCGGGCCGGAATCCACCATGTAGGGGGTGGCATAGGCGATGGCCCAGTTCAGCAGCCAGTTGGTGGCCGTCGTGATGGAGAGACACTTGGCACGAGCCTTGAGGGGGTACAGTTCACCGGTCACAACCCACGCGACGGGGCCCCAAGAGCTGGCAAAGAAGAAGATGTAGATGCAGACAAAGGCGATCAGGACCTTATTGGCCACGTCCGAGGAAGCCACCATGCCCACAATAGCTACGATCAGCTGGCACACGCACATGCCAACGGCACCGAACAGCAGCAAGGGCCGGCGACCCCATTTCTCAACCATGTACAGACCCGGGAACGTGGAGACCACGTTGACAATGTTGGTAATGAGCGTGATGGTAAAGCTGTTCTGGATGCCGGAGCGTTGGAAAAAGGTCGTTCCGTAGTAAACTGAAAGCGGTTAGTCGGGGGCCTTTGTCAAGAAGTAAAAGAAGCACACTTACAGATGAAGTTGACTCCAGCGAGTTGTTGCAGCGCCTGCACAGCACATCCGGTGGCCAACCGCTTACCCAAGGAGCCAGTCACAATTTCGCGGAAGCTCGCCTTGCCCACGCTCATCTCGTACTCGTGGGAGGCGCGGATTTCCACCAACTCATCCACGACGGCCTGGTCGTCAACATTCATCCGACGAAGACGGGCAAGCGCCTTAGCCGCAGCCTCGTGTCTATCCTTCTTGATCAGGAAGCGTGGCGTTTCGGGGAGCACACTCATTCCGACAACGAGGATGATGGCCCATGCGAACTGGACGGCAACCGGAATGCGGTAGCAGCCAGTGTCCATGCGGTCCTTGGTAGCATTGTTGACAACAGAAGCCAGCAGCAGACCAATAGTAATGGCCAGCTGATAGGCGCCGACAATGGTACCACGAATCCACTTCGGGGCAGTCTCAGACTGGTAGAGAGGGACTGTGTCCCAGTTAGCACGTGTCTTAGGTGAAATGGGGACCTCTTGTCGACTTACTAGTTGCAGAGAGTAGACCAACACCAAAGCCAGCAAAGAACCGCCCAGCGACGAACAGCGGGATCGAGGTGGCGGCGGTTTGGAGGATCACACCGAAGCAGAAGACAAATGATTCGATGATCATGGCAATGCGGCGACCAAAGTAATCCGCAACAGGAGCAGAGGCCAGGGCTCCAAAGAAAGTACCGGCAGAGAGCAATGACACAATCATGGAAGACTGAGATGAGGTTACATCGGGGTAGTCATCGGCGGGGTTGATGTATCCGGTAGAGAACATCTTCCGCCAGAACTTCATGGCCAGGATACCACTGATGGTTCCGGTGTCATATCTATTTAGATCCTGGTCAGACCCCATATCCAACGCATCATGGCTGAGGAAAAGAAGTACATACCCGAAGAGGATACCTCCAAAGGAGACAAACAGACCGATCATGATGGCGGGGGCCGCTGAGCCCACCGCATCATCCGGTCTCTTCAACAAGAAACCCATGGTATGATTGGGATACCAGAGGCACAGCAATCGACTAAAGGTAGGTGATGTGGAGTCAGGCAAAGATTAGGTAGATTAGGTGAGCAATGTAGCAGTGCGTGAGAGTCAATGGAGCCGGAGAAGGTAAGATGATGAGAGATCCATTCTACCCCAGACCCGGGACATGGAGGCCTTTATGTAGTATTTGGAGCGGGACGCGGGGATGGCAGCGAGCAGGTAGATTCGTCCCCAGACCCGGCAGACCGACAACCAGACCGGCCGGAATCAGTCATTCTCTGCACGCCACTGGACACGGAATCGGGCGAGGTGGGAGAACGGGGCCCCAGACTCCGCAGTCTCACTGCGACTGTACGTACCGAGTCTGGAGAAGAACGTTGGGCCGAGGGCGCCATGAGTGGGGGATAAACACGAAGGAACCACTCAGTGCCCGAGTTCGAGACAAGCCAAGCCAACATGAAGCTGTAGACGACTAGACTGGCTGAGAGAGAGAGAGCATGGGGGTGCCGAGGATTGACTATGACGGCGCGGACAAAAGTCAAATTGAGGCATTTGGCCGAGATCATCCCGATCATCCACGGGTCCCCAGACCGGTCTCAGCCACGATCATGGTCGGTCAGATGAGAATCGGGATAACACACGCGAGCTATCGCGGCCAGTGATTTGGAAGCGGGCTGTTTTGGATCCAGAGAGATCCAGAGAGATCTAGAGAGAAGAGGCGCGGAGATGAGGCCAGACGCGGGCTGGTGCAGACAGAAGAGTGGGAAAAGAGGCCGGGAACGGCCAGCCAGACTCGCGTGGCCGGCGGGCCAGATCTCCCACTTGTCTTGCCCGTCTCTATTTCCGGCTGGGGATCTAAATCTCCTAGCTCACAATAGGAAATATACACGGTTCCTTGACACACCGATTGAGCAGACCCTGAGGTGATTCCGTCCCTGGTGTCAGTGTGTTGGTCCTGTGAGTCCGGGGTTGCTGGGTACCCGAACCGAAAATTCCAGCAAAGCTCCGGCCATTCAGCGGGCTCAGCCACGCTTTGCTCGTGGGTGGCAACCATGGATTGCCATCCTCCCCAGTCAACAATTGAATTCAGGGTCACTCCTTTTTTCTCACCGGAGCCGCTTTAGGCTTGGGCAGTCAACAAAAGAGAGTCTGGGCGTTCTTTTTCATCCCAATTACATGGGTTGTGAGAGCGAATTCGTTTGAGCTGAACGCCACCAGGATGCTTAATTTAGTGTTTTAATGCTCGTGTGATTGGCCCTGTAGGGATGAATCCCCGAGATATGCCCGCTCCTAGTCGAGTAGCAATTGCAAGCGAGAAATGGTTTGATTGCTGGGAGGTTGCGACGCTGATGGTCTGGTCCCAAAGTCTATTCTGGTTAGAGTTGGTCACCTGGCCCGGCAGGGAAGGGATCGACCGTCGATGTTGATGGAAGGTTCAGTGCATGTCTATCACCCATGGACATAGACATCATCATCATGCATTCGTATTACTTGCAGATAGCCAACCCACGATGTTCTTTCTCCTGTGTGGGACTGGGTGGACAAAACTAAGATGAAGAAAAGACAAAGAAAGATAAATTAGCGGGAAAGAAAAAAAAAATGACAAAAAAGAAATGAACATCTCCGATACGGGGAATCGAACCCCGAGCTGCCGCGGTCAAGTCTTTCGGTTTGAAAGGCGGCGATGTTAGCCGTTACACCATATCGGATGTGATGGAATATTATACCCCATTAATGCTTATACAATCCAGCTAAGAGGTGCCATGCCGGAAGCAATCCTTCTCGGTGTGTGTCTGTCAATGCAGGTCCACATTCCTTCCAACTTTTGATGGTTTTAAGACACTCATCGATTCAACGATTGGTGAATGTGAGAATTTATGTCAACGTGCTTTTTGTCTTAACCGAACTGATCCCTACCCAATCGGGTATTACAGGCGACGTGGTATATGAGTAGTGCATCATATACTGCTAGTGGGATTTAGAGTACTAATATATATATAATACTAGAGTTGTAGTTACTACCCTACGGACAACTACTTGACCAGACAACATCTTCAGAACCACCAATGTACAGTTACTACTAGTTAACAAAGCGGGATAGGAACTACTACCAGTCACCCCAGTACCATTGTACATGTATCTAGTACCTATAATATATTCGTCATTTTTTTTTTTCGCCCCCCACCATCAGAAGACGCCATTCACCCATGCACGCCTGCCCAAAGTTACAAGATGGAAGCCCCAAATATCTATGTACAGACAATATTTACCCACGCACCAGAACCGAAAAACACTATCGCTTACCATCGCCAGACGAGGAAGAAGTACCAACATAAAGCGAATTTGGCCACTCCCATGACCGATGCAAGGAATTCCTCTTTAACCAGGGTGACTTGGGAGGCACTTGCCCCTGGCCGCCGTGGCCCGCCACGCGCTGGCCTCCACTTGGCGCTGCCCACTTCGTCCTCATCTGAGCTCGCGTAAGTAGCGGACAAGGGAGGTGCGTTCACCGCACGGCTGGCCAGCCCGCGCGGCGACGGGAACGTGGAGCTAGACGTACCAGAAGATCGGGTCTTGTAGCGGGCCGCGCGCTGCGGGGGCGGGGAGCGATGTTCCGACAAGGGCAGAATGGGCTCGTCGGGACTCGTCTTGGATGGGAGATACTTTACAATGATCGCAGCGCGTACAAGGAGGACGCAGAGGGTGAAACCAAGGATAACCCCGTAATAGATGAAGACGGATAATTGATCCGGGAGAAGACACAGGTGGTTCTGGACCGTCCGGCCGGCATTAGCGGTGCCATCGGATTCACCAGTGGCGAGATCAAGAGGATTCCACAAGCTGGTGAGTACAAAGCCCGGTTGCCGGATCCCCATAGCCCATGAGAGGCTCTTCACCGTGATCTCCTTGGGAGAGCCGCTGAACTCGTGATGGGAGATCTCGCAGTAATCGTGGTCATCACCGGAATACATCTGGACCAAATTAGGCCCAATCTTCGAGACGATGTCTCGAGAAATGGTTGGGGTCAAGACATTCTGATATTGATAGCCCCGACCCATCGGAATGGCGTTCCGGTCATCCTCCTCCAAGCCCTCGCTACTAGGCGGATAGTGTTCGCGATAGGGCCCGCACGGCGTGGCCGGTCGGCGATACAGCGGAACGTGAGAAAGAAGGATCGTGGGAAACCCCGCAACCTCTGGCTTAAGCTGCGGGTCCACGGACGGTTCCAAGATATCAACAGCCCGATGCTGAAACTGACGGCCCTCAGTCTTATTGGCAAGCATGCGCAACGCCTCAACTTCCGCCCTGCCGCGATGCACGTTCATGCGGTCAAGAAAGTCCTGGGTATCTCTCCAGATGTGTTCATTTGGCTGTTCTCCATCGCCCGAGCCCATGCCCGAGCTGCCTGTCTCCGGGTCCGGCTGGTCCATGGCACTCAGCGACACAGTGTCGACAGAGACAAACGTATGGTTCCCAATGACATCAACGCGATTGCTCTTGCCAAAGAAGCTCTGGAACCGATCGCGCACCGGGATCTGGACACCCGAACCAAAGCCCAGGTCGTGATTTCCAGGCAAGCTAGTGATCAACCTCCGCCCGAGCGGGTGACGTACATGCTCATCACCATCTTTCCATGTATCCACGAATATTTTCACGAATCGATGGAACTCTTTCTTCCAGAATCGGTCCTTGTATTTCTTGTAGCGTTTCTCCGGGCTGGAACTGGATGCCGTAGCCCATTCCCTGCCTCCGTCGAAAAGGTCACCCAGAAACAAAACAGAATCTGGACCTAGTTCTTTCTGAATGGATGAGAAGGATCTCCGAAGGTATTGATCGGTGAATTTGACGGTCAACGTCGAAAGAGGCCATGGCCGGCCGGGATAGGTGTGAGGGTCGACTAATTGTGGGTCGGCGACGAAGGCGACATGATGTGGAATTGCGTCCTGGGGCTGTATCGAGCGAGCATGAGAAGTTAGCGGAAGAAAGAAAGAAAGAAAGGGATGAATTGCAACATGGATCACCTACCCATCTCTCCCAATTACCCCAATTGCATGCCTTCACGCTGTCTCGAAAGACAGTCCGTTCGCCCCACCATAGTGTGCAGATCCATAGAGCAATCAAAGCGTTCGAGACCGTGAAGACATATCTCGCAATCCGCTTGAATAGCGACCATAACCCATGTCTACTACTTGTCGCCTCACGTACATTCGAAGCCCACCGTTTCGGCCATGGCGGTGGTGATGGATCCCGCTCCGACGAGCCCGAGGACCACGCGGGAGAGCCTCGTCGAGCAGGACGATAAGAGTCGGCAACGGCGCTGTGCGAGTAGGAATAGCTCATCTTCGTTGTTTCAGCTTATGGATGGGCGAGCGCAGCTCTGCTGCATTGCGGTACCGAGGCTGACACGCGGGAGGTGGGCAGCTAGCAGTTGACCGAACCGGAGGTCATGCTTTGAGGAGCATCAACAATTGCAAGAGAAACACAATAAACGAGCGACAGGCCAGCTAGAAATTAGATATAAGAATGAGGGAATCAGAGTCAGTGCATGACGATGTGGGAATGGATGGTCCAACAAGGGGGATCGCCGCCGATTGACGGATGGAGACACGTCACGTGTGCGGCGGCCGGGCGCGACTCTTTTTGAGACATTCTCCCCCGTTTTGGCCCCAGGCCGCGAGATTCAGGGCCTTGGGAACCCTTGGCAGCCATGGCACTGCCAACGCACTCCACACACTCCACTCCGGTCCATAATTCAGGGGGATCGTACTACTGCAGAAGATAGAGCCAGATCACATGCAATGATATTGCTAAGAATACATAAGAAGAATAAGAACGTCTTGTTTTAAAGAATGTAATTACACTTGCCAGTGACAAGTCTCATCACATGCAGCCATCGGAGAAGTTCACCCAACATGCACCAAGTTTGTCTCGGACGCAACATCAACAACGGCCAGTCCAGTCACATAGGTACCAGTAATATGAAAAGGGGGTATGTTGAACAGAAAAGGAAAATTAATATGGTGAGGTTGTAAGGAGGGTGTAAGAATAAAAGAATCATAGGGGAGGTAGAATTGGTATCGAATCACCTCACGGCGATTGCTTGGGGCAACACTGGCCACCCCTGGCACACTCCTCGCCACATTCCAGGAGGCACGCCTGCGGATCACCATCAGGTACACTGGGTGCTCGACTGGGAAGCGTCCCCGAGGCGGAGGCTCCGTTGCTGCCGCCACGGCAGTCCGAGGGGGCCGCAATTGTGTCCTCAGTGTCACTGTCAGGCGCAAACTCCGGCTGGATCGTCGACGAATGGATTCCATAAGCGTGCAAGCACTTCCTCACTTGCCTGGCCAGACGCATATAGCGTTCTGAGCCTTCGCCCTTGATCTCCGTGTCCACTTGGATATGGATAGAGGCGACTAACTTGGTGTCGCTCAGCTGCCATACGTGCAGGTGGTGGGAGCCGATGACGCCTGGAAGTCCTTCGATGTCCTCCTTGATATGGTCGATGCTCAGGCCGTGGGGCGCTGCCTGCAAGAGAATTCGGGACGCAGCCTTGCATAGGGGAATGGCGGAGAGCAGAATGATCACAGTGATAACAAGCGAAATCCCAGGATCCACGTAGAATCTCCAAGAATAATCGGTCAACCAGATGATAAGAGCAGAAGCGATGACGCCGATGTTGCCCAGTGCATCGCCCATCACATGAAGGAAAACGCCCCGCATATTGAGATCGTGACCATGGCCATGGCCATGCTTTTCGTCTTTGGGCTTTGGTTGAGCATGGTTGTGGAATTTGTGGAGATCCTCATCAGCTGCCGCAGTCCGGGATCGGGCAGATGACTCCGTCTCGTCGGTATATTTACCAGTACGACCGCCTTGACCAAGGAGGGCTGAGCGCTCAGATGGCTGGCTATCGGCGCCCTCTTGGAACTCGCTGTCCGAGCCGGATTGTTCATCATCATAACGGGTTTTACTGGCTGCGATAATCTCCTGTCTCATACTAGCGGGGTGAATCTGGATGTCTGCCGGGTCAACATATCCACTGTAGCGACGACGTTGACTATCGAGGGTCCGGCGGCGACGCGAATAGGGAGAGTGTGGCTCGGCACCACCAGTCTGCTTAATCCACATGTTGTCAGCTTCATAGATTTGATAGATACTGGTCCACTAACGTTATTCTGGCCATCTGCGTGCACGTGGTCATGATCGTGGTCATGCTCCCCAGCGTGCACATGATCAACATCTGCGCCTTCTTCCAGATCTCCAGGGCCATGACTGTGGCCGTGCCCGTGGGAGTGGTCATGGAACAGCACAAGGCCAATTATGTTTGACAACAAGCCGAGACATCCGACGATGCAGACGAATTTCGGGTTTTTGACTTCCTGAGGCTCAACGAGTCTTTGTATAGCTTCCAGGAAAATCGATAGACACAGGGCGACCAGGAAGACGCCATTGACTAAGGCACCAAGAGTTTCTGCGCGTTGCCACTAGATAACCAGACCGTCAGGATGAGCAGTGGATATGTGGGAGTGAGTCAAGCTTACCCCGTAAGTGTACATTTTCGAGTTGGTTTCGCGGTTGGCGACCTTGACAGCCCAGAGTCCCACACACAGTGATAATACATCATTCAGCTGTACCGATACTCGTCAGAATTATGCTACCTAGGGCTTTCGGGTAGAAGGATGAGGCCAAGCGTACCATGTGAAACGAGTCGGCAACCAGGGCAAGGGAGTGAACAGAATAACCTGCGCGGAAAATTATCGTTAGAGGCGCCTGGGAGCTTATAACAGTATGAAGACAAACCGGCAATCAATTCCAACAAGAAAAATGCCGTATCAATCGCCAACAGGATCAAGATCCTGTTTGTCTTGGAGAGACCCATGATAGTTGAGGTCTTGCGCTCACTGGCGCGAAAATGGACGAGAAAAGGGACGGATGACGGCAGACTCCCAGTCTAGGCGTGGTTGTAGCTGTTCATATGCGAAGGTCCGCCGAGCAGTATACCAAGCAAAACTAGGAGGAAACGCGAACAAGCTGGAAAAGAGGAGGAGAGAAGAGGACAGGAAACGGAAGGCCAGGCGATAAATAAGTCATGGAGGGATGAGGAAGACAGAGTTACTCGCATTTCTTTGGAGCGACAAAGTGGAGAGAGACAGAGTCCGCCGGAAGGCCGACCGGACCAAAGTGGCGTTAGTTGCTGCGCCGGCCTCAGGCGCCCATCCGGCCGCGGCGGGGTTTAGCGGCCAGCCTTATCATCATTCATCTCCACTAGTAGTTACTCCCTGTCAACTACCTATTCATCTCTCGTCTACTTTTTCCCAATGATTCCTAATTACAATGACTCCAGAGTGATATTCACCGTTTGATACATCACCTTGATACTTGGTCAGAGCTGCAAAAAGCATCATGCTGGCACCCTTGGAAATCTGCCTGCCACATGCACTACCCGAAGTTGGTGCTTGCAGCTGCCGACATCATCAAGGTACAAAAGTCGGTGGTACCGACTCCACAGTCACTGGTTTCTCCACCGTCTCCTGAACTGCTGCTATACATAACCGGTACGCCGCAACGATCTCCCGTGTCTCCTCAAGTGATCGTCCTGACTTTGCTAGGATATGAGTTTATTTTTTACAGTCTCGTATCGACTTGCTGCGTCGCGGTCTGTTCTTCAATGTTCGGCACACAAGACTGCAAGCACAGCAGCGTCTTTGTTGTGTGTGTAACATCCTGACTCGGAAGAAAGAAAATTTTGGCACTAAGGCCAAAGACTAATGCAGCGGCTAGTACGCCATGGGCGACCGTCAGTGCGCTAGCCATGCAACTATATTCTATTTTAGCGAGCAGCCGACCGGCTAGACAATGATTCATTTTGCGAAATGAAGTGTGCCGTAGGGGTCTGTTTGAGATTTCCACGGAGTGCTCATCGGCTCCCCTGATTTCTCGTGAAGACATGGGATAAGCTTAGTATCTGGACGGCCTCTGGAGAGGCTTGATTGTGAAATGCACCTTGACGGATCAGTGTGACTAGGGCCCAAGTAAGTCAAACGTAACGTCTACGAAGCAGATCTAAATCGCTCAATGTCTCGGAGATTATGGCTTGCGCGCCATACATGATTTGATCCACTGTCGCCAATTTCACCAAAGAAGCTTCTCTATGCTGAAACTTTAGTTCCACACCCAACTTGGGATACTCTTCCAACAGTCCCGACAGATTGACCGGAATCGCTCCCGATATTTCCGGCTTATATTGATGGGTACTTTTTAGCCCCTCCACCTATTATCTAACGGTATCTTGGTCAAGATCTGGCGCACCTGCGATGTCAAGCGCTTTTGGAAGTGAACCAAAACCCGTATAGCGGAGCATCACAACCCTGCAGGGGTTAAGCGAAAGTCACTACTTCCCACAACGTACTAATCCCTCCAACATAATTAGCTATGGTACTGAACAAATTTTCAGTAGTAATGGCTGACTATTGCGACATGGCCTATGGAATCCGAAGTCCGTCCAAGCCATTCATGTTATGTCGCCAATTGCACCCATAGTACCCATATTGTCTGGAGCGATAGTTCTACTCCAGTTTCCCTAAATTCGGTTCCAATAGTATGTCAGAGAATATACCCAGTAAAGCTCATAGGGAAGTACTATACGCCTGTACTCAAAACAGTCACCATATAATGGGTCTCTCCAACATCAATTCCTACGCCGTATACGCCGGCGGCGGCGACATCTCCCTCTCCCCCTCCCCCTCCGAACTCTCTTCCTCCAACCAGTACTTGGTATCCTTGCTATCCAACTTCTTCTCATTCACCGGGATCTTCATTTCCTACATGCCGGACAACAGTCAGCAAAAATCAAAACACAATAAAATAAAGAGAAAAGAAGGAAAAACATTACCCTAATATCCCCCTTCTTCAACACCACCACCTCCTCCCCCTCCCTCACCTTCCCCACCAACACCCCATCCTTCCAAACCCCATTCCTAACCACCATTCCCTCAAAATCTGTCTTCACCAGCACACAACACACCACATCACAATCGACCAGCTTGCACCGCTGCACCCGACTCTCATCCGCGATCATGCACTTGGTGACATTACTCCGCCAGAGAGAACTACCGCCCATCAAACAAGCATCTTTTACGTGGCTGCGCTTGACGGAGGAGCGATCGCGGAGAATCACGTTGGAGAGGATGCTCCGGTGCGAGTAGGCGTAGATGCCGAAGGAAGCGTGCGTAGCTTCGGTGCGGGAGACACTGGCGTTAGTGAGAGTGGTGTGTTTTAGGTTGGAGCGGGAAGTGGAGGAGTGCGTGACGGTGCAGGAGGTTAGGGCGGAGCGGAGGAGCGTGGTGGGGGTTCTGCTGCCGGAGCAGGTGATGGTTACGTCGCGGAGATCGCTGCGGGTGATGGTGTCGGAGGGGGTGAGGTCGGTGAAGGTGGTGTTTATGAGGGTGGAGCGGGTGATGGTGGGGAGGGTGGATGTCGATATTGAGGTCATTGTTGTTGGTTCAGGATTGGTAGTCGTCAGTGGTAAGGTTGTTGTTTGCTTCAAAATAGAATGTGGTAGATAAGGTTAGACTGATAAAGCAAGGGAGAGAATACGTTGCTGCCTGTCAGCACTTGGGATAAATAGTAATACTCGGACAGTACCCAGAAGTCTATGCACGTGTTACCTACTTGTATGTATACTGATGGATGCCTGGGAAGGATTTAATAGCTACTTAGTTACTAGTAGTTTAGGCTCCTGGATTTTGCACCTGACTAAGAACATCCAAGATACGCAGCTACGCAGGGCTGAGCCGCAGGGACCGTGGGCTGAAGGCCACTTGCTCCACCAGTGATTGATTGTTCCAGTGAAAAGCCAAAGGATAGACTTCTTCCTACCCATCTGACTGTAAGTCAGGCCACTGTAGTAGGTTAACTGCGTGATCTCATATACTTCTGCGTTAATCTACCACCTCGAGTAACTGTTTTAAAGGATCGCGTTCTCCCCGACGGTTGTTGTTGTTGCCCCGTTGTTAAAAGGATCGAAGCTATAGCCCGGAAACTATGGATATCGTCACTGGCACCATGGACCTTTCGGGCTCAGTTAATGGCTTGTTTATCATGAGAATTATTATTGTTGTATTAGCTAGAGACATCTAAAACATCGGTAAGCAAATAGAGCTATGCTATCCCGAATACTGTCGCGCGATGCTCATACTTCATATATAAGTTTCCACACAGAGATCACTTCGTTGATTTCACGAACCTAAAGAGTCGAAAACCTGAATTAAAGAGCAGACCTTGGTGCCAAATCTAAGTAATCCTGTAGATGGCGCATATGCATACGTAACTGAGACATGCTTGTCGGGCTAGACGGGCCTATCTTTTCCCATTCATTTTTCCCTGTGGCGCAAGATCTGGGCTGGTTTCGTTGTGGCGGATGCCTAGCGCGCGACATGGTTATGGGTGTGCCATTTCCTAGCACGGGTGGCTCTGACGCTCCTAGGTGAATTTACCACGAATGAAGATGTCTTGAAATACAGGCAATCTGAAGGAGAAGTCCCATAGCTTGATATCTTTCGTGTTCGTGGGCTACATAGAATGGTTATGTCGAGGTAGGCATCCCGAAGAACTGTACGCACCTTTGGGATGAGGAATAACATCCCGCGGAACCCTGTGCCACCGCGGCAAGTTGTGAGGGTGGCGGCGCGTAGGAAATAATATGCCGCGGATTCTATTGGGTGGAATGATGGTTCGTGAGAAACCAAGAATGAGAGCGCTGATACACCTGCAGAAGGATGTAAGGTTGCCTGCTTAGGAAGTCAAAATCTGGGTTCTGAGAGCTGCTGGGCCGGAGGAGCCGGTAGGAGACGAGAAAAGACGACTAAAAAAGCCTTGGCTGCTTGCCCAGGGAATTTGGCATGGCTTGGCTATGAAATCGGTGTACTTCGCCCCTAAAGCAAGGCGCTGTTTGCCAGTTTCACACATTCGCTGTCTTCGCCCTCAGATGTCAGAGGGGATGCTGGCTGTCATGAACCCAAATCTATCAGAACAATGTAAATTATCACCCTCCACGCGAGTCAAGTCGTACAAGAAGCGGCAGATAACGCCTCTTTTGTAGATAAAGCAGTCCAGACCCATTCTTTGGAAGCAAGGGTACGGTGAGCACGATCAGTTGAACGGACCCCTTGCTTCACCTTGTAGACATACAACAGTTCTTAAGGATCCGATGCCAATTTCACAAGGTTAAATGGTGCTCTTGGAAAAACTTAGTTGTCAGTGTAGGGCTCGACGTGGTTGTTAGGCTTTGACAGCCCTAAACAACGAATATGACAGCGGATTTGGATCGAAAAGGTACCATCGTGAGCCTCGAGAGCATCCAAGATGGCGAAATCGGCATTCTCGATTCGGATGTGGCCACCCCCGGAATTAATGGGGATGGAATGCCGCGACAGTTCAATTGGCTTTCAACCCTTGGAATTTCTTTCTCGATCACGAACTCCTGGGCAGGGTACATGGTAAGCATTTATGCCAATGCGCCAGTGATATCTTCTGAAGCGTACAATGTATGCAGAGCAACTTTGGCCAGATCCTGGCTTATGGCGGTCCTCGACTAGTGATATTTGGATCTATCTGCGCCTTTGTCGTTCAAATCATTGTAATTCTCGGACTTAGTGAGCTGGCATCGGCCTTTCCGGTATGCTCTCTGCTATTGTGTTCTTGAGCCTTGTTATGATCGCATGGCTCACAGGACTAGTCAAGTGGAGGTCAGTATTATTTTTGCTACATGCTCAGTCCGACCAAGTCGAAAAGGTTTTCTGCATTCGTTGTCGGATGTATGTCTGTCTTAGCATGGTGGATAGTGACGTGGGTTGCACTGCCCCAGATCCGCCGATCGACAAGGTCCTGATGATCGTTGCAGATCTTCCGGTATCCAGATGGTTACGGCCTCCGTTGGGGGAATAGTCAAGTTTTGGCACACAGAGTATATGGCGGCCCAATGGCACATATACCTGATATATCTTGCTATATCACTGCTCACACGTGAGGATCACTGTCCAAGATGGCAACTCGGAGTAGCTAACCCACTAGTGATACCGATATTCTTGGCTCCGAGTAAAGTCAACTGGACGGCTCAGACGGCTCTCTTCCTATCCCTTACGGGCATGGCCCTCATTATCATTATCACACTGGGTATGTGCCAGGAAAAACAACCAGCATCTTTTCTGCTGCAACCTGGATACGGGAGATCTGGCTGGAACGAAGGTACTGCGTGGATGCTGGGCGTGATGAATACGATGTATTCTATGACTGGGATCGATGCTGGTATGTCTGTATCCGTGAGCCACAATAACTTTTGTCGCCTACTGACCGACCGATGATACCCCAGCTATTCACATTAGCGAAGAGCTCCCTCAACCAGAGAAGCGTGTTCCTCAGGCCATGACAATGAGTGTAATTCTGAGTCTCGCTACCTGTCTTCCATTGTCTGTTGCACTGGTGTTCTGCATGTCCGACATGGAAGCGGTTGTGAACTCGGAACTCCCAAGCTTGGAACTGATCTATCAGGCGTATGTATTTGAGCTGACCTCTTTGATAAACTAATCCTAACTGCTATGTTCAGCACCAAGAGCAAAGGCGTTACTACCTTTCTGTCAGTGTGGCTCTTGATTGTCTATGCTGGTAAGTCCGCGGACACCTTCACATGCGCCAATTGAGCTGACCGCCAAAATATAGCCTCAATCCCGTCCCAATGGGTGATTTGCGGCAGGATTGCATGGGCTTTGGCGCGCGATGTAAGCGCCTGTATAACACACTGATGGTTCCAAGTTGACTCGACCAGATTAACTCCCCGTCAGCAAGATACTTTGCCAAAGTTGACGACAAGCTAAAGTTCCCTGTTCGTACCACGGTCGCTAGCTTTGGCTTTGTCGCTATCTATAGCCTGCTATACTTGGTTTCCTCAGGCGCTTTCAACATTATTACCAATAGTGCGATTCTCTTCCTCCACATAACTTACGTGGTACCTCAGGGAATAGTTTTGATTTCAGGAAGAGTGCGCACACTACCACGTCGATATTTGAACCTCGGCTGCCTCGGCTATCTCTGCAACGCCTTTGTCATCTTGTGGATTGTTATACTTGGAGTGTTTGTCTGCCTGCCCCTTGGGTTACCGGTAGAAGCCGAGTCGATGAATTATACATCTCCCGTGCTAATTGGTCTGTTTGGCCTTGTGATCATGTTGTGGTATGGGCTAGGAAGGATAGCATTTCAGGGACCCCAGATTGACAGGGGCATTATGCAGGAGGTAGATTCTGGTCTCAAGTGAGCGGAGTTAGTTGAGCTGGTGGCTCGCAACGGACGTGGCAGTCAGCCATTGCTTCCAGACTTGGAAATTTGTGAAACCTCAACGACGCGAGACTGCAGTCAAAACCTTGCTCACTTTGCCTGCGCCGACTTGACACGTGATGGAACGTACGAAGTCAGCAAGTTATATTTGATACTCTATACCGTGAGCGGGAACAGACGGTCTGGATACTGCTTCGAGGTCTGTACGACAGTGATAAGAGAGACTCTCCGATAGACAAAGTGTGTCCTGAGTACAGACCCCGTCATTCCGAGACATTGAACGGGTGCAATGTAACTCGGGCATTCACTTCGGAAAGGTGGCATAAATGTTGCCTGCGTCAGAGTGGCATCAACCGCCCTTTTGCTACAAAGATCACCCCCGTCCCCTCCCCTTTCCCCTCCTATTTATTCCTTGTACGATTTCATTTCATCCACCATCTCCGTCCCTCCCTCTTTCCCCTGCAGGACATAACCACTTCTTTAGAAAGTCTGCTACGCCTCGCAGCTTGTTCCATCAACAAGCAAGCCGCATACTCCAGACAACGCTCAAATCCCACCGTGGACTCACATCTCTCTAGCCAAGAATCGCTCCCAGCCATGGATGCTCACCTTGATCTCACTCTGCCTTCGACCTGCCCGGAACTTCACCAAGGCAGTAATGCCAACTGGGACGATGCCTCTTTTGCTCTCTATTCCATGGTCGGACTGTCTTCCGAGGACTTGGATAAGCTTACCACCGCCTTAAACCGGGAGTGGAAGCAGGAGATGACTGACGAAGCGATGCCGCTTGTTCGCACCCCTACCGTGTACGACTTCAAAGGGGAAAGCCTCCGAGACGTTGTCCGGGCTCATGTGGAGCTGGACAAGGAATTCACTCCGCGTGATGATGGTGGTGCGGAAGGCGACATTCATTGGTACCCCACGGCTTTTGTCGTTGTCACCACTCGCGAGTGGGAAGAACAAGGACTCTTGTTGGTGTACGCGGGCGTCGAGGAGAAGGAATGTCCCATGGACAAGTTTTTTTTCCACATCGACGTCGCTAATGTCATGTTGTCAAACTTTGAATTTCGGCGACGCAGGGCCCTCATCATGCAAGTTCAATTGGGAATTAGGGCATGGAATGATAGCTGGCATAAAATGATAGCTTAGATATCGTGCTGCAAGCTTACTCTCCCTTCCTCTCTTTATATTTCTCTTTCATAATACTGGAACGTGTGTGACACTTCCCGCCGATGATAAGATATGCTATTTGCTAAACTCTACTATTCTCCATAACTAGTCAATTTCACGAAGTACTACAGGAAGCTACCTTATCAGGCCCTTGTAAGACTGAGGCTATGCTCGCTGTAAGGCTCCTATTTTGGACCATTTCCCTTCTTTTCATCCCTCTTCTTCCCCACAGTTCTCCTTCTCTCATTTACAAACCTGCGCTTGTCACGGCAGCCACACAACCTCTTGTCTTATTCTCAAATCAGCCGAATGCTCAGCAGATCAATTCGAATTAATCTTGTGCCACAGTCCATTCAAACCAACTACAATATCTCAGCCGAAATGGACACTGTACCACCAAAATACTGATCCCCTGAAGCTACTCATGAATAGTTTAGCTATAAACGACTATTAAACTCGTGCATTAGCAGTATAAAACCCACAACATGAAGTCCGCCAGTTCCCAGAAATCCTCTATACAAGCCATTGAGCACTACCCCAGAGCACCATGAAGCAACTCCTTCTCTTCCTAGGCTTTCTAGCCTTATTCACCCTCTCATCAGCAGTAAGTGTAGCATTCAACTGCGACAACTCTCATGTTGGCAGTAAACACCACACTCCTTCCCCATTCTCAGTCCTCTATTACACACCATAATCCAAATTCTCCATCTAAATAGACGTATGCCTAAATATGGGCTTCGGTACCCCGAATTGCACAAATGTTGAGTATACCAAGAGGGGGCCTGCGAGGTGGGATATTGAGGTTGAGGGAAGAGGAGGATTTCATAATCTGGATAGTGGGATGGAGATTGGGGAGGTGGTTTATCGGACCGGGCTTGGGAATGGCACGGTGTTTGATGATGGTGGTAGTGGTGATAGTGAGGGTGAGGGTGGGGACAGGGACGGGGACGGGGACGCATTTGAGGATGTTATTCAGGTGGAGGAGGACAGGGTTGTGGGAGTGGCTGAAGGGTGGGAAGGGGGTGAGGGTGTATTCCTGGATTGATTGACCAGAAACATTGATGTGAGTGCAGGTTGTATATTTGTGAGAGGGCAGGGTCTTGTGCATATTGGTCTAGGGGTATTATTGAAATGTAATACTAAATAGTAGACACAGCTTTCAACAAATGGGGCTGTGGTTTAGTGGTATAATATTCCCTTAGCATGGGAGAGGTCCGGGGTTCGATTCCCCGCAGCTCCATTTTTTGTGCTTTTTTGTTTCAGTCCCGGATAGATCAGACTGCTGCAGATTGGTGTAGAAGAGTCTATCTTTTTCTTTTCTTTTTTTTTTTATCTGGACATCTATGATACCAGCCATAGTGTACAATTCTGGATAACTTCAGGCCCACAATATTTCTGCTCCTTCCTTGTTTGCTGGGAACCTAAACACCCATATCTCGTTTCTCCCCACACCATCTTAATGAGCTCAATTACCAACACTATCCCGAACCTCCTACAAATCGAACCTAACGAGGTCCAAGTGACTTCCTGAGACTGTGAGACTCTTAAGTAGCCATAGACGTGATGAGTCTCCTACTCTGTCGGACAAGTGAAGAGAACCAACAAGGGAAGTGACGACTATGGAATGTAATCCTTATAGAATGATCCACTCGATGAGATAGCACCGCCACATATGTTAACCAAGGATGCAGAAAGAGTCTTTGAGGCAGGGGTGATTAGACTAATCAACAAGGCTGTGTTCCTCATTCCACACCTCAGACCACTACCGCGTTATGCCATTTTGCATCCGATATACTGCCGTTCGAACTTCAAGCCAGCAATCTATACCGCTATTGAGCCTTAGTTCCTCTTAGTAGAGGTTGGCTTGCTTACATGTTGATTTTCTTACACCCAAGACCCGTATTATCTCTGCTGTTGATGACCATTGCTAACGTTCACGTGTCCAGCGCAATGATCTACTGCGTCTGTTCCCCTGCAGAGCTTCTCACCGCTGCCGTCATGAACCATGTTTATCTACTGTCGCAAACCTTTGATTCACCCTTTGTTGATTGGGCCGGAAGTCTTCAATCCAAGCACTGGGGGAGGTGCTGCGCCGCAACATTAATACTTCGCCCCACCCCCCTTCACTCTATACAAATCTCTTCGACATCGCTGAGTTGATCCTTACATCGGCACACATCCCCAGAGCAATATTATATTCCAATTTACATGTATTACTACCCTCGGTTATCGACATATCCACGTTCTGACTCGCTTATGTGACCATCTCAGTTTACCGCAGCTGAATTCCTTCTATGACCGACATCGTACCCGCCTCATACTGAACTCTTGGCCAGATGTCTGCAAACATCCTGAGTTTGACAGAGCTAGGATGTCTCATACAGCAGCGCTATCCAGGTATCTCTCGTGATGAAGCCTATGTCCGACTTTTCCACGACCTGAAACCTCTTATGGATCCTACGGCGAAAGGATCGTTTAGCATACTAAAAGCACTTGGTATTATCTTCAACAAGCCAGTTACTAGCCTCGTTGCCTCTGCAAGTCGTATAGCCCAGCGCATCCTCGAAGCCATTTCCCAGCACCCTACGTGCACGTCCCAGCCCGTCGAGGATAACCCCAATGACATCTCGGATCAGATAATCATACAAATGCTCCGCAACCTCGCAGCGACCGCTGGGGAACCTACAAACGTGGCAGCTGGTACCGGTTTCTCTCTCCGTGGAGAGAACTTGATTGAGCACAGGTTTGGTGGGTACGTCGTTGGAAGTTCACCGTACAAAATGAGCAAAAACAACAGACCATTAACAAAACAATAAGCAGCTTCACTGGCGGTTCAGCCCAAACGTTCAAAATCCTCAGTAATTCATTCAACGCTGGGCCTGAATTTACTGCCGTCTTTGCTTCGTGTGCTCTGGTAAGTACAGCCCTCGATACACAGACAAAACCGAGGGAGTTACAGATCATCGGGCTACGTCTCCAGGATGTGCCAGATGAACTGAGCTATCAGACGACTGCAAGGGTTCAAAGCTGGCAGACCCAAGGCTTCGGGTTATTCATATATAGATTTGTCGACAATGAGATTGAGAATGCTGGTGGAGAAACGTCCGTTGGCCGTCATGCTTTCTATGTCTACAATCGGACAACCAGTGCCAACGAGGTCTTCGAGAGACGGGCCCGGAAAAGCCCCTTCCCATCCTCCTTCGGCGGAATGGCCTCCAACCTTGAGGCTGTATTTTCCCTAATGTGGCAGAATCGTCGGTCGCTTCGACAAATAGATCCGGTCAACGCAGATAACGTGGTATTCCACTTGCTAGTCCCAGCGAAAAGGACCTTTGTTATTGCTGAAAGAATGGCTATCGATGATGGAATTGGGAAGCTAATCATCAAAGGGCACACGGACGAAGGTGCCTACTATGCGTGGTTCAATATTGTATCTGTGCCACGGCAAGTGGTACTATATGATGTCGGGAACCTCAATACAGACTCTGCCGATCTCGACAGATCATGGAAAGGTGAGAAGAATAGTGCACGTGCATTTTTCGGCTGCGGGCTCGTTACAGTTATCACCGGTTTTTTTATCCCCGCGGCAGCGCCATACTTCGCTTGGCTGTGTTTTGCATCATTAGCGATGGCAATGAAGTATGGCGTAGTGGATCATATGCGACGGAGTTTCCGGTCCCCTCCTCGAATTCTCGGTCCTCCATCAGGGTTTCGCCAAGAATGAAGATTGTTATGTAGTGACCTAATTAAGACGAGGTATTTGATTGGTACTCTTATCGAACAAAATGGCCGTTTAAAGATATGTATTCCAATAACCATCGTAGATGCAGCTGATGGAGGGCTAATCATACTTGAAGCTATGCTTGAATTGGTGATTAGCGGAACCACAATTATCAACACCACCAAGGTACTCCGTGATACAAGTACTTCTACAAATAGACCCCCAACCTGCTTCACAGAAACATCCCCCCTCAGCATCCGATCCATCCGACCTAGCCCCGCCGGATCACCACAGGGCTCGAGGAAAAACAAGCTTCAGCAACCGTTAGTCCCGCAGCTGAGTGGGTCAATCAGCCACCCACTCCATAGTCATGCTCTCGATTCTCTTAAGAAAAGCAGGGTGCACTCACACCCCACAGTGACCTTGAATGAAAGATAAGCCGGAAATAACTCGGGATCGACATGTCTTACCAAGTCATGAAGTGACAAGATTGTCTGCGCGGGTTACGCGCTGGTGGAGCAGCCGGTATACGTCATTGTCGACATATCCTGATGCCGAGATGTTGACATAACTTCTAGCATCTGGTCTACATAAATACTACCGACTGGTAGTAATGTTTTACATATAATGAGTACTAGGAATCATTTCAATTAGTTCGATCACCATCCATATCTCGATCGTCTGCTCCTAAACAATGACGGTTCCCGTTGAAGATAACTTCGATTTTGTCGTTGTTGGCGGTCTGTTTCTATTTCTATTCCCCTTATATGGTCTACCATCTGACAAGAAGTAGGCGGCACAGCTGGAAATGTCGTGGCCGGTCGACTGGCCGAGAACCCCGACGTGAGGGTTTTGGTCATTGAAGCAGGCGTTAGGTATGTCCTCTACGCAGTCGACTAACCAACCAATCACTGTGCCGTTCTGACAGAAGCCAGCAACCCGGGCGAGATCTCTGAGATCACCACGCCATCATCAGCCTTTGGACTGCGTGACAGCCAGTATGATTGGGCGTACAAGTCTACCATGATAAACAAGCCGTACTATGAGCGGGTAGAGAAGCCTAACACCCGGGGCAAGGTACTCGGGGGGAGTAGCTCTTTGAACTACTATACCTGGATTCGAGGGAGTAAGGGGACTTTCGATGCATGGGCGGAATATGGGGGTCCTTCCTGGAATTGGGATGGGTGCGAGGAGTATTTCAATAAGGTAAGTCATGAATAACAAGTAGTGGAGCACAGGATAATGCTGAATGAACTAGCCCGCTACCTACCACGACGACGACAACCTCTACCCCTCAGAGCTATCCAGAATCGGCCGCAACGGTCCTCTGCACGTATCCCACGCGGACCTCGTGCCAGAACTACACACCTTCCGAGACGCCCTGACTGAAGCATGGACCAGCAAAGGCCAGAAGACATGCGAGGACATCTACTCCGGCAAGATGGAGGGTTTGACGCACTGTGTCAACAGCATCTACGGCGGGGTGCGGTCGACCAGTGCATCGTATTTGACTGATAAGCCGAACGTGACGATTCTGAGTTCTGCGATCGGGAAGAAAGTCAACTTCGATGGTGTCAAGGCAACAAGTGTCACTGTAATTGGCGCCGATCGGACTGAATTGACTTTCACTGCTAAGTATGAGATTATACTCGCGTGCGGCGTCTTCGAGACACCAAAGCTGCTGATGCTCTCCGGGATTGGTGCAAAGGACGAGTTAGCTCGTCATGGCATTGACTCGGTTGTGGATTCGGAGCATGTTGGCCAGAATTTGCATGATCATCCTATTCTTGCGCATGTGTTCCGGCTGAAGGATGGGACTGGTCTTGATGGTCATCTTCTCCGTGCCGGTCCTGCGCAGAGCGCTGCTTTGCAGAAGTATCGCACTAGTAAGAAGGGGCCCTTTAGTAGTGGGTTACTGGAAATGGTAGGTCTGCCACGCATTGATGATCGTCTGGAGCGATACAAGGAGTATCGCGAGGCGAAGGCGCAGAATGATGGTAGGGATCCATTCGGGCCGGAGGGGCAGCCGCATTTTGAGATTGATTTTGTGGTAAGTCACCTTTCTTACCCTTTAATTAGCGAGAAGATATTGATGAGTTGCAGCCGATGTTCTCCGACGCCTTCCAATGGCACTTCCCCGTTCCTCCCGAAGGCGACTGGCTGACCGTCATTGTCGATCTTCTCCGCCCGCTGTCCAGAAACGGAGAAGTGAAGCTCAACTCGGCCGATCCACACCAACAACCATACATCAATCTGAACTTCTTCTCCAATGAACTTGACATCCTAGCCTTGCGGGAGGGCGTCCGTTTCGTGGACGATATCCTCATGACCGGAGATGGGATGAAAGAGATTCTCGGGGAAGACTACCCATGGCCTATGCCCCGGCATTCGGATGAAGCCATGAACAAAATGATCTTGGAGCGGTCGCAAACGGGATACCGTAAGCTACTCAATCAATCACTCAACTTGGACGCGCACAGCAACTAACTCATGTTCACGTCATAGACCCCTGCGGCACGGCCCGACTGTCCAAGGACATTGCCCAGGGCGTGGTAGACCCGGAGCTTCGCGTCCACGGCGTGCAGAATCTTCGGGTCGTGGATGCATCCATTATCCCTCTTATTCCTGACTGTCGGATTCAGAATGCTGTGTATATGATCGGGGAGAAGGTGAGTCACTACTTCAACCTAGAAGTTCCTTTTGGTGAAGAATGCATGCTAAAACCACGCTAGGGCGCGGACATGATCAAGGCAGCTTATCCGGCGCTTTATCGAAGCTGATGGAAACCGATAGGTTGCTGGTGGCGTCAGCACAACTAAGCTTAACTGGAGCCATTGGCCAGGATGGATAGATCGACTATCATATGAGTTATATCTGACACAAAAAGACACTGACTCACGTAGAAATCTTACTATCTTTTCGGTTCATTCCCCATAATAGCGGAAACAGAAGCGCAGGAACACAGTCAGCATTAATCAGCCAGGTTGCTAGTGAGCCTATTTGTCAGCTACTATGGGATGGCTAGTTAACCCTCTCCCCTCTCCATCCATTTCTCTACATAATTACTAGATAACCCCGGACAAGAACCCCAGCACCTATTTTAATTCCTAGCCTAGCAAATCCAAACCTACCCCAACCTATCATCCAAATTTAAAATACTAGCCCCTCGCCACAACCATGGATCTCACCACCTCCACCTCATCCGCCCCCGCCACCCCCGAAGTCATCACCGGCAGCTGCCTCTGCGGCGGCATCCAATACGAAGTCACCGGCGAACCCATGAAACGAGTAATGTGCCACTGCGACAACTGCCGAAAGTTTACGGGGTCCAGCTTTATGGCCAACAGCTTTATGAAAGAATCAGTTAGTTCTTCCTTCTCTCTCTCCCTCTTTATCTTCTTATCTCGAGAAACATCTGAAGCTAACATATGTCTAGCAATTGACCATCAAATCTGGCGAGTCCCTCATCCAGAGCTTCACGGACACTAAAGTCGACACCGGAAGTACGTTGCAACGACGATTCTGTCGCGTCTGTGGATCCCCGGTGTATGTGACTAGTAGTCGAGCTGAAGGGTTTGTGGTGGTGCCGTCGGGCACGATGGATGGGGAGGCGGCCAGGAAATGGAGGCCTCAGGTGGAGTTTTATTGTAAGGCTAGGAGGGAGTATTTGCCGGAGGTGGAAGGGACGGAGGTGCTGGAGACTAGTAATTGAGGGGTTCTATTCTTGTTCTTGAGGGTTGGAGTTGGTGGGGATTGAACTGGGAAGTGGATTGGAGGGGCGTTGGTGAGTGAGAGATGATATCCTTAGTTCTTATTGTTTGTGAGGGGGCTGTGTATAGATGGGTTAGATTATATGATCGGATACTTGGAAATGATGTTGACAAACAATCTGTCTATATATGTTGGAATTACATCCTAGAGAAGGGACAACCATGTCACTGTCTGATATAGAACATGGAACGGATTAAGCTTGATTGGCATGGCATTGGTGACTGGTCGATGTGGTCAGAATGATGTCTCCCCTTTTTATCCCTGAGGTAACCTCTAGACTACTCATCTGCAAGCAAGACTTGATGGGAAAGCTGAGAACGAAAGTCCATATATGCTATTAAATTAAGTATCGCTAACAGACGGACTCAATAGGTCCGACAGGATAATAGTACAGTCCTCATTCCATGTAGACTAGCCCCAGACTTCTAAGGTCTCCAATCATTTACTGCTCCAGGGAAGAGCATCCGAGAGCCACAAGACCGTTCTACACTGGCGTTAGCCTGACATCATATCTTCGTAGGAAGAAACTTACCAAGAGGTTGATCTCAGTGCAGCACTGAGGAGCTGATGTGCAGCTGTCGTCGTAGTCCTTGCCTGTATTTCTCGTTAGTAACCCATTATCCAGTCTTGAGGAAGTAAAGAATCTGGCAACATACAAAGAAGACCGATGGAGCCAACAATGTTGGAAGCATCAATGCCCAGGTCCAGAAGAATAGGGTCGACAAGAGGGTCAAGAGGAGTAGTGAGGGAGCCACAGCACAAGATGGGAGGGATGCATTGCGCCTCCGTGACGGTACTGATGGTGCCATCAGAGGTGCCTCGCTGAGCGGCCACTTGCTTCACCTGATCCTCAAGAGACGCAGTGCTGTCCTGAGCGGCGGGGATGGCCGAAGCAACGGCGGTGGTGGCAATGGCCAGGATGGAGAGAGCGGTGGTGAACTGCATTGTGGTGGTGATGATGATGATGATGGAATTGCAAAGATGCAGGAGAATGAGCGCTGCTGGTGCTGTGTGAGAATGTCTTTGGATTGTAGTATTCAGCTTTTGTCTGATGCTGGAAGAATTACAGAGGGACTCAAGCGTCCTATATAGGTTTGAGCAGAGGCCAATTACTAAGGATCGAAATCCAAATCATGGTGTTGAGCTGAAAGTCTGAGTTGTATAGTTCCACGGAAACTCCCAATCAAAATCCTGATGGTTATCTCGAGGTAGTTCCTTCAGTCACACTCGGTCGAGAGTACCGATGGACATTACCTCAAAAGCAAGTCGCATCGGGATAGATCGGTGCTGTGCAGACGAGAGACTATCCGGTTTCCGGAAGCTGGAGCATGGAAGGGTAAGCCGAAGGATTTCCGGATGAACGACGCCCCAGTCATAGTCTGTGGCACCTTGGTCTCCTGCAGGTACCGCTGCAAGCGAAGAACTCTATGGAGAAGTCGATCGATCATTCCCAATTCTGGGGAAGACCGTACCTGCATGGGACAGAGTTAGAATCCAATAGTTCGGAATCTGGGGCCAGCTGAATAAAGCCTGCCTGTCAGGCAACGCCGTCTTATCAGTTGAACCAAATTAGAACTCATTCGGGTGGCGAGTCAGACACAACCCTAGCCATCCAAGGACAAGAGGCATGCGCGATAGCCGGATAAAAATTGGGAACGATCTATAGAATAACTATTTGGAATTGAAATCTCCGAATGTGCAGTGAGCGTTGCACTGCATTTGGGTCGCATTTAGATCGCATACCCCAGGTTCAAAGTGCGGTTCGTGGCTAAAGTACCGCGAGTGAATGCAGTCGGTGTTTCCCGGCCAGCAAACCGAGGATCGTTCATGGACAGGGACAGGCAGGACCCCATATCGAGCCTCATCCCTGATCAGGTACCATGATCTCAGCTGGATCACAGGAACAACTACTCTCAGCCTTGCAGCTGGAGGAACTGATAGACGATCCTTTACGTAAATCCACATTGGGTATAGAGCCAAGCGCTCAGATAGCAGATCCCTTGACATGTTCGCTGGATGGAATTAAGTTCACATGAGATCGGAGATTTAGTTGGACTGGGGGATGTGGAAAAGCCACTAGTTGGCTGAGCAATTAAACCCATTGTCGATCTATCAAGTATGCTGTCATGCATTCGATTACATGAGAGATAAGCGGGCATAACTTGAATTTGGATGATGATAAGAACACAAAAGGCAATTCCAAATAAACCGTGGATAGCGTGCATAACGGACAATGCCTTGTTGTCTTACTCAGCAAGCATGTGAATACAGCACAACTATTATGCAGATCACCTGACTGTTATCGCAAATGTGGCGGTGCAATGCGGCTCGTGCCAAGACGGGTTGCGCCACAGACTCGCGACACAAAAAGTGCAAAGTCGAAAGTGAAGCCCAAGTCGGTCAATATCCGCCCTCTGCGATCCTCCCCTCCAGCTTCTTCCCCAGACTCTCCCCTCTGGGTTTTTTTTCCTCCTATCCCTTGTAATTCCTATATTCTGAGGGCCATCCCCAAATCAGACATCATGGCTCCCATCTCTATCGCAGACATCGTCGCCGCTCTGCCGGCCGAAGACACCTGGGGCCCCGCTACCGCCAGCGACAACATGCTGCAGGGCGTCCCCTACGCTCCCTTCTCCAAGGGTGACAAGCTGGGTCGTATGGCTGACTGGACTGCCGAGTCCAAGGACCCTAACCGTGCCGGTCGCCAGGCCTACAACCGCAACTACAGAGGTATACCTTTATCCTAAATATATCCTAGCCAAGCCAAGACCAAGCAACTAACTGTTTCCCTCCAGACCAGCAAGTCTACGGTGCCGGTTCCTCCAGCCTCTTCGCCGTCCAGGTCGCCGAAGACGAATCTTCCTTCTCCGTTGTCGACAACACCCGCAGCTCCGCTAAGCGTACCTTCGGCCGTGGCGGTGGTACCGTCTTCCGTGGCCGCGCCCAGCGCGGTGGTGCCCAGCGCGGTGGTCGTGCCGGCTTCCAGCGCGTGGGCGCTGGCCGTGGCCAGGGTGGTGACCGCTACTACGACAACCGTTCTGGTGGCCGCGGCAACCGTGGCCGTCGCTTCGGCTGGAAGGACTACGACAAGCCCCAGCGCACCCGTGAGCCTTCGGTCAACGTCCGCCCCGACTGGAACATGCTGGAGGAGGTTGACTTCAGCCGTCTGTCCAAGCTGAACCTCGAGGCCCCCGAGGGTGAGGACGTCGACTCGTATGGTTTCCTCTACCACTACGACCGGTCCTACGACAAGGCGCCCGTCAAGAACGCCGAGCGCCGTCTCCAGTCCCTCGACCGTGCCGCCTACAACGTCACCACCACCCAGGACCCCGTCATCCAGGAACTGGCCGAGAAGAACGAGGCCACCATCTTCGCCACCTCGGACATCCTGTCCATGCTCATGTGCGCCCCCCGCAGTGTCTACTCCTGGGATATCGTCATCGTCCACCAGGGCAACAAGATCTACTTCGACAAGCGCGAAGGCGCCTCCCTGGACCTGGTCACCGTTAACGAGAACGCCGCCGACGCTCCCCTCGAGCTGGCCGACTCCGCCAACAAGCAGGATGCCATCAACACCCCCAGCGCCCTGGCCATGGAAGCAACCTTCATCAACCACAACTTCGCCCTGCAGACCGTTGTCGAGTCCGAGGACAGCAAGGTCTCCCTGGCCCACCCTAACCCCTTCTACAACGCCGCCGAGGAGACCGAGCCCCTCGCCTCCAAGGCCTACAAGTACCGTCGCTTCGATCTCTCCCTGGAGCGCGACGACGAGCCCGTCAACATGATCGTTCGTACCGAAGTCGACGCCATCATGAAGAACCCCGTCAACGGCGAGGACCAGCAGCTGCTCGTCAAGGCCCTCAACGAGTTCGACAGCAAGGCCCAGGGCTCCGGCGGTGCCCTCGACTGGCGCAGCAAGCTCTGGTCCCAGCGCGGTGCCGTTGTTGCTACTGAGATGAAGAACAACAGCGTCAAGCTCGCCCGCTGGACCACCCAGGCCATCCTCGCCAAGGCTGACGGCATGAAGCTGGGTTTCGTCTCTCGTGCTAACCCCCGCTCGGCCGCTGGTCACGTCGTCCTCGGTGTTGTCGGCTACAAGCCCCGTGATCTGGCTGCCCAGATGAACCTGAACCTCGGCAACGGTTGGGGTATCGTGCGTACTATCGTCGACCGCATCCGTGCCCTCGATGCCGATGAGGATGAGGACAAGGTCACCAAGTACGTCCTTATCAAGGACCCCAACCGTCCTGTGCTGCGTCTGTACAGCGTCCCTGCTACTACCTTTGAGGAGGAAGAGGAGGTCGCTGCTGAGGAGCAGGAGGCTGCTGAGGAGGAGGCTGAGGAGTAAAGAGAAGCTATTTTTCTTCTATCTTCTATCTCATGTGCATATTGATTGTCCTTGCTTTTTAAAGTTAGTTACGAACGACGTCTCCAACATAGAGTATGTCCATTATGTTCTACGATTTATAATTCAATTGCAACGACGCACGCAGCTTTTAGTAGATTTTCTGTTGATACTTCTACCTATCATACTCACGTAAACCAGACACTAAGTAACCAACCACATTCCAAAAGACTGAATACACAATTCAAGAAGACAAACTATCCAACAATCTTCAACCTCACCCCCTTCTCCACCCCAAACACATCCCTCCACTCCCTCCACAACCGCCTCAACTCCTCCACATAACGCCCATGCAACTCCTCCACATACCCATCATCATCATCGACATCCTCTACCCCTCTCCCCTCCCTCACAGCTATAACCCTCCCCACCACCACATTCACCGGCCTCCGATACGGAACGATCAATCCCCATCTCCCGCCAACCCACCGAACCTTCTTCCCCGTCACCGCATACCAAGCACGCAGAACCCACCCCACCCAAGCCCTCCCCTTCACCACCTCCTCATCAACAGTCCCAACATCAAACAGCTCATTCTCCCCGAACGCCATCACCGGAACGAGGTCCGCGCCCGTCTGCGCCGCCACACGCACAAATCCCCTCCGGACATTCAGCACCAAGTCCATGGTATTCGGGTTTGCATAGCGAGCTTCTCTCGCTCCGCCGATGCAGATGGTGATAGCCTGGCCGGCGCGAGCGAGATGGTTCACGCAGGAAGTGTAGCTGACGCCGTTGATGCCCAGAGCGAGGGCGTATTCGCGGAGTAAAGGGGCGCGCATGGTTTTGTCGGAGATGAGGAGGGTGTTGTTGGTGATGTCGGGGAACAGGGAGGAGAAGCCGGCGCCGTTGGAGGCGAAGGCGGCGATGGCGCCGCGGATGGAGACGCCGTGCGGGTGGTAGCCGAAGAGGTATTTGCGGTGCCGGGGGAGGGGATGGCTGCGGTAGAGGCGGATGGGGAAGTAGGTGGTGTAGAGGGTCCAGAGGGGGTGGTTGTGGAGGAGGTTGGAGCGGAGGGGGGATGGGGATTTGTGTGCTTTGCTGAGGTATTTGATGTAGATGAGGTAGAGGAGGATGGGGATGCGGAGGTGGGGGATGAGGAGGAGGGAGTAGCCGATCATGGGGAGGAGGATGGAGGTGTTAGTGGAGAGGGTGACGATGAGGAGTTCGAGGAGTGGTTGGAGGGAGGTGAAGCTGGAGGAGGATGTTAGATGGGGGTGGAACGTAGGGTTGGGTGGGAGACTTGCTTACCCTGGGATGTTGTGCAAGTGGTTGGGAAGTTCAGGGTGTGAAATTGTCTCTAGTGTGTCCCCTGATGCGTTTTTTATGGTCTGGAAGTGGTCCCTGGTAGGGAGTCCAGAGTCATCGACGTTGGGGATAGGTAGGGCCATCCGTTCAGGATGGTGAACTAGCTCAGTGATCTTTTCTGCTTCTCCTCCCCAGGTTTCTTTCGTGTGATATAGCTTGGACAGCTCTGCTGTCTTGGTCTGGTAAGATGGGTTACAAATGACTTTGAGCAGCGCACGCTTAGCTCGTCAACAGCCACGCCTGGCGCAGATAGTTTATTTGCGTAGACGCCGGTGCTGAGCCATTCAGTGCGGACGGCGTTCTCATAGTGACCTTGCCAGCCGGCGAGGACGACATAAGGCACATCCGTTCTCTTGAGTCAGACTAGCCCTATTCTAAATGGTGAGCAGCAAGCATTAAGCAAGCAGAATTATCACAAATTGGCTCCCCCATGATGTATTCTACAGGTTATTCCATCAGTTTTAAGCATAGCCAGAGGCCCTACTTCGAATCAGAACCGAATGCGGTTGGATTTCCTCATGTAGCAGCTCCAGGACCTTTTCGTATACATCGTCATAGTCCAGAGCATACTTCGGCGGCTTCCATAACACCCGCAGCCGCAAAGCATCTGCCCGCGCCTCAAAGCGTCAACAGTGCTGCTGCAATGATCCTTGCGTCACGCAGCTTAGGCGTAGTCAGGTTGACAAGTACTGTAGACGAGTTGGGCAACCACTGGTTTAATTCGGAATCGTGCGCTTTGACAGACTTCACCGGCAAAAGGATGAGTCCGCAGGGAAGAACATTCTCCGATACCTCAAAGAGCCAATAGAGCCCTTTTAGGCCCGGTGCCAAGTGGAACCTATCAGGACATCCTGTAGTGACAAATTCGAACGGCGCTGTGGAAAGAAACAGTCCACCATTACTGTTGAGGGGTTAGGGATGATAAAGGGATGTCCATTTAAGATTGTGTAGGTCAAAAGCTGGCCAGACAGATCAGCATGTTTCAGGTGATGTTTGATGCAAGAGGAACAAAGATGGAGAAGCTGACGGTGCTCAAATTGTCCAAGTGTGGGATCACATGTGGACAGGTGACTAGAGGCATGACTGGAAGAACCCTAAAACAACTAACCACTCCAGTGCTCAAATGCAGAACCTTGAACACTATATAACGAATGAACAGTATCCTACACCCCTCCTTCAGAAACCTCCAACCCAACTTTTATACAACATCTGCTAAAATCTCAACCCCCCTTCCCCCCTCATACCCCTCCAATAATTCGTACTCCTCCTCAACCCCCCTATCCCCACAACCACCCACCTCCACTTCGCCAAAAACGCCTCCGTAACCTCCCAATTCCAAGGATCCCACGGCACCCCCCACACGACCAACGTGGCCCCGGAGTTCCTCGTATCCCAAAACGCCATGAGATCCCGACACAGCTCATCCTCATCCAAGTAGCCCGCCGTCGCCGCCACAATCAACCGATCCCGCATTTCGGGGAACGGGAAGAAGTCGAGCCAGGGGTGGTGGGGGACGAGGCGCTGCAGAGCTGTGGGGCGGAGACTTTCGGGAAGGGTAGATATATCTACGTCTGGAAGAGGGGAAGGGTTATTGGTGATGATGGTGTTGTTGTTGAATATGGAGAGCGCATCATCGGGCCGTATCCAGGCGGGAGTCATGCCCAGGATACGGATATTGTCGTTGATGGCGCGGTGGACGTTCAGGCGGGAGAGACTGAGGAGGTGTTCGAGACGGGGAGAATTGGTGAGGTAGCTTTGCGTGGCGAGGATGGTGAAGGCATGCCGGATTTGGTGGAAGTTGTGGGGGGCGAGGTGGCAGTGGAGATCGTCAAATTCGTCTGATGTTGATGTTGGTGGTGTTGGTGTTGGTGTTGTGGGGTGGTGGTGGATAGTGGAGGAATGCGGGATTAAGGTTTGAGTGCTGGATGAAGATGGGGATGAGGATGAGGATGAGGAATTCCCCGTAGCGGCTTTGTGTTTTCGGCCTAGTTGGCACGGTCAGATGGATAATCAGCGTTGGTGTGAACAGACATACGATAGGCTCGTTGATTCAAGCGGTTCTGCAGCCGGCGACGGTGGGTTCGATCGCTGACCCCCGTCCAATCGTCTTCGGGCGTCCAGAGATGCTCTAGCTGAGGCATCGGCCGGAGAGTCACAGTGTTTGATGATGAAGGAGCTATCGGATCCATTGTGGATGGTTCGTGTCGAGACATGGTGTGGGTTATTGGTGGATGCAAGTTGCTGACGGCGGAGCTGCAGGTTTATTTATGCACGGCTAGTCTACCAGTAGCTGACCCACTCGGGGAAACGGTGATTCTTCGGTCTGAACGTTAATTCTAGGCTGAAGCCTTGGAACTTGAGACTCAGAGATAAGGCTTGGTCCGAATTTGGGACGGTGGGTCTTCTATTCATGGATCGGAAATGGTGATGGTGGCAACTATCGGTTCGAGATCAACTATTTGCCATGTAGTTACAAAGCAGCATAAAGACTCAAGAATATAAATCTCGCTAATCCATATAGGTGTTCAACTATCGGTATATATGATTATTTACTTCTCTAGCGTAAGAAGGAGGTCCAGATATTATTTCGGCCTGTTTATCCACTCTCCTCCTCCGACAACAGCAACGCCAAACAATGGCAATCACAATTCCAAGAAGCAACCCCCCACCTATACCGGCAGCCAGACCAATAACCAGCGGTTCATATCCCCCTAATGGGCGGCGATCCTCACTACCTTCGCAGCGTCCAGATCGGCAACGGTCACTGCCACTGCCACATTGCGAGCCATCAACAAACCGGCAGTTGACGCAGCAGGAATTGTCGGCGCAGTTCTCACCGCAATCGCACTCCTCACCATCCTCGACAATGCCATTACCACACTCACCGGCAGGTGTAGAAGGCCCACTGATGGTAGGCCCGGTATTGTTGCTGTGCACAAGGCAGTCGCTCTCTACTCTGCCAGAGCGGAGTAAGGAGCAGACTTGTCCGACAGTACAGGGCGAGAAGGACGTTTGGTAGGATGTGGAAGATGGGTTCATGATATACTGTCCGCCGGCATCGCAGGTGCTCGAAGACAGGGGACAGCAATCTCCATTAGAGGTGGAGCAGGTTTGAGAGTCGCAGTCATGGGTCGCGCCAAACATGTGGCCGGTTTCGTGACTGTATCCATACGGCAAAATTAGTATGGATCTTAGGGCATAATTGGCCGAGTAAACGTACGCAAAAACCTGCCATTGATTGGACGTCCGTGCCACTACATTTGCCCCGGAGTAAGAAGTGCAGAGCCCTCCCACGATTGATACGCCCACCACATTCCCTGTGGGACAATTCGTCATCAGAGTCCAGTAGGCATTGGGGTCGTAGTGCCAGCGTCGCCACGCGGCAAATTCCTGGAGTCGCCAGTCCAAATTCCCACTGGAGCAGGCGGCGTTCCATGCGGTGTCCCGCGGGGGTGTTTCGGGGCATGACTCGTCGCTAATGGTGATGTTACGGATGGCGAGCGAGATGTTCCAAGTCCGCTCGTAGACCTCTGAGGCGGTGTTCACCATGCTGATTAGTCCTCGGCGGAGCTCATCTGTGGAGGAGAATGCGGCACGGTAGGAGCAATCTGTGGCGAGTCCGATCAGAGCGACCCTCCGGGGCCTGGAGCAAGTGTTGTCTTCGGTGGATTGGCGGGGAAAGACTGTATTATGAGACAGTGTACTTGTAGAATCCCCAGACGCGCTAATTTCCATGTGCGGATGGGAGGAGTTGGTCTGCGTGACTAGGTTGACGTGATATTGCTGATCGAACAGAGTGAAGGCTCCCTCAATTAGCGGACTTGTCCCACCTTGAACGAGATATATGCGTGCTCGCCCTGCCGAATGCCATGCATTGCTGGAAGAATTTACCAGGACCTCACCCCGAAACACTCTTTCCCTTTCTGCATTGAGTGGTTGAGGGTTTGTGCCGTTCAGGTACTCGATATAAGTATCCTGGACGAAAATTTCCCGATTGGGTTCCAGCTGCAGCAGCACCGGGCCATGTCCAGGAACCCCTATAGTAATGTCTAGTTGGCCCTTGACCGAGGTGGTTCGTGACTGGGGGTGAATCACAACCTGCTCGAGCCGGGCTGCATATTCTGTGGCTGGGTTTCGAACCGAATGGCCTAGTAATGTAAGGATGGTTCTCACCAGTAGGACCAGTTATCTGTCATACCTAAAACATTCTGAATCAGGATGAATGTGCACACCACATACAGAACATCATAGAAGAACCTCATGTCAACTTTGAACATCGATGCAGATCGAATATATTGAGCCGCCCATGATGCTTTGCTTCTTCTATGATCTGTATATATACTCCATAGCCGAGAGCTCTACCCAGTAAACACACAGACATATACATCGTAATGAGCGTATACACATCATATCTAGGCAACAGAATACCCTTCCTGAAGCAATTGATAGATGGTAGAGGCTGAGGCTGCTATCTCCGATAAAAAGGTAAGCCAGGACTCCACCGCCATAAGCAGCAACCACTAGAGCTCATAATGCACTGCCACATAAAGGACATTTGTAATCGTCCGACTCGAACCAGCGTCCTGATGCAGATCAGGATGATGTCGACAGCAGGGAGAGAAGACGAATGTGTTGCGTGGATGTGTATTCAGCCAAGCGTGCCAAGGTCGATTGGGACTTTACTGGGCAGTGCTAGCCTGAGAGAATGATGTTGCCTGAAGTTCCAAGTCATTCTAGAAGACAGATTCTGGATGAAGAAGCTGTGGGAGACACACACATACAGAAGAATAAACTTGACTGCTATCCGGCACTAATGCATCTTGCTTACGCCAAGCCAGACCCGCTATCCGGCAATCCATCAATCACCGTCCGGGATGCGATGGAGCTGGGAGACCCTTAACCATGGAAGAATACCAACCCTGGGTTGATGCTATCTCCGACCTCGGCCTCAATTATGGTCCCATATTCATTCTAATTCAATAACATGTCCAATAATTGCCGACAAACTACCGGATTACACTACAACATCTAACCAAACAACCCGGCTTCCACCGGGGCACTGCACATCTGCATCTCCTGCACCTCCCCCAGTAATGCATCATCCCCGTAATCCTCCAAGTCCAAATCCATAAACCCCTTCTCCGCCCACTTCCGAGCCGTCACAAAGAACGAATGCCCATTAACCTTCCCATCTGCCAAGATCCTCAGCAAGCAGCGTCCTGCATCCTCCGCTGTGGCAAACTCCACCCCGGCCCGCTTAACATGTGCAAATGCCTCCTCAGACAAAATTCCGGTGTGCACATACCACGGACTAATCACGTTTACTCGGGACCCGTAGTAATACGTCGTCCGACGCAGGGAATGCATGATTCCCCGCATCGCCCATTTACTGGCACAGTACTGCGGTGAGCGTGGCACATCGAGGAAGCCGGCGCCGGAGCCGATGAGGATCAAGCATGTATCTTCCTGCTCTGGGGTGGGCGTGGTCCCGTTCTGGCGGATGAAGTAGTGCATGGCTAGTTTGGCCGTGTAGAGAGGGCCTTTGATGTTGATGTCGACGATGCTTAGGTCTGGTTCGGGGAGGGATTCGGGTCCTGGCTGGAAGATTTCATCTACGCGGTGGATGCCGGCGTTGGCGATCACGTAGTGGATGCGGTTGGTTGGAGAGAGGGTGACTGCTTCTTCAAATAGACGGACTTGGTCGGTCCAGGTGCCGGTTGAGCAGGGGATGAATTTGGTGCTTGGGGCTAGTCAGGGTAGGATGACGGTAGTATTGGGAAAGAAGGGACTTACCCTGGTAGCTCAGATTCGAGTTTCTGGCCTTTCTCTGTGTCGATGTCGCCAATACAGACGCGGACACTGTGGTTGAACTTGCATTAGTCGCGAATAAGTGTAAGAGGTGGGAAGCATACCCGGCTGCGACGAGTGCGCGGACATAGGCTTCCCCAAGGCCGTTGGCACCGCCTGTGACGATGGCGGTTTTGCCTGTCAAGGCGCTGCAGTCTGCATCCTGGGAGCAGTCCACTGGACCGGTGTGTACGTAGGGCGGCATGATGGAAAGGGATAGATGTCCGTTTGTCTTGGAGGACGGAAGAGAAGGACAATCGAGGGACGCCTTTATGTGCTTGCGGAGTGGGGGAAGCAGTGAGGTATCCCTGGATCAATGTAAGCATGGAATCGGACATTAACCCAGTAGCAAGAGCTCCAGGCAAACAACCAACCAGTAATCAGACCGTTGCAGAGTAGCTTACGCCCCACAGTAAGCAACTTGCATGCGCATGACGAAACCCCAGAAGTGATCTGCTTCTCGACTCGGCCAGACATGACTATATGCCCCTGAAAACTATCACCATCACGCAACGAGCCATCACGATGTTCGCAGAGACAATGGCTATAAAAGCCATGTACTCATCTGTCTGATCTCCCATCACTCAACCATCAATCCCATCGTCAATACTAAATCATACAAAGCCACTGCATCACCATGCAACTCCCAACGGCGCTCACCCTCGCCCCAATCCTACATGCAATATGCATCACGGCGCAAAACCTCTCCCTGGGCGCCGACAACTTCTACCGAAGTAACCTGGTAACCCTCCAACCGGTGACCTTCCCAACCCAATACCAAACCCTCATTGCGGGCAACCTCTTCGTCCCCAACAACCTCACCGCGACCCCTGCGCCCGCCATCATTGTCGGCCACCCCATGGGCGCCGTGAAAGAGCAAAGCGCGAACCTGTACGCCACCAAAATGGCCGAACAAGGCTACATCACCCTCTCCATCGACCTCCCCTTCTGGGGCGGCAGCACCGGCACCCCGCGCAACGCCGTCTCGCCCGACCTATACACCGAAGCCTTCAGCGCCGCCGTCGACTTCCTGGGCAGCAACACCACCAGCATCACCAGCATCCCCTCCATCACGCACCCCATCACGATCAACCGCGACCGGATCGGGGTCATCGGCGTCTGCGCCAGCGGAGGCTTCGCCCTCAGCGCCGCCAAGATCGACCCACGCATCAAAGCCATCGTCACGGCCAGCATGTACGACATGGGTACCGTCAACCGACAGGGCCTGCAGCACTCGCAGAACCTCACGCAGAGACAGGCCGTGATTGCGTCCGCCGCGCTGCAGCGCTGGCCCGAGTACGAGCAGCCTGGCGGCTCCGAGACTCCGATCTCATACACCGGCGGCACGCCGAATGTCCTCACCCCCAACGCCAGTGCCGTGGATCGCGAATTCTATGATTTCTACCGCACGGTGCGTGGCGAGGTGACGCCGCCCGGGTCGACCCCGGAATTGACGACTCATCCGACATTGACGAGTAACTTGAAGTTCATGAACTTTTATCCGTTCGAGGATTTGGATGTGATTGCCCCGAGACCGGTGCTGTTTATCTCCGGGGATCGCGCGCATTCGAGGGAGTTTAGTGAGAATGCGTATCGGGGGGCGAGCGAGCCCAAGGAGTTGCTGTGGGTGAGGGGGGCGGGACATGTGGATTTGTATGATCGCGTGGAGGTGATCCCGTGGGAGAGGATTGTGGGGTTCTTTGGGAGGAATTTGTAAATGCCAGAGAATACCAGGGGGTAGGTATGGCATTGAAAGGTGTGTTCTTGCCAGGGGAGGGTCTTGTTTGGTTGTAAAGTAAATCTGCTGTGAGGATGATGTTGGGTAGTGTTGAGGTTAAGATTGGAGGAAGTTAGTTGTATGAAATAGAAGTATATACTGCTGTGGAGGTAGAGATAGTATGCTGTGAAATACAGTACTCGATACCTTAAGCACTGTATCCATACATTTTATTTAAATGACACATTTTTTGGCTCCACCCACATACCTTCTCACACATTCCAACTCTATACTAAAAGTAACAGCAAAAGAAGTAGAAATAAGGTAGAGTTTGACACATTCAGCACAACATCCCATAATCAAAACGAAGCCACTTACATACCACACACTCTATATTCAAAGACCAGTAACTATCAATTCCAAATCCAACATATATATATATAAACCAATCAAACGAATATAATCTACTATCCAATACCACAGTAGACAACCTCCCTATTTCATTCATACAAAGTAGGAACAAACCCCACCAAACCAAACAAGGTTAGGTTAGTCATTCCACTACCCACTAACCAACCCGCTAGCCACTTCTTAATTAACTAATTACTAACTTATCTACCACATTCATCCACCATCAACCACCACCGCATCAATAACTTCACCTACCACACCCAACATTCCATATTCACCAAAAAGGAAAAAATGCCCACCCCCTCTCTCACCCACCGCCCCAAATCCCGCCCTACGGCATCTTGCCTCCCCTGCCGGACCCGAAAAGTCAAAGTACTACCTTGCCCCCCATCCTTTACATTTCAATCCAAATCTAATCAAATGCAGTGCAACCGTCTCCAACCATGTGAAACCTGCAGTGCGCGAAACATCGCACATGAATGCAAGTACGCTGTTCCGGACGAGGACAGGCAGGCGATTGCGCAGGCGGAGATCATTGCTGAGTTACGGGCGGAGGTGAATCGGCTGCGGCAGCAGATGAATGAGTATGAACAGGAGCATGAGGATTATATGGAGGGAGGGGGGAGAGGTGAAGTTGATGTCGATGGTCTTTTTTTAGAAGGGGATGATGATGATGGTCTGGGAGAGGGGGTAGGAGAAGGGGATGAGTTGGAGAGGGTGTATCAGATTTTGAAAGATGGGTCGTGGGAGAGGGTGAGGGAGGTGGTGGGGAGGATTCGGAGGGGGGAGGATGTTACGGGTATTACTGTTTGATTATTATTATTATTGTTATTGTTATTATATGTCTTATTTGATTGTAGGATATGGTTTGTATGTATGTATGTATGTATTATGGCGATTTAGCTAAGCTAGCTGGACATTCGTGGTTCTCGTGATTATTGATTAGGTTGGGTGGCATCGCTGAACCCATGTGGGAAAAGATCCCAAAACAGATAGGAGAATAGAATAGAAGACACCTTCAAGATTAAACAAGTTGTATGGCCAGCACCGCTCTGGCGTTGAACCCCATAGGAAGAATCCTCAAAGGGAAGATAGAAGTGAGAAGAAAAAGAACAGCCTTGCTCCCAGAGCTTTTATATACACCTCGCCAAATCAAAATCCGTGTTAGAACAGATACCCAAACCCAAAGAATCACCCCATGAAACTCCGTCCAGATCAGGTCACTACCGCCAGACCAGCTCACGAATACATCATCTCATCTCCCGGATGTGACAGAGCGCCCTCGACCTTAGATCCGAGCACACTGCTGAGGCAGTCCATCAGTTCGAAATCTTCCACCACCGCGCCAAAGCCGTAGCAGCGCACTTTGGTGTTTAGCGTCTCGATGATCACCTTGACGTCCTCCTTGGTCAGGCTGCGGTAGAGCTCGTGGTTCTTGAGACACTGAAGCGCCATGATGGGGGTGATCTGTCCATCCGTCACAAGCTGCCGACTGAGGTTGAGAAGGGTCGACAGGTTGGCATGAGGGAGGTCGTAGGTCTTGTGCGGATAAGTCTGTTCGTTCGAGGTGTTCGCGATGTAACTGGGCGGCGGGCAGGTCGCCATCAAGGCATGACCCGAGAATGGCATGTCCTCGTCATCGGCTTCGGTGATCGATCGGCGGCAGAGATAGTCGGTGTGTTCCCGACACGGCGATTCCAATCTAGACAGCAGTCAGTCATACCATCCTCTGTGAGATGAAGATGTGGCGGGCGTACGTCAGAATAAAGTCAATCTGCAGCTGGGGAAGTTCTTCGAAGATGCCCGATGGCTGCCTCGGCGCCCGGCTCACTGGCGCTATCTGGTCTAGCGTCGCCAGGGCGTCACACGGAGCGGCCTGATACGGCCCTTGCGGTGGTGACATCTCGCTCGACGACACATCAATTTGCTCGATCCCAGTGGTGATCGGACTCAAGCTGGCCGAGACTGTCGTAGGTGGCGTGGTGTACATGTTGTTCGTGGAGGGATTGGAAGGAGCAACGCCGGTGGGCTGTGATCCGGTACTACTGCTGGCAAATGGGCTGGACTGATAGCCGATGGTGGGTCGTTCAGCCTTGCGCCGCTCGACTTCGGGCTCGTAGTTGATGCCATGGGCCGTCAGGATGTCTTTCAGAATGGCGTTTTCGTCTGATAGCGACTGCACCATATCTCGGTGCTGAACCACCGTCAAGTTGGCCGCCGAGATCTCTTGTGTGTATGCCTCTCGTAACCGCGACACCTCCGTTTCCAAAGCCCGTATATATTGTTCCTTGCGCTCGCGATGGGTTCTAAACAGCCCGTTGGCATCTGTTCCTGACGAGACAAGTGCAGAGACGGGAGAGCCACGTACCTCTGAGCCTGGCGATTCAATTCCTGTCGTCTGGTAAGGGCCGGTTTGCTGTCGGGCTTGGGGCCACGTCGTTTGGCGGGTTGACCATCTAGAAGGAGCCAGGTTACAACGAGTACGGACAAGAGCGAACACCACGGTAGCACAAACCTCGAGTAACCTTTTTCTGTGTGCCGCTGAAGAATTTGAAAAAGTCGGCCCCGATTGTCGACGGTCTAGAATTGGGTTGGCCTGCAAGCAGCGGGTCAGAGCGGGTAGTTGACGGGATCCTCTCCGAAGCAAAGCAACGCAAGACCACAGCAGGCGAAGAAATATCACAAGATCAAAACAGAACATGTAGGTACAGCACATCACGTCATACAACATGCGGGCAGTGCAGATGACAGAACCAAGAAATTGGTAGGTTACGAGCGAACGGTGCCGACTGCAGCCTTTCCCCAATCCGGGATGCTCTGTGTATCCAACACACATGTTCCCCAGGAAAGGAATGAAATAAACAACGGTCGTCGATCGTATCACCACAGGCATACAAGCAGCAATGTGAGGGTTCCAGGTCAAAGGAAGCCGGGAACTTACTTGGCATGGCCTCTGGTGTCATAGTTTGGCGATTGGCCGCACTCAGGTCCACAGACATCGGACCACCATTTATGGAAGTCATGATGGCTGTGAAGATTGAAAAAGAGGGTGATTGAGAGAAATGCGACCGGCGCGATCAGTAGTAGATGGCCGACGGGGGAGGTGCACCGAAGAAGCGGAGGACGGAGGCGGGAAGAATGAGGGGAAGCGAAGAGAGAGAGGATTCGATGGGACTGGACGGTGGAGGGAGGAACAGACCGCAGATTAAATGAATGCGAGAGTCATTCAATCAATCTGGACCGTTGTCAGCCTTAAAATGGACTTGAATCGGTAGCCAAGTGGATTCCTTTTTTTTCTGTCCAAGCGTCTTCACCGTTAGGGAACAAGATATACGCACCGGCAGGGTCGGACGTTTTCCCCGAAGTGCGCGGCCGATGGAGACCTGAGTTTGGGGAGGTGGAGGGAGGGAGCCACCACACGAGCTCAGCTCTGGAACGGAACAGGGGAAAAGGAGAGATCTGAATGGAGCCGATGGGAAATAGGCTGGCGGGGTGGTAAAACGGTCAAGCAATAATAACGATTAATTGATTGAATGATTGAAAGTTTGCCGGGTTGCCGTCTACTGTCCGTGGGTGGAGGTGGATAAATAGTGAAAGTGGAATTGAATTGGTTTTTTCTGGTTCTTGGTAGTACCTCTGTTGGAGGAGGAGAGAAAGTGGGTGCGGCGGGTGTGGGCGGGAGTCGACGGATGGATGTTGTTATGTCTTGAGATTTGGAGCTGCAGACTGAAAGGGGGAGGGAGGGTAAGAGTAAGTAGTAGATGGATAGATAGATAGATAGTGTAAGGGTGAGTGGAGAGAGAGAGAGTGTGTGTGTGACAGAGAGAGGGGAGAGAGGAAGAGGAAGAGAAAAGAGAGTAGGAGAGAGAGAGTTGGAAAAAGAGAAAGGGACAGACAGGCAAGTCAAGAGAGAGAATAATAATAATACTCTTGTGGCAAGTGAGTGAGTGAGTGAGTGAATAAGTGAGTTGAGGGTGGACACCCACTACTGATAGTCTAGTTCGTTTGGATTGAATGGAGAGCGACGATATCGACTTGTTCGGGACCCAAGTTAAGTTGGCCCTCCGTAGGCGAGCCGGCGTTATATCGACGGGGAGACCCTGTCAAGCCTTCTAGCGGCCCCGAGCATTATTGGCTCGTTGATGCATCTCCCTTCCCTATTTTCCACCCCGTTCTTCACGGACCCAGCAGAGACAAGAGAGTCGGCGGCGCAAAGGCCAGGCACCCTCGGCGTTAGTTACAGTCTACTAGCATCTACTTAGCCGGCCATGCACTCGGGCGTCCACTAGTCACGATAGATCCAGGCACAGATTAATTGGAATTGTACAGGACGAAGGGAATGGATTGGTCAGTGACGGAATTGATCGTGACTTTGCAAGAAAAATAAATTAAAACAAATCAAATATGAATAGATGTGATAACCAAAAAAAAAAAAAATAATATCAAATATCGAAAAGGATTATTAATTGCTGAAAAAAATAAAATAATGAAAAAGAATTTACACTTCAAAATGAAAAGGGGAATGGTCGAATGAATAAAATAATAACAATAATCATCATCATCATCATTGTCATGATAATAATAAATGCTCAGCCAAAACGAGAGACGGACAGCAACCAGTGCAGAGGGAAAAAGAGGTCAGAGAAACAATAAGAGACCGAGAGAGAGAGAGAGAGAGAGAGAGAGAGAGAGAAGAGAATAAGTGAGTGAGTGTACCTTACAGTCTACACATTCCCCGGCCCGTTTCAGACTAGTGTGGGTTCTTCTTCCCCCCCCTCTTCTCTTCTCTTTTCTTTTCTTTTCTCTCTTTTTTCTCTGTTTCTGTCTGTCCCGATCTCGCCTCGGCTTTAGTATTGAGTATTAGTAGTATTCAGTAGTACTGCTCAAGTAGTACTGGATGGGCTACACAACCAATTCAACCTTACTCTCCCTCTCTCCATCACACAAAAACATTATATGAGCAAGGGCACATGCATTCACCCCCAGATATCTATTTCACAAGTGATCGATTCAATTATTCGTATTCATGTCACCGAACCCAGAGTTAGAAAAGAAAAGCATCTGCCCGTGTGGAGTGAAGCAGCAGCAGCAACCGGGTGTGATCGGCCAGGCATCCAGTCACTCGGCGGTTATTGGCTATTGGTTTTTTTTTTTTTTTTTTCTTTTCTTTTTCATCCTCGTCTGAATCGTCGTCGCCCCTCACGTCCGCCTGTCTCTGCTGCCACCCCTCTCCCTGTAACCAATGCGAATTGGGATCCTCGCTGCATCGTCAATAATCAATCGTGCTACTACGCAGTACTCTTCATCATCGTCATCATCACTCACTCCGCGGCAATGGTTCGTCTTTTTGCTAGCCACATCGATCAGCTGCTTCTGTAAGTGCTTTTTTTTTTTTTTTTTTTATTCGCTTTCTTCATTCTTCTTCCCCCTCTACCTCGGTCCTAACCTCATCCTGCACCGAGAGGATCAGAAAGACGCATGTCAAAAATGGAGTGATTTAAAAAGGGGAACAAGAAAAAAGAGAGTCCACGAATCTGATATATGGCGCATCTCTTTGGCCCGGCGGTTCGATCGATCGTCCCCCCGGCTGTCGTACCAGAAACCATTCTTACCTGTCGCCTGTCGCCCAGTAGTGGACCGTCCAGCCTCCGCCGACTCTGACCCCCCCAAAGTCCTGCCCTTCTTTCCACCTTTGCCATCCCTCAATTGACATCTCAGAATAGAGGCAGGCGCCGTGTGTAACATTCTTGACTTAATTTCGCTGCGACCCGGACGGATGGGTTGGGAAAAACAGGTTATCCTCGGTTGATCTACCGTCGAGCCTGTCCCTTTTTGCTTTTTTTCTTTTCTTTGCTTTTCTTTGCTCTCCCTCCACCTTCTGACCATCCACAGTACTCCCGTAGATACGTCCTGCATGGTTTTGGGGGGGGAGGGGGGAAAAGGTATGATCCTACTCTGGGCTTAACCTTCTTCGTTTGCAACCCACAGTCGTTTTTTTGGGGCCTGTCTGGTTCACCAGTCCGTGTTCAACGGGCCCATCAGCCCCACTGCCCACACAGAAGCCTCGGACTAGTCGCCTGGTCCAGAATAGCGCTATACGTTTATTATTCATTAGTGGCAGGCACAGGAAAATCTACTGTCCCCAACGCTCCGGCTGTGCTGCGTCATTAGGATAAGCATGCGCGAGCTGCCGGGTTCTGAGGTGGTCAAGTGGACACTATCTCGGTGCGGTACCTACATCCGGAGCTTAGTGGATGATTGGATGTATGCACCTTCCTGCTCCTGCCGCGGTTGTTATTCCACTGTAAGGGGGGCGGAGGGGGGAGAGAGGAGGAGACTAAGATGCCACTCGATCCCATCGTGATCGTGCCAGTCAGTCGACGTTTCGTCGCTCTTTGCCCGGACAGGTAGTAAGTACTCCGTAGGTTGCGCTCGTAGATCAAGAGTCGGAGTTGCTTTATTGTGCCTCACAACTACCGCGTTATTCTCGCATAAGACCTACAGATGGGATAGTGCACACACGCGCGCGCCCTGCAAATCGAGGTGATGTAACTGACCGGGATCGCCCCTTTCCGGGGTCTCTTTGCTTTTTTTTGTGTGTGTCCCTCTTTGTCTGCTGCAGGCTTCGTGAACATTGATTTCCAGGTCCCCGAGGGGTTCTCCCACAATGCGAGCCCATAGTGCACAGAGCACACTCCAACCAACACCAAGCGTACTCCGTGCTACCCATTGGGTAGTGCACGGGCTTTTTCCTGAAGGCTGGAAGACATTCCCGGCCATTGAATAACACGTTCGAATTAGAGTCAAATACCAGGTGGGTAGCGGTGACGGTGGCTCGAACACCTTGGTTTCGACAGATAGATAGCTCGTCAATGGTATAGACTCTAATAGCCATTATTATCACATCACCCAAGTGTGGCCCTGGCACCCTTCAGCATGGCCACTAGTACGATTGTCCACGATTATTGTCCCAATCCTTCTTCAATGATGAGCCGAGGCTAGGCGCACGACGACGATCACCCAACAGGATCACAAACCAAGATACTTGTAGTTAGCTTACCAACAGACCACGGGCCCAATTGAAATTAAAGACCGAATCATCGCCGACGAAGCTCCCCGAGAAGCCGGGTCAGATCGAGATTAGGGAGGATCTCAAGGGAGGGCGAGGTCGAGCAGAGACCCGTCTGAGCTCAGTGAAGAGGAGAAGTTGTTGGACGGCGCGGAAACTATCGAGCGGATCGGCAGCCTAAGGCCGCCAGTCCACCCAATCGGGAACACGCCTCAGGCCGCCATGACTCGTGATCTTCGACGTCTTCCGCCTATCATATGCTCTTTCCTCTGCAACTTTCCCCCCCCTCTTGCCGTTATGGTTCTCTTTCACTCTATCCTCTAGTAGGCTACAAGTCTGTACTCTCTACTTCCAAGGGCAAACGGCAGTCTGTCACGCCTAACCTCAAACGCCTGCATCGGAAGCCAAAGTGCCCCACCATGTCGGTCCAGGCTTTTTATCAACCTCCCCTCCGATGCCATGCAACAATCCGAAGTGCTCGTCCACATCTCCGCACCCAGCACCGTGGGCGATGATGCCAGCTACCGCGCTCAAGTCGAAGCCATCCTCGGTTTCCAGCCCTTCTCGCGTCAGGTCATAACCTTGCGATCAGACGACAGCGACCCCGTCTCCACTGCAACGGAAGCCGGTCCCTCCTATACCCAGGGACCACACAATGCCAGCTCTTCTACACCCAGGCCTCCAGACCCTGGAGCAGCCTCATCAGTTCAGCGACAAAGTCATCATGACAAAGACTCGCTCGAAACCCCCCTGAGTGTCATTCCAGATTCTCAGCCTGAGCGAATACCCCTTGAGCCAGTCGACTTGCAGGAGATTGCTCTTCCCCAATCAAGTACATCTCGTCGCAAATCGACTGATACAAATGGCTCGCCTCCTCATACGAAGCGAAGTCGTGTGGATGTCCCTCCACTGGTGACCCAACAAGCACGCAACAATACACCCCCCTCAGACGAGCGTCTCAACAACGACAAATCGCCAAATAACACCGCCACCAAAGAAGAAGTCATTAGAACCTCAGAAGACAACACCCTACACCTCCCCCTAGACATCAAGCCAAACCCACCCCCCATCTCAGCAAACCCCTTCACAACCCACATCACCCCCACCCTAAAAATGCTCTCCATCCGCCTCAATCCCTCCCGCACATACACGCCCATCAACCAAACCCGACCCCTCGACAACCTCGAGAGAGGACACTGGTACCTCCGCCTCAATCTCTCCCCAAATCCAAACTCAACCTCCAGCTCCACCTGGGAGATGCCATTCTTCATGCGCTTCTGGACCTTTCTAACGGATTTCATCGCCAAAGAAGGCCGCGCCGGCTGGGGTGTCTGGTGCCTTCTGGAGGATAATGGCTCAGATAAACCTGCAAATGGCCTCGAGGATGGTGGTGATGAGACAACAACGAGACCAGTAATCCTGAAGGTCTATGCATGGGGTGAGATAGCTTCTCATATATACCTACTCTTATTCCTAGCGAGTGAGCGTCGCGTCCGCAGAATGGGGCTGCAATGGCGCGATAGTGCAGATGAAGTTGTTATTCAGATGCCGTAGTGATGGGTGGATGGGCTGATACCCACCTCCTATCTCCCCCCAAATCTCTTTGGGGGTTCTTTTCGTAGTATATGATACTCGTGGAGCATCAGCGATGCGCTATATATGTACATACTTCTTTTATACATACTACTATAAGTGTCAGGGATGGTATATCCTAGTCTGTGATTTCATTTTGAAATACTACTTTTGCGAGTGTGAATGGAAGCCCGTTCCTCATACTGAAGGTAGGATGCGTCAGTCCAATACAGCGGGAAGGACAAAGCAAGGCAATTGTATCTGGCCATATGTCATTGAGCTTATGGTACGAAGATATCGAGCTGATAGATAAGATAGATACTATGGTACAATCCGAGGGACGCCAAGACCAGAAGAAGAAGGAAAAAAAAAAACAAGAACAACGACGAAGGATGTGAACGAGAGAAGATAGCATGCAGACTTGAGTTTCAAGATCCCGGAAATAGTTCAGTAGCAGTCGCAAAGCCAACTCGTGGCCTCAAGAGGGCACAAGGAAACACGCCATATTCCGTAGAAAAAGGAAATCAGGCACAATCCCAACCTGAATGATGTTTCACGTTTGGATAGACAAGAAGCGTTGAGAGCAACGGGGAAATGAGAAGGAAGAACCTAGGAAATCGGAAATTGAATGGAGACAATTTCGGCTCATGTAGGAATAGAGAAAATAAAAGTATGACAAGACACGGATCAATGCACGGCATATGCGGTGGGACATCAAATATGTAACTGGCTTTGTGAAGATGCAGGAACGACAGACCAGCGAACGCCATTTGCACGGAGAAAATTTGTCTAATAGTTCAGCTCCCCGCTGCCGGAGCCACCGACCGCATCGAGATCCTCGTAGCTCTTGAGGCTGCGACCTTGTACGGCTTCGCGCGGACCCATGCCTTGCTGGCCGGCACCGGCGTCAACAAAGCCGCTGGCCCCCACCAAGGCGGCGGCAGGGTGTCCAGGAGGGATGTACGGCGCTCCAGAACTGGCCGGCAGGCGACCACCAGATCCATACATGCTGGACATGCCACGAACGGGGCTTAGGCGGCCGCTTCCAGTGCCTGGAGCGCCATGCCGATTGCCACGGCGATCATAAGGACCTGAGCGGTTATTATAGCGTCCGCCGCCACGGCGCATGACACCTGGCTGGTGCAAACCTGGGCCATCTGCAGACACCATTCCATTACCACTCCACGAGGGGTTGTTAACGCCCATGAATCCGGGTACTCCAGACGCTGGCACACCTTGGAAGCTTGGAGGAACATTTCCGCCGCCTGCAAGGTAAGGCGGCATGGACGCTAGGCTGAACCCACGTGGTGTGCCAGTCTGGCCCTGACCAGTGTTAAGAGGGAAATGCCCGTTACTATTAGCGTCGGACCGCGAAGGAGCAATTCGAGCAGGGTCGAGAACGTAGGCATTGACCAGAGAGAGCTGTACTATTATGAGTATTCGTCCCCACAGAACACATTGAAGGATCACTTACATCACTGCGAATGTTCTCAAACCACTCGGTATGACGCTTCTCGACATGCTTGCGCCAGAAATGCTCCGCCTTAAACAGCTTGGTACATTCAGGTACTTTGCAACGGTACTTGGACTCATCCTCCTGCTTCATATACTTTCCGAGCTCCTCCTCCAAGGCGTCCTCAACAGGCTTGCCTCCCAGCTTCCCGATATCGACATTCTCTGGCTCGAGAATCTGCAAAAGTTTGTCTTCGAATGTCTTGACCCAGTTGAATGCACGCTGAAGTTGTTGTTCGGTCTTGGAACTGAAACGCTGTGGGCGCTTCTCCTCCGGCACAGGCTGCTGCTCCTCGCCCTCTTCACTGGGCTCCTTCTTCTTGACAGGAAACGGCTGCCCTAGAGCACTGGCTCGAGCCACAGCCTTTGACTGTGTGGTAAGACCGGCCCGTGGCCGACGGAGATGTCCACCAGGACATTTTCGAGCAAGCTCATGCACAGAGTCACTCTCAAAGACACAGAAGAAACAGAAATTGTAGACCCTGCGAAGGTATTCAACCATCAGGTCCAACTTTTTCTTCTTGGCCAAGAGCTCCTCATCATCGAGTTCGTCATCTTCCCATCCTTCCTGTTCTTCGCCTTCTTCTGCCTCCCCTTCGTCAATGTCGTCGGCATCGTAGTCGGGCTTTCTCTTCTTGACACTAACAGGACCCGTGACAGGCGGCTGAAGCCAGCCCTTGCCGCGCAACTCCTCTACTCGCTCTTCGATCTTGGCGAATCCATCAGCACTTCCTCCCATCTCGACATCGAGCTTCGACACCAGCCTCCTTGCGAGTTCCAGGTCTCGTGAAATACGCTCCGGCGAAGAAAAAAGATCCCACAAGGCCTTCTTGCGGGGTTGCGACGGCGGGACATGAACACCCACGTGGCAGACAAAGTCGCCGTGAACGGGATCATGGATCGTTTTGTCGTTGATAGCCTCAAGTGCCTTCTCGGCAGCAGTCACTGTCACCGATCCGTTGGCCGCGTGATCATGTTCCATTTCCTCGCCCTCTTCCTCCCTTCCGTCCCCCCTCTCGACAACCTCAACGTCAGGCGCAGGATGAAGCATGATCCATCCCATTCGATGGTACTTCTTGGACGGATTGGGATCGCTGAGACTAAGCCACTTGAACCCACCATCTTCTTCTCCCAGGTGTTCCTTACAGAACTCTTCAATCTTCTCGCGGCTAACATTGGGCGCTAGGGTCTTGATCAAGAGAGCAGACTGGGACAAAGCTTCATCACGCAAATCTCCGCCTCTTGCTGGCAGCAAGTCCAGAACACCCAGGGTTTCACCAACCGCGGTAGTTTCACCCTCTTCCTTTTCGATCACACCGCCTGCACCATCGCTCTCACTCTTATAGATGCCTTCAAGCGTGAATTCATCAAAGAGACCACTCTCGAGGTCTCTCTCCCATTGCTGATAGGCACCCATGCGGAAATCCATCAGTTGACGACGAAGAGGATCCCGGACCTCAGGAACATAGCGCTCTCTGAACCACTCCTCGTTCCGATGATGCTGGACGAAAGCACGGGCCATCTTCGCCTGAAGATTCACCTTATACGAATCGTAAGCCGCCTGGATCTGTGCTCTCTCTCTCTCTCGATCTTCACGAGCCTCCCGCTCCCCTTTGACGCGATCAGAAGGTCGCCGACCGCCGTGCTTGGCGCGTTCCTTTTCTTCTTTGATCGACTGCTCCGCTCGCCACCATTCGGCAAACCAGTTGAATCCCACTTGGAATTCCAGAGTCAACGGGTTCGGGAGCGGATTGGTGGGGATAGGGCGCTTGACAGAATCTTGTCCGGGGACATAGCGGTCGATATTGGCAACGTTCGGTGAAGGCGCACGTCGACGGTCCTCACGGTCACGTCCGGCATGCTCCCGAGAGGCAGCATAGTAATCGTCTCGCGATGCACGGCGATCAGAAGGTTCGTAGCGGTCGATCATAACGGGCGAGCGAGAACGTCCGCGTCCTCGGCGTCGATCCTGAGACACTGCATACGTACCAGTGATTAGAATTTAAGACCATGACCATGAGTCCGGGAGCACCCGGAGGGGTAGTCTAGGAGCTAAACACTTACCAGGCGACCTGCGGCGGTATGAATCCACCGGAACCCTTGAAGCATAGGGGTCACCACCTTCTCTGGTCCTGCCGGGGGACCCGTAATTGTCATATGAGTCCATCGGGACAAGACTATGGAAAATCGCGTCGACCGAAGCTCTTAGGGGCCGTAACGGAGGAAATCGGAGCCGGCTTCCAGACAATGGCCGAGGGTCGCGCCCAGGACGGTAAAGACAGAAGGCGTAAGCTAAGATCCGAAATGATCAACATTAGAGCAAGTCCTTCACGTGTGCAAGAGTGCCTGGTAGGTTGGACGTTGACGAAGCAGGGTTAAGGGGCGAGTTGGGCAAGAAGAAGATGCAAACGAAGCTGGTTGCCGGGAGCCGGCCACGGAAGAGATAGACAAGGCATGATTTTGGATAGCGATGACAGGGGCGAACCCGGAAACTGAGAGGATGAAAACGCAAGTGCGCTCGCGAGAGCCAAGAGAGGACGAGAAAAAGAGAGGAGGGCACAAGGTAGACAGTAGAAAGTAGTAGTTCAATTCAGCACGGAGGGTGGTGCGAACCAATAATGGCGCGACGATGAAAGGAGTCCAAGATGAGGTTTTAAAAGTAAAAGAGGAAGAGACGGGATGAAGCACAAGTGAGGCGCGGATCCAAATGAATTGGATGGATGACAGGGGCAGCTTGGACTGAGATAATTGAGCAGGGGTAAGGGGACGATGAGAGACAAAGGCGCTGCGATGAATTGACTGAACACAATGGAGAAAGAAGAGAGAGGATGAGAGAGAGGATGAATGGTAAGGCAGGCGACCTACAAGAGAAGCCTTAAGAGGAGAGAATTGGAGATCCAACGAGATGCGAAGATGACGGACGGAGTACTAGGTCCAATCCGAGCTGAGCAGATCAGACGACACAGACGACAATCGCAATAGACCGGGAATAATCACCGGGCAAGGCGGATGATATATAAACGGATGTGTTGTGGGGGGGAGAGGGAGAGGGAGAGGAAAGAGAGAAGAAGAAGGGAAGAGGTGGAGAGAAAGCGAGAGGGAAGGGAAAGCAGCGAAGGAGAGACACAGGATTGGGAAGTGAGGCTGGAGCGCCGGAGAAGGGAGGCCACCTAGTCCCGACCGGGCATAGCGCCCCCGGGTTCCCTTTCTTGTCGCCGCTCTTCTTCCAACAAAGATTATGGAGATGGAGAGATAAACAGTGTGTACGCCTCGTCTCTCATCCACAAACCCCCATCCTGAAAAGATTTATGGCAGGCAATATTATAATGTGTTCTCACTCACCTGATATCTCGGAGCCTTGAAAGTGGAGTAAGTGGAGTATTTCTCGGTCTAGTCCTAACGATACGCTGCTAGCAACTGGTGGCAAAATAGAGGCGCGGGATGCTCAGTCGTAGCCATAGATTTGACATCCGACCGGGGAATATAGAAAGATAGAACCAGCATTGGTGTTGAGGAGCAGCGTTACGCAGCCTGCCTTACGATGAATACAAAAGCAACTTCTGTCAGCATCATCGCACTCGGGATTCACTATACCAATTTCACTCCCCTCTTTTTCATCCGGGGCAAAGTGAAGACTCGCGGCCTGCTAACTCTGTTCTACTCAAAGCACTCACACCACAGGGACCTGCTCTAATGTCAAGCCACGAGAACAAGGCAAGCACGACTAGTAACGAGTTCGCCAAGTATGTCTTGATATTTGTACACGACTAGTAGGGGAATCATCCGTTGAAGATCAAGGTAATATATCAAACGAGGCATCAAAAGGGGGCAACAGAGAAAGGCAGAGGGAAAGAAGCATCGGCCGTGGTAGCCTCAGACTATCACAGCCTCGCATGTCAGACCACTCTCCAATGCAAATTTCAGAGAGAGTGGCGCCCCATGTAGTCTCACAATCGCATCAACAACAGAAAGATCCCAGGTCACATTCAGGCACTACCCCAGTGGCTCCAACAGTCAATCGAAATGTTCCATGAAAAACCACGGGATGAAGTCCGTCGTGGAATTCTCCAGTCGAGAACTCTCCAAATCGAAACGCATGGCCAGAGAGAAACGACTTTCGGACTAACTGCACTGAACTTCAAGTGTGTTGGGACAATCCGCGACACGGAACCAAGACATGCGTGCATCATCCACCACCAAGGGATGTAAGCTCTGTCGCCGCGCCACCCGACCTCGGGGTTTTATTTTACCAGCGATGGGCTTCAATCTAATACCAACCAAGGCCCGAAGCAAGACGCAAAAGAACGGATCGGATCAAAGCGGTGGACTCAGGGACAGGAGAAGAAAGAACACAGTACACCAAAGTTGCCAATGACATTGAGTTGCCTGTCGACAGAGACTTTGACGACAAGACATATAAAAAGGCTGCCGCCAGCTGTGAGAACCACGACCTTTGGAAATAAGAAACCGGGTCATGCAGCATCGACAGTGGGACGAACGTAACAATTCATAAGTTCGAGAATCGTGCACCATCCCGAGAAATGGAAAAAAAAAAATAACAAAACATAATCATCTCATACATGCAATCCTAACAGGCTGAACATCGTTAGATGAAAAGAATAAGGAAAATAGTAATAATACTTCGTGCCAGCATAACAATATAAACAGACATAAAAGTTTCAAACGGATGAAACGAGACGTTTCCGAAGAAACCAGAGGGAGGTGGGAATAGCGTCAATAAGTACGAGAGAAGATGGGGCAGTTGCGCATCGCTCGCTGCAGGGAGTAAAGGTTAAGGAAGACGGGGGTTAAAGAAAATCCAGACATCCATCCATCATAAAGGGCTGTTGTGGTGAGCAACATTTTCGCAAAACGGTTCTAGGACGAGGCAACGCTCAACCATCCTCGTCGGACAGCTCAGCAGATTCATTCTCGCTTTCATCCGCACTGGTGCTTGGCTTGGCGCTAGTTTTCGTCTTTTTAGACGAATTGATGGTGTCATCGTTGACATCACTTGATTTTCGTTTCTGTGCGGATGGCGGGTTATCGCCAGGTGGTTTCACCGCATTATCGTCAGCGCCTTCGAGTCCAGCGGTCGTAGACCCCGATGCTTGCTTCTTCTCCATAGCAGCCACTTCGTCAGCCGTTAAGAACCGCCCGCCAGGACCACGAGGGCGGCGCATGGCATGGTTATGACGCGATTCGTGCAGATATGGCTTGCGACCCTTGGAAGTAAGCCGCAACTGTTCCTCCAGTTTCTGGCGAGCCACTCGTCGTTTCAAGATGCGATGAAATTGCTTCGCGTTCACGTATAAAGGTGACTCCTCAGCGGCGCCGGCGACCATATCCGGCGAAGGCTGGCTTTGCTGAACAGGCGGCTGTGGTGGTGGCGGCATAGATGGGGGCACCGAAGGCCGTCCAGCATGGTTGATAAGTGGTTGCGCATTTTGAACATGTGGACTACTGACATGGCTCATGCGACGTTGCTGCATCTGGGCGTTCTGGGACATCTGTACCTGGGATCCCATTGAGGGCATCTGGCCGGGAATCTGGGGTGGTGAACGAGGATTGCGGTCACTCTTGACCTGCACCCCAGCCATGCGCGGTGATCCGCGGGGACCCGGAGCCATCTGGCCAGCCATCGAGTCTTGATGGAGAGGATAAAATTGACCCGATGCTGCAGCGGTGGCCATTGCGGCTGCCTGCGTAGGGGAGATACCATATGTCTGTGGCATCGCCGTGGTAACTCCATACGACTGGGGGAAATTCATTTGCTGATGTACAGAGCCCGGGGCATTTTGAGCAGGCTGATAATGAGATTGTGAGGGAACAATGGGAGACGCTTGATGTGTCGCGTGAGCTTGTTGCATGTGCGCTTGGGGGTTGGTGGGAGAAGTCATTGACCCCACCGTCGACCCAGCATTTTGGGGAGCTGTCTGATACGGGGCAGTGATGTGAGAGGAGGCGTGGGGATGCTGGCCGTGAGGCTGTTGATACTGCGGCGGGTATTCCATCATGGAGCTGCGACGGTGATTACCGTCAGGCTTCCGATTCGAGTCGTGATTGGAGTACCCTGGCTGTCAGGAACCAGGAGGCTAGAACCAATAATACTGCCAAAGATGGGCCAATCCAAAGGAGCTTCACTCGTTTGAGACCGAAGTGGCGAAAATAATGAGAAATGATAGGTTGTCAACAACACAGTTGCACTTGACTATATCACCGTCGTGCACAAAGGAAAGGCGGTTATTTACTGATTCGACGAGTGAACTGCGAAAGTCTGCAGGCTCTGGTTGATAGTGTCAGCATGGAGCGCAGCGCCAAACGGTCACTGGATTGCGGGTGGGGGTTGGATGGGAACAGAGGAAAGGCGCTTACACCGAGGGCGCGTACCTCTGTTTTTGTTTTGCCAATACACCCACTCATCAACTTCTGGCGTCAAGGAAATTCGCCCAAAGGTGAACGCTTGTTTGCCGAAATGCTTCAACCCGCTTTTTCCGGAGGTTCTGCGTCTTTTTGTGGAAATCTTACGTTCGCCTCCAAGTGTAACGTGGTTGGGCTTCGATGCAGGGAACCAGGATGCTCTCGACAAGATGTCGCACTTGATGCGTTGTCAGACAAAGCGCGATCTTCTTGATAATGGCGCTCAAGTCTATCGCAGACACACAAAGACTACGCAAGTATAAGGAGACGACAACTGGCAGGCTACCTGGGTAATGCTGCTCAGCTCCTAAATTCGTCAGGCTGCTTGGCCACGTTCGTATGAGGCGGTGCTAGAGCAACCTGGTGAGTTAGTCCGTCTGGGCCCGGGAGTTTGGAAATATCCTGGTCCGCAGGCTCTCGAACTATAATGCCACTCGACGCTGTCGTCAGGGTACGCCTGAGAGGGGCTCGCACGGCTCAGTGGGCTACAAAAAACTATTAGCATCTATCATTCCCACCATCCCGAGAGTTTCGACTCCTGATTTGTGCGCTGTCACGATTGGAGGAGAGAGGAGGGGGGGGGATAGGAACTGTCAAGGTGGTGGTGGGGGGGAGGCAGGAGGGGGGAAAACATCGTGGCGGTTTAGTCTTTTCAGGGCTGAAGGATGTATGCGTTGGCAAGCGGAATCATGATGCAGCCGGCAACATACCTTGTTCAAAAGCGACGCACTCGCGACCCCAAACAAGGGTAGGCGGAGTTTTGCGCGCGCGCAAAAGCGGCACTTAAAAACAGGGAATCAAACAACCGTGATGGAAGAGCTATTCTGCAGTCTCCGACCGTAGAAATCGGATGCGCGCCTATTGACAGGTCATGGTGTTAGATAGCTGTCAGAGAAGGGCAAAGGCAAGGATTGACGCGTGGTGATTGGGCCATCATGGGGCGGGGAGTCGGGGTTGCAACTGAAACGCGACAAGAAAACATAACAATGCATAAGCGATAGCAGAAGCTCACAGGGACCAGGGATGATAGGAGGAGTCGCAGAGGGTCTTGCCTGCAGTACTTAAAGTACATGCGACACTAATTCTAATGGTTTGATTTGCTTCGAGGGTGGGTAACGCCAGCCATAACTTTTGGGGGGGGAGAAGGGAGGAGGGAGGGTGGGCAGTAGGGAATCACAGCTGTCGCGGTTTGCGGGCCGCGGCCAGAGGGAGCCAAGAACAACAACAGGCGGACTTTTGCCTCGTGGTTTGAAAAGGTTAATTACCTTTATCAGGGTTATTCTCCGCAGGTGGCAGAAAAGCCTCCAATGCAGAGCGACACTGAAAGCGACTCGTTGTAATGATTTGACGAGGGCTTTCAGTCACGAGGGAAGGAACCTGTGATGATTCGCGGGGCGATGGCAACGCGACGAAGCTCTGCCAACGAGAGAAAGGCGGACAAGCAAAGGAACGTCCGTTTCTTTCACCGCACGGTAGGCTGCCGCTGATGTCAGTCCGGCCCGGGTTGATCCGCGACCGAAGCGGCAAAACAAAATGGGAAATTATAAAACAGATGACGGAGGGGGTGTTTATGGTATATGATAAACAGAAGGGGTATGTATAACAGAAACAAAAAATAATAAGAATAAAAATAAAAAAAAGTGGAGTGGTTCGGAAAACAAAGCAAAGAACTCAAAGAAATGTAAAAGACCAAAAATAGACTAGAATCAGTGGAGAGGGTTGTAGCTTATGGTCATAGCTACCAGTTGTTTGGACAGCAGAAAGCAGATGCACACAAACAATGGAAGAACAGGCAACAACATGGAGCCCGGGGGGAAGAGGGTGAGTGAGAACTTCCAATGAATAGTGAAGATCCGGCCTCGGTACAGCAGAGGATACAAATGATTGGGCGCGCGTCAAATTAAAGTATGCAATCACAGAAGAGGAAAAAATACAAAGTTGAGCAAGGGGCAGCAGCAGTAGTAGTAAGTGGTAGTATATGGCTAAACGTACCTTAGATGATGATTCGACCACAACCGTGGTAATGACAGAAAGGGAGGAAGGAAAATGATCAATCACGAGAGTGAAGCGGATGGGGGGG